ATTTTACAATAGAGGCTCAGATTTTGAAACCCATTTTCATACTTGAGTCATATAAGAAAAGAAATCACAATGGTTGCAAAAAACCTAACTTCAAGTGTTTGGAATTAGGTGTTGTGGAATCTGGTCATGCACACACAAAGACAAAGAGCTGGGAGGATTTCGTTGGGAAGCAAATGTATAACTCAGTTTGGTTTCAAAGGATCCCCTATGTAGTTATGAAGAAACATGTCTGATCTATATGTATATGTAAGATGTAGATGGTGTGTATCCAGGAATGCAGTTTTGATTGCATATATGCATATATGTATTTTGCGGTTTTGATTGCATATATGTATTTTTAAATAGAGGCACAGATTTTGAAACCCGTTTTTATACTTGAGTCATATAAGAAACGAAATCGCCATGACTGCAAAAACGGTTAATCCCGTTAAGCCATGCCAAGATTCGTTGCGTTTCTTGGATGATTCAAACATTATGGAAAGCTTAATAGTCACATTAAATGGATTTCATATAAAACATTATATCATCACAGCCATATATTCATACACACCCACAAAAAATGATACGTTTTAGGCAATGTAAGAAACGATACCACCATGGCTGCTACAACGGTGATTAATCCCATTGCGCCACGCCAAGTTACGCTCATTTTCTTCCATGCATCAAACATTAAAAGCCAGAATTGCCCAAAACCAGTTTTCAGTCCTTCCATATCATGTTAACCAACCTTGCATTCAGAGACACACATAGACATAGTTTTTGGAAAGTAAAAAAAAGATCCTTGGTGCTGTAAAAAATTGTAACATATAAATGTTGTTTTGAATTATTTGTCTAACAGATATGTAATTCAGGATTATTATAATTGAATATGAAGATGAATAGTCTAATATTATGTGTGTATAAATTTAAAAGTACTTTTATTACCCGAGAATGACATAAATTCTAGACATATTTCTTTAAAATTGAAAATAAAATTATATCGTAAAAATTAACTGTTCAGCAAACGAAAAAATGAGAAATTTTTTAGAAATATATTTTAGAAAGTAAAAAAAGGAACCGTGGTTTTGTAAAAAATTGTCACATAATTAATGAGAAATTTATTACTCTTGAAACTGTATCCTCTTATACATTATTCATAATAACAATGTGCATACAAGATCCTCCTTATAATTTAAATCAGAATAAATTAAAAAAAAAGTTACTGACATTAGAAAAAGATACATTCTGTAAATGGGAATAAATAGGTACTGTCTTCCATGGGAATAAAAAGTGGTACTGTCTTCCATGGGAATAAAAAGTTACTGTCTTCCATTTCAAAAAGGCCAGGAGAACGCACACATGGGGGTTCTCAATGAATAGCATCCCCAAACAATTCTCATTTATATGGATATAAAATGAATTAATAATTTAGACATCCTCATTTATATATAATGAATAATATATGTGTGTGTGTGTGTGTGTTTAAAGATCTAATAAATACGGAGTAAATACTTAAAGCTCTATATATCTAAAGAATATATAGATCTCAAGATGTAAATCGGAAGATATATGTATGCGAAGAACAAAAAACAATAAATATCACACAGTTTAAAACTATATTCGTTTTAATTAAAAAAGATTAAATCAAACCTGTGCCAAAAACAATCCAAAAAATCGAGGTTGAACAAACCACAATTGGAAATGAATCCACGTCCGCATCGTCAAGAACAAAATGGTTTTTTGGTGAGTATATGAGAGAGATGTGGTAGGAGAGTGGCGACAGATAGATGAAGACGGAAATGAGAGTTTAGTGAGATGGTGGAGAGCGGCGACACAGATGTGAAGACGGGAAGAAGAGTTAAGGTTTGGAAATTACGGGTTTTATATTTTTTCTTTCTGGGCCATTAAAAAATGTTGGGCCGGTCAATTTTGTGGGCTTGCTTTTATTTAATACTTCTCTCTCACTGAATATTTGTTTACTTATAATTTTTTTTGTCAAAATTTGTAAACTTTGACCTCTAATTAAAAAAAATTATATATTCCTTCCGTTTTTGAATATTTGTCCACTTTTGAATTTTTTCGGTCAAAATTAGTAAATTTGACCTCGAATTATACTCCGTATAAAAATGATATTAAATATTGATACAAAAAGAGTTTTATTAGATTTATTATATAAAATATTTTTAAAATATTATTTTATTTAATTAAAATACAATATATATTTTATTTAATTATAGGTCAAAGGTTGAAAACAATTTACTAAAAAAAGTCAAAACTGGACAAATACTCAGGGACGGAGGTAGTATTCAATATTAATAAAAAAAAGTTTTATTTGATTTATTATAATAAATATTTTCAAAACAGATTCTGACTATTCTCTTATAAGTGATTTAACAAATGGTTATATTAGTGACTTATCATTGATGCAAATAACTGGTTCTCTGAGACGTCTTTGAGGAATTTATTTGCAACCTTGCTTATTTCTGACTCATTGATTCATCCTGAAGATGTATGGGCAAAATGTTAGACATATCTCTCAGTTGATATCTAATTCTGATAATAATTCATGTAATACTACAGTTAATGTAGTTTATAAGAAGGTTTTTGGAAATGTATAATTGATGTTAAATATACATTGTTTACTTTAATGCATTTGAATATTAGGTATGGAATATAGTCTACTTTAGATCACATTCTTTATGTTAGTAATTTTATTTAGAATTAAATAAATAATAAGATATGTAAGCAGATAGACATATTTGCCTATTTATTGAATACTCCATCCGTCCACGAATAAATATTACATTACGCGTTACGATGTTTCACTGGAATTATTTTCAAATCATTTTATATGAAAATGGTGTAGAATTGAAAAATAAAAATTACATATTAAAAAACTATATCAAAAGATCTACCAAACTAGAGGTGACAAGACTTTATTATTTTATCAAATGGAAGCTGAAAATATGCCAACAAAGTGAATAAAGTTTGACCCGATGAATAGTGAACGTAAAATTTATTTATGGACAGAGAGAGTAATATTCAGTATCAACTATTTTCATATCTTTTTTGAATTTGTGATAGACTTATCTCTCCGTGCATAGCACGGGTGATGCACTAGTTTAAATAAAGACAGAAGAAATAAATTGGAGTATATACAAAAAAACTCTCCAATTGTATTGTCTTGGTAGGTTTCAAATTTTAGGAGTTACGATCAGTCTTGGAGGTCAAACAGAAGTTAACGAAGAAGGAATCAAGGAACTATGGTGAAAGCAGTGGTGGGAGAGGAAATGCAGCTGAAAATAGCCGAAGAGCGGCTTACCAAATCGGGCTTGGCTGCTCAGGTAGGGCTTGTGATAGGGAAGCTGAGCTCAAGCTTAGATCGCGGTTTCATATTCGATTTGATCCCGACGCCGCTGAACGACGCCGGAGAGCCGGCTTGCTCGGTTATTGATGGCGCGAAAGATGACCGGAAGAAAGGATCGAAAGGAAAGACGCAGGCCGACTCTTCCACTTTGTTCGTTGACAGGGATTGGGTTGCGGAACACGCTCGGCAGGTTCGATTTTACTCGCATTTCAGGATTTGAATACTACGGTATATAGGATTTCATTTTCCTTCAATCTATATACGACTCAGTAACTCACATTGTAGTTTGAATCCGGCGTCTGATTTATTAAATCATAATTGCACGTATGAGTATATGATTATCTTAAATCTGTTCATTTTTTGCCATACAAATATTAATCTAAAGGCTTGAAGCAAATGAGTAAATCTATTTAAAAAACTAAAAGGTAAAATATTTTTAAAAGAAATTAGTATGCTAAAAATATCATGACCTAATATATTCACAACATTAATTCTGAAGTAAAAGTACGGCGTAATAATCAAGTACACACAATCAAGTTGTTCAACGATTGATCTCATTTGAAAACACAGCTTGGTTCATCATTTTACCATTCTTCTTGTGACATTTTTGAAATGGTTGATGGGATAAAACTCTTGATAAGTTTCTACATTGACAACTTTGAAGAATTCCTATGTGTAATAATTAATAAAAGATGTGATTGGTGGTGTCAACATAAATTTGCAAGCAGTGTAAGCATGTAGGGAAGTAACCGAAATTAGTTTAATTTTATATAGCCAATTAAAACAATATTTGAGCGCAAGATATGAGTTTAAACTTTGCACTACCTTGCCACTGGGATAGAATACCAAAACCTTTATTGATTACAGAGTATATCCCATAGTATATAGTATTGGGTTTTTCTACAATGTTCCACGACACAATGTCACATATCTATTTCTGGTACGAGTTGAGTTTCATAATGTACTCCGTAATATTAAAATAGACCTATATTTTTTAACATGCTGTAAGCCATCTCTTTTTAGTTGTGGTATACATAATGGTGTCTTACAACATCATACATTCTCCAGTAAAATACTCCAATCGGTCTCAAATGAAATTCACACTTTGACTGATGTCGTTAGGGAGACGAGGTAGTACTAAGAGAAAGCCGAAGTGAGAAGCTGAGTTTCAACTGATTGAGTGATAATGAAGCATGCCCCCGACTGTAGCCCAGTAGTGGGGGGGGGGGATATATTGAGTACAATTGGCATACAATTGCATGGAAAATATCATGAGAGGCGAGTGGGTGACAATCAGTTGATACAATTGCTGTATTATGCCAATTGTTGAATTTATATTGCAAAATTAACATGCATAATCTCTTAAATGGTCACCTTGGCATCTGATTAATGGTTGCATGTTGTGATGCATATTATCATTTTCAGGTTAGAAGAATGCTATTGGGTGGTGTCAAAGTGGTTGGCATCTACATATGGGCCAGTGAGAGCTCATTTAAGAACTCAACGATAACTATTTGTCAGGTTTCTTTCACTCTGAAATAGTTTTTTGCTGGCAAGTGCGAGTATTAAGATGAGAGTTCAATGCTCAAAGTTCACATAATGTAGTATTGCACTGAATATTGGCATTTTGTAGTTCATTACTGAGTATTAGCATTTTGGTAGAACCTAGAAGGTCTAGATTAGAGTCTGCCATTGTCTTTTAATGCTACTCTCTATACGCTCATTGTTTTGGGTGCTTTCTTATTACCGGCTGAAGCATCAGGTTTAACTATTCCTTCTCTTCATCTTTCAAGGTGGTCTTCTTATACTTTAATTTTTTCTAATGTCTTAGAAAGAGATGTTATATAATTTTTTGTACACAACTTCTGTGCTCACTATCAGATATTTTCATTTTTGTTTAAGTTGTCAAATTTTTGTTCATTCAATGTATTTTTGCAGACAATACAAGCTGTTGCAAAGGCCGCCCCTTTTGTAGATTCTGATTGTGATGAAAGGTTGCTTGTTCATATTTGTTACAGTCCCATGAGGTAGCTTTCTGCAAATGAAGCTTTCAATTTGGTACTTCTTGATAATTACGGAGTATTATGGACTTAAGGGTATCTGACACTTCCATTTCATTTCAGATGGACAACTAGGAATTGCTCGCTTTCTTCTAATATCACATCAAGTAATCTAAGACCATGTGATTTTAAAATGGGGAAAGTTTTATTTTCCCTCCAGACTTTCAGATGCAGATATGCTTTTGATCTTAGGTTATGTTCTTACTTGCTNGTTTGCTCAAATTTCACTTCAGCAGCCTTACATTATTTAAACAGAAAATCCCAACCTTTTTTTGTTACTCCCTCTGTCCCAACTCCAGATGTGTTTGTCCGGTAAGTATTTTTGGGCCATGTCATTGTTTTTGTCCACTTTCATTCAGAGTAATTTTAAGGGTGCCTTGTTGTCTCTACTGTTCCACTTAATTTCTACTTTACCTTTTCATATTAAAATTAAAGGGCAAAATTCTAACGCACAACCCTTTATTTCCTTCTCCTTGGTCCATGTGCCCAAAAGATTGGGGACAAAACATTGGGAACGAGGGAGTATATATCAAATACCGTGTTTAAAAAAATGGCATATAGCTAAACTTGGGCACCATTTTGCCTAATTGGTTTTGGAGTATTTTTTTAGAACTGTTTTTTGTTTTCCTTCGGTATGTTTAGTTTCTGAGACAATGGAACTCTTGCTCTTTGCATAAAATGTGAACATGATTGCAACAACAACAATAGCAACTCAGTAGGATCCACAAAAATGTGAACCTGATTATAGGTTCTATATGTTTGCAGACTTCCAATACACCGTGAGAATGGATCAAATAACATAAGATTGGCTGACGTTCTTCGCCATTGTATTTCATTTATTGCCAAAGAGCTAAAATGTGCAAAGCCTTTAGTTGACGGGAAATTGGTAAGAAACATTACAGCAATACGATTCACAAAGTTTATCAATTCAACCTCATATGCTTACTGCTATCCTACCAGTTAATGAAGTTGTTATTTGAAAGTCTTATTAGCAATTGCCCTACAGAAAGCTCAAAGCTCATAGGGTTAAGTATCCTACATAGTATAATGTAGGTGGAGAAACGTGATTCAATCCATAAAATGATTTCTCGACATGTTATTTAACTAGTGCCCCTAGTAGCAATTTTTGCACAGTCTTTGAAAATGAAACACATAAAGCCATTTAAGTTCTGCTATTGGAACTGTAATTCAACTATTTTTTTGTGATAGCTTTGTCTTAGCATATATCTTATTAACGTGTTTAGCCAGCTAGGGATGAACAAGTTGCATCAGATGGTGTACATGATGTTGAGTTCCTTTTACCTTTCTTGCAAGACCAGTTTGACGGTATGTGCTAATATTCTTGCATCTGAATCCTTATTTTATTCTTCGTGGCTTTGGGTTTTAAACATGAATAATGACTGCTTTTTTTTAAACAAAAATTATACTTCTGTGAAGGATGCAGCGAAAAAAACATAATTGGTGGTCTTGTTTTTACCGGTGCTATCTGCTCTTATGCTTACTCGAATGCAAAGGAACCGCTTTCACAAGCTTTGGCTGATATAAAGGTATCATATACCCACTGTTTAAACAATGGCCAAGTTGTAGGCCTTGCTTTCACATGGCAAGGGCTTCCATCAATTGCATTATTAATGAAGTTCATATTGGTGACATGTCAGCATTTTATCTTCTGGCTCCAAGAATAAGCTTTTTACAAGGGTCACCTTGTACTCTTGTAGAGTACGGCACAATTTTGATACCATGTATTTCTACTCCAGTTTCACACTTGTTGCAATTTTTTATTTATTTCTTTTCATAATATACAAGTGTATCATTTTAGAAAATCAAGAGAGTAATTACTTTCCATTCTCTATCTCAAATTTCCAAGCAGGGCATTATTTATGTATGCATTTTAGGTTTGTTGCTACCATTTTTCATTATTCTAGAATATTTAATGAGTTTCTCAATCTGTGTGATTAATCTCCTTAAAACGGTAGCTATTGTGAAACAGAGAGGAGCATGTAACCACATCATTCATTGTTTTGGCAGTTCAATATGCCTAATCATGCATTCTGTGTCGTAATTTATTTTAATTTTTTTCTTTTGGCATAGGAAGATATTATAATGAGTTTGCAAAGTAGGTTAGATATCATATGTGATGTCGCAGAGAGAGAATCGGAAGCTATTGGTGGAAGCCCAGAAGCAGAAGCAATGGGTCAGATATCAACTGAAGAACCAGTTCCACTGCTTCCCTTACAATCCCAAATGTATGCTACTTATGGAACTCTTAACAATCTGACTTCATCCTTTCAACACTCTATTCCCATTACCTAAAATACACGATTATGCGATGCTGTCATGCTTTTGAGTGACTATGAACTTGAAAAAAATGCTTATTGCAGGAAAAATATCAAGCAATTGTTTCCTCGTAGAGTATTTCTTCCCTGGTTAGCTAATGTATATGTTTGTGACTACATACAACCTTCTGAGACAGTTGAGGTATGTCATACTCATTTTTTTGGGTTAAAATTAGAATTATTCCATCAGTAAAAAAAGCAGGTTTCACTTTTTCAGTCCCCAAAGAGAGTCATTCCATCAAAGGAATTTAATTTTTCATGTAATTTGTTAAAAAGAGTCATTAGACAATCTACACATGAGAAATGTAGTTGATTAACACGTACGGAGTATATTTTAGAATATCCACGTGTAAATTTACGCATGTCTTTTTATGAGCGATAGGTTGTTAATGATCATTGTGCCGAGTTGATGTCGATGGAAGTTCCAATTGATTCCTCAAAAGTTTTAGAGCCTGAATTGGAAGCTCCAACTTTTGCATCTCCTGCAATCAACAACACGCAGCCTTTGTGGGACATAATGAATCGACATTCATCTCTGTCGAAGCACGGTGATGCAAAAAGCTCTAGGAATGACCCAAAATCTAAAGGCTCGGCAGGCCTCAATATGATGGTACCGATACTCATTCTTATTTTGTCCCTCATAATTGGGGTGGTAATGCTTGCAGTGAGATCATCCTAGTGCCATTGTGGATACTTTGCTCAAGTTTACCTTTGCGCGTAAGTATATCACTTTACCTCCGATAGAGTTCTTTTTGAGAAGTTTCATACGAGTTTTTCTTTCAAAATTGTCTCGTCGTATGCGTGTTTTTTCTTCGCTCTTGGTTCTTAACAATTGACCCCATTGTAAGTGAGATGGCAATTTTGGTAATCATTTTGACTGAAACTAATACACACTTTCAACATTTGTGTGTAAGTATGGGACAAATGGTAATATTAATTATACTCGGCAAAAGACTTAGGGACTGTTTGTTTCAGCCTCTTAATGGTTCAGATGTCTGAATGGTTCAGCACTTAATGGTTCAGACTGTTTGTTTCAGCCTCTTAATGGTTCAGATGTCTGAATGGTTAAGAGATTTGCCTCTGAATGGTTAAGTATTATACAGAGTCTGAATGGTTAAGACCTCTTATCTGAATTGATCAGACATTTGTCTCTGAATAGTTAAGCAATATACTAGCTCTTAATGGTTAAGACCTCTTACTGGTTCAGCACTTAATGGTTCAGACCTCTTACTGGTTCAGCACTTACCTATTCAGAAGTTGCCAAACAGCCCCTTAGTTCTGTTCACAATGGTTGATTAAACCTATTTTTAATTCAATTTAATTCAAAATTAGTGTAAAAATTAGGAAAAATTATTTCAAATAATCTCACCTTTTGCCTTTTTCTAAAAATAATTTTACTTTTCATTGTCGCAGAAATAATAACATATTTTTCCTTATGTGTGCGAGTTTGGGGTCACCGTTAGCATCTAAGAAAACTTCATGTTTGTTTGCAAATAAATAACAAGCAATATTATTTTAGGTAATTTTTTTGTTTTTTTAATTTCTAATTTTAAATTTGAATGTATTTTAAAATGTTTTTTTTAAAAAATAATACCAAATTTAAGTGATTTTTAGAGTAAAACTAATTATTTTTTTAATAATCGATAATCTAGTAATAATTATTTTTTTGATAATTCTCTATAAATGTTTGATGCAAAAACAACATTATAATAATTGTGAAAATAATAAAATATTTTTTTCTTTGAAATGGAACTTTTGTTTTTGTAGCTCATTACATTTTTTGTTGTATTGTACTCCCTCTGTTTCATTTTAAATTGCTTGTTTACCTTTTTTCTCTGTCCCAAAATAAGTTGCATGTTAGTTGTTTTCGTAAACTTTTAAAAACAAAATACATAAACTACCCCTAAAATAAGTCACTCATCTTCACCTTATCTTCTCAATCATCGTCACCTCTCCTAAAAAGTAATGATAATTTCGGAAAATTAACTCTATTTTTTCTTTTTCTTAAATATGCCCAAAAATAAAAAATAGTGATTTAAAAGGGGTCAGAGGGAGTAATTTTTTTATGAACGCTCCAAAATATTTATCGATAATGTTCTATTACGCATATTGTTTTTTCTGAAATGGCGCTACAAAACATGTGATTTTTTTAATAATTCAATATAAATTTTTTTCCAAAAATAATAATTTAAATATTCTAAAAATGACTATTTTTTCCCTCGAAAATGGGATTAATTGTTCTTGTAACTCATTACAATTTTTTTGCATTGCAATTTCTTTCTCGAGAGATACTTTGAATTTTTTTCCGATAATCCAATATTAGATTTTCCCCTAAACAGAACACAAAATTTGTAAATCGTTATATTTTTAATAAAAGAAATGAGACAAATCTCTAACAAGAATGTGTTGTTATATTTTTAAAACATAAATTTAAAATTTAAAAATAAAAAAAGTAAATTTGTCTAAAATAATTCTACCTTTTATTTATTTGCAAAACAGACTTTTCTAGAAATTCAATTAAGTGACCGTTAGCTTCTTAATGGCGACGCAAAATTATCATATATGAAAAAGGTAAGTTTATTTTTTGTGAGAGTAAAAAGTGAAATTATTTTTGAAAAAACGTGAAAAAGTAGAATTATTTAAGATAAATTTTTTTAAAAATTAAAAAAATACTCCCTCCGTCCGTAAATGATGTTTCCATTGTACGTTTTTTTCTGTCCAAAAATGATATTCCCATTCTACTTTTTAACACATAAACTACCCAAAATACCCCTACCAAATTCTTCTATTTTCTTTCTTTCTCCTCCTTTTCTCACCCGGATCTCTGCCATTTCTTCAACTTCTTTTCTCCCCCCATGCCGTTCTTAGTCTTCTTCTACCGTCTCTCTTTTTCTCTCCACCTCTATTCTTCTTCTCTCTCCTCTCCCTCGTCTTCACCCCCTATCCTTTTTTGCATTCTTTTCTTTCCCTATTCGGCCCTTTTTTTCTCCAAAACTGCTCCTTCCTTTTCTTCTTCTTTCCATTCTTTCTCATGTTTGCTTGTTTCCCAGATCTGCAAGATCTACATCTGTTCATGATATAATGGTGGCGATGGATGCGATGGTAGAGTCGGCCGCGATAGTGGGCTAGCGACGACGGGGCATATGTTTTTCTTCTCCACTTTATTACTCAGTTTTTTAGATCTTGAATTTTGGGGTGGGTCTAATGGGATTGGCAATTATGCTGGAGATTGAGGCGATGGGAGCGGCGGCAGTTGAGAGGGCCGGCGGCAGTAGTGAGGGTTGTCGGCGGCATTGATTGGAGCAGATGGAGTTTATGGATGAGGGCAGGAGTAATGCTAGCAAAAGAGGGTATTTTGGACATTTAATCCTTATTGTCAACTCTCCTTAAAAATGAAGAAAAGTTAAAACGGGAACATCATTTCCGGAGGGAGGGAGTATATGAATAAACACAAAACATTGCCTCTTAGTCCAACCACTGGTTATCTCACAAAAGCACTTTTTATTACGGAATAGAGTAATTGAGTAATCGAAGTAAACAAAAAATGTAAAGACACACAGATTGTGTTGGCAATATCCACAGGCGAGAACGAAGACAAATTGTATTATAACAACTGTTCCAGAGTACATAGTTTTTGTGTCATACCTCCATATAAATAGGCACACAAGATGGGCTAGGCCCAATACAACAATTAGAGCCCAATACAACATAGCATACCGTCAAACAATACAGAATCAAGACATATTAACACAACAACGCCTCAATCCATCATATACGGAGTATATGTAGCCCAGTTCTATTACGGAGTAACTTTTATGGCATCAAATGTTAGAAAATTTGACTTTGGACAAAATAAAATGAGATAGAGTTGTGCAGCATGCCCGCCAGACTATAGTAAATTAACAGAGTTACTGATACAAATCATTATTCATGGTCAGGTAAATAAACATACAAGATACTATAGTAATACACTGTAAAAAAATGCTGCAACAACAATTTGCTGCGCTTCAAAGTTGAAGTAGTTCAAGGCATGCCATTGGAAGCATCATCGCTTGGGAAGTCTGAACCGCTAGGAATTTTCCCGGGATAATCCGTTGTGGGAAGATCCGATCCAATCATACTGCATGCATTTAATTATTATACAAATAACTTATCGTGAAAAATAAAGTAAATAATGTTTTATGCAAAAAATATGAATTTTTAAAGTAAATTATTCAATATGGAGTATGAAGCATGTTCTAATAATGCTTAATGTATGTGTCATAAGAGTATAATGTTTAACCAATAAAATTTATTTTAAAAAGTGATTTAGGAAAATACGGTTTTCTTTTTAACTGTTTTGTCACAAAACTCCATTTTACATAAATAAAACGTATGAGATAGGAAGAACATAGAGAAATGTGTATTTTTACCCTCTGTCGGCAATAACTATTGACCGAAGTTCACAATTCTTAAATCTGCAAAAATGGAAATAAACAAACCAAACCATCAGAATTACTTAAAACCAAATATACATCACAAACAAGAAAAGAAAAGTAGATATGACACAAATGTACCCTGAACAAATCGTAGCGTTATAAGCCCGTTTTTATCTCTATTATTTTCCAGCTCATTCTTAGCCTAATTTTATCAACTCCAAAAAACAGTACTCCGTAATTTATACGACAACATGCAATTCTCTAAGGCTGCAGCAAAGCGAAGGGGCTTACGGTCTGCAAATTTCACTCTTCACATTTGGATGGCAGTCATTTCCAAATTCACTCAGGGTATGAATCAAGAATCCACTGTGAGTAACCACTGCAATTTCCTTCTCCTTTCGCGTCCACAGCCTGTCCCATACATTAATACATAGTTTTGTGACTAAATAGTAAACGAGAAATAAATAGTAAAATTCCTTAATTATAGATTACTTCTTCTCTAAAAAACTAGTAAACGAGAAAGCATTTCCTGAACGTAATGGCATAAAGTACATTACCACTTTAAAAAGTTTGACCCCCTCTTAGCAACTTCTTCGTTTGTCTCCCTAATGTCCTCCTTCCACAATGTGTCATCATCATCTTCAATCTATTAAAAAAACACAAGTTAGTGGAAATGGCATTGGTCCAACCCGTGTTGCTTCAAAATATTTTAAATAGGAGTCACTACTTTATGTGTTTGTGGGACAGGAATTGGGTGGTAAAGTAATATTATCAGAGTAATGCATGAGTGAGAAAATCAAAATAAAATACTTGCCAATGAGAAATCAATTGCTGGAAATGAAGGCTTATACTCACTGATGCTTCTTCTTTTATCACACCAATGAACCCCCTGGCATTAAGCGAGATAGATGAGATTAAAGATTACCAAGCACTGTGTAGTTAAGCACTTCATTATCTGTTTAGGACTAAATAGATGCAGTACAACATGGACCTCTCCTTGAGCAGGTTAGGGATGGGGAGAGTAAAAAAAAGATGCAGTACAACAATACAATTTGCCTTCTCACTGACACACACATTACACAAATGGGGCAAAAGATCATAGGTTAGGGCTTACTATGTGTTCTCGACACAATTCCATCGCCAAGAAAGGTGGGCATCTTAGACTTAAAATTGCAGGCCGGCTACTGCTCCCAGCATTTGCCACCATCAGTGGAGGATCTTGAATTCCATCTGCATGGTCTTCTCCCCCAAAGACGCCAACTGCTGTTTGCATAGTCCTTATATGTAAATACCATTGTCAAAGATGGGTCAAGCATCAATACAAAAAAGTGTCAAATACTACTGGCTTTCTAGAAACATTTCAGTCTCTATGGATTCCCACTCGACTCTAAATTTTAATTTTCAGACACTACTTGATGCAAGAGCTTCATTATTTATCATACAATATGATACCTCAATAAAGGTGAAGTGACAACCAATTCCACCTTCTTAAAAAGACCAGATGAGTGAACATGTTTGCGTAGATTATCCGCCTGTAACATTACTAAACCATTAGACATTCTTCAATTACTAAAGGGTACATAAGTATAAAGGATAGAACAGAAATGGGGGGATCATATTAATTCAAAGTTTTGTAAGAATTTTTAGCAACAAAATTAGCAAATACTCATTTCTTACCTGCTCCCAGCCAAGAGGGGTTAGGTTTGCATCAAAGAGGTGTGGAGAGAGGTATGCAGCACGGTCCTTTTCTCCTTCTACATTGTGAAATCCCTGAGCATGCCTCACCTATGAAATATGGGAACAAAAAATGTCATTTACAAGATAGTAGAAAAGGATGAACTTGACTAAATTGAAGTATGCGTATATTGCACTTGTCAAACTAAAGAGATGGGAAGAAAGAGAAACCAGGTGTATTGTTTTGCAACGGTGCAGAGGGTAGACACCCTGACCTCCAGATGCATCCATGTCTACAACTGGAAAGCAAAAAACCAATTGGAGGATTAAAACAAATTTTCACTAGGAAAACCCAAAGGCAATGAAGTCATTAAGCAAGCACCCGAAACAGTTCTTCAACTACAGAAGTAACTATACCATAACTACTTATCAGATGTAACATTCTTAGAACAGACTTATTCGGCCTTCTTGTATCACATAACTATTAAGTTAAGTTCAACACTGAAAGTACTTCCGCTCAAATTTAGGTGCCAAAACTTCATTGTAAAGCTTCGTGGCACCTGAAATTTGTTTAACACTAACTTAGTTAGTCAACATACTTTCACATCTCATCGCCAAGTCTGGATGAAAAACAAGAACAGAAAAGATATATTCAGGTCATTCATCTAATGCATTATTATTATTATTACTACGGTGTTAATCATTCTAAAGCTTGGGATTCAAACCTAAAATGCGCATATTCAGATGTCACTGCTTAAATTCCACTACGCAAAGGAAAAACCATAACATCATAACAAAAATGAAAACCAGAGCAATCAACGATCATCGCGAAACACACACGTGCGCGCACGAATCACGACGATCCGTACCGATCAAACCAATCATTTCAAATCACGAACCGCATCTGACAGATACGCCACAGACACGGAGGGATGGAGGTACTTACCGGAGGACGAACAACAAAGTGCAGCGGGGCGAGATGGATGGAGGACTCCAGGAGAAGAGGCGCGTGTGAGACGGTGGCGGAGGCGCGTTGCGGTTCCGGAATGGAGATCTGGAGTGGGAGGAGGAGTGGTATGGCTCCGGGATAACAGGAAATGGACTTTGACAAATTGAAACTGCATAATACGCTCCGTGCCAAACAAGTGGCCGGCAGAGAGATATGCGGGTAATATTCCTTTTCTGTTTTTTTTCTCTTTCGGTTGAGTATAATACTACTATTTCGGGCTTCTGTCTTTATTTGAATTTTGAACCCGCTAGCCCATTTGGAAGCCCATCATATAATGATAACTAATTTTAATTTTGTCTTTAGATGGCCCAATTATTAGGGCCTACAACCAACAATCATTTTAAGCCATTCCAAAAAAAAAATGAATTATTATTCCCTCCATTATAGACCTAAAGTCTGGTTAGGGCGACACTTTTTAATTACAAATTTGAAATATTATTTAGTGATTTAAGCCATTCCATGCCTTCTAGTAATATAAAATTACATGTATGTAATTATTTTAATTAGTTATAAACGATAAATGTCTTGTTTGGGAGTGTTGTTTACGATTAATGTTATCATTTTAAATATTTTTTAATGATGTTAATTAATTTTTAAAATACGAAAGCTAAGTGATGTTGTTAAATAGTATTTTTAAAATGTTGAATCTGTTGCCCGACGCACTCAAATAAATGTTGAACAAGTTCCCATTTTTTGGTAGTACTATTGTATGCATTTTTTTAAACATGTAAGGAGCTGTTTGGCAACTTCTGAATACGTAAGTGCTGAACCAGTAAGAGGTCGGAACCATTAAGTGCTGAACCAGTAAGAGGTTTGAGTCATTAAGAGCTAGTATATTGCTTAACCATTCAGAGGCAAATGTCTGATCAATTCAGATAAGAGGTCTTAACCATTCAGACTCTGTATAATACTTAACCATTCAGAGGCAAATCTCTTAACCATTCAGACATCTGAACCATTAAGAGGCTGAAACAAACAGTCTGAACCATTAAGTGCTGAACTATTCAGACATTTGAACCATTAAGAAGCTGAAACAAACAGCTCCTAAATCTCTTTCATTCTATATGAATATATTATTATATTTTTTTCCAACGACTTTTTTCTTCCCACCTATATTTTTTCTATTCTTCATTACATACACTATGCTCTTTTTTACTCTGTACGTATCTTTTAACTCTATTATAAAATACTTCTTTTGTCCCTGGGTATTTGTCACCCTTTAAATTTTTTGACAAAATTGGTAAACCTTGACCTCAAATTAAATAAAAATAATATTAGATATTGATACATAAATAATTTTATTAGATTTATCTGCTCGCTGTTTGGGCCGAGTATGAGGGAAACCTAAGTTAAAGTTCAACCTTTTTTGAAAAATATGGGGATCTATTTAGACTAGAAATCTACTTAGAGTATTATCATAAAGAGTATTTGTCATACTTTTTACTTTTTATAGTTAATCATTTTTAACTTTTAACATATAATTAAATAAAATATATATGGTATATTAATTAAGTAAAATAATAGTTTGAAACGGTATTATTTAATTTCTTGGAGCGACAAGCGGAAATCTTAATTTTATTGTGAACTTTTTTAAGGCAATTTTTTTGAGTACTTTGCATAATGAAAATATTATTATTCATTTTTATTGAGTTTAACTTTTTTTACAATATATGGTTCGAATTTATACAGATAAGAAAAAAACATTCAATTACTCCATATTCAATATTTAATATTCTTTTTTAAAAAATCAAAGAAAAGTTTATTTTGAAATGAAAGACTACTAAAAAACAAAAGATGACTTGTTTATTTCTGTAGGGAATGAGTATTAAATTATTTTGAATATTTTATTCTCTTATTTTTCCCGAAATAAAGATTCACATTTAATTTTTTTATTTCTACTTTTCTTCTAAATAAATCTTTATGATAGAATCATGTGTCTCAACTCTCCGGTCTACTCACAAGTTTAACTTTTTACTCCATATTAACTTTGTTTTCTACTCCCTCCGTTCTCAAAAACACTTCCTCTTTCATTTTTTCCACTTCCAACAAAACACTTTCCCTTTCTATTAAAAAACCACTTTTATCCTTACTTTTTCATACCCTACCTATCACATCGTACTTTTTCTCTAATAATCTATCCATCACATCTTACTTTTACTCATCACATCAGGGGCAAAATTGGAAATCAATTATAATTTAACACTTCTTTATTTTTGCCCCCAAATCAAATGGGAAGGGTTTTTACATACGAAGGGAGTATGTGATACCGAAGTTATGTTGATTACGATCTTAAAGTCTTATTAGACACGATATCTTATTTAACAATTGTTTGCGACAAATATTTAACTAACACTAAAATATATACCGTACGTAGTTTATACTTCAAATATCAAAATAATTAATATTCCCAACATTTTTTTATCATAACAGGACTAACTACGTCAAAACGTAATGTAAAAAAACATCATAAAATATCAATGCAAAATGTTAAATTGTCGGAATTTTACAATATCAATATTTTTATGAGGAATTCACGTAAATAGAACCAAAACATAATGACTTTCTCTAAATAGCACCACATGTGTTTTTCTTCCCAATGTAGCACTTTTAGTCATTATTCAAGTAAATATTCACCATTACAGGACATTATGGACATTATTAAGTGCTATTTAAGGAATAAAACAATTTAAGTGCTATTTAGGGAAATGACTTAAGTTTTAGTGCTATTTAGTGCAAATATTTCTATTTTTATTTATGGGACAAAATCATAAAATATCATATTTTTATTTATATTCCTTATTTTAATCTTATTTAAATTAATTTAGTGAGAGACTTTGAGTTTGAAGTCGAGTAGCTGCAATGAGGGGCAACCTTGCAAATCATGAGACTTCTGCACGTATCAGACATAGATATCCACCCCTACGTCACACGACTCTAAAATTATAGCTTAATTTATCTCATCTCAACTGACTGGTGAGTACGAGGGGTCTTAGCTTCCAAGAGGAGGGTTCATCATTTTTTTACAATTGAGGACATTTGGGAGAGAAAGAAGAGAATGAGTACACATTTTGTGTGATGATAGATTGTCTATAATTGGTGCGCTCTATTCAAAAGCCTCGGCGTTAGGGCATTGCTACAAAACAAACTAGTACGAAGACAATATTTTTTTTGCCAGGCATCATGGCTACCCCTCCCTAGCTACCTACATTTTGAGCGAGAAATAAAATGGTGGTTTTGTCACAATCTTGTGGGCTGCTACCTATCTACTCTCTTCTCCTTCCATTTCTTACATTTCTTACCGGTGGAAATTGTGCAGTTGGTAAAGATAAAGAGTGTCAAGGAGGTAGGATTTGAGTTTAATTCACTCTTTGCCACTAATCTGCAATCAAAATTAAATTTACCTCCTCCCAGTGACCGTCTAGCCGGATCTAAGAGTCCTCCAGGAATGGGGTCCATCCATTTGTTTCTTCTCCTTCCATTTGTTTGGAAAAAGCTTGAAGAGTTTCACTTTTCACCTAAAAAATACACACAACAAATGCCCCATTAACTATTTGTATGAGAGTCCGGAGTACTTGTTATTGCCTATATTTTACCTTTGGTTAAATAGGGTTTCGATAACATTGCATGCATTTGTTATGAAATTCGGGAGTAATTTTTTAAAGAACCTTATCTATTATGTTCCGGCAGAATAGTTACTTGGGTGAGATAAATTAAGTTATAGTCTTACTTTCACAAATCAAAAGTAAAATTTGTTCACGGTGTGAGAACAAGATCCATGTTATGCTGATTACCCTTCATTGTCATTGTCAGGAGTCGAACCCAAACATTACCTACTTTTGTCTCGAACACCACATTCTTCAAATTAAGCATCGATAGTCTAACGAAAGAGAGGATTGTGCGAGCACTAGGGTTCGAATCTTAGAAAGAGCTATTATTGCTTCCAGGCCGATTTCAATGCTATTGGCTTTCGGTTGCTACGGAAGCTTCTGTCCCGATTCAAACACTTACGTCGTAAAATTGATAGTTCTTACTTCCTACCCTCCGTTCGATAACTTGATCACCAAAAAAAGAATGTAATTAAATATATGCAGTTACTAAAAACTTCCTCTTTTCCAAAGAATGGTTCCATTAAAAAATTCAATAAAAAAAATTGTGGAGTTAAAACGTACATTTAATTTGGAGAGGGGGGAAAATACAATTAAATATAGAGAGCAGTATTGGGCAGTGTGGCCCGTTGTTTTCCCCAAACGGCTCAAACATCCTCCGTATATGCCCCCACTGCACGGCCTTTTCCACCGGCCATTCCTTACCTTATTTGCACTTTTGTTTCCCCCCTCTACAATTCTTCACGTTTTTTTGGGCCGTTAGGCTTTAACAGGAGTGAAATATTCTCAAAAGGGTGATGATTAATTAGCGGATTAAGCTATTTGTACACTAAAACTTGTACTATATTTTAATTTTAATTTCCGAAGACGTACATCGATAATTTATGTTAGTGTATTGATTTACATTGATAAAAAATATTAGTACAAATTCTTGAAATTGAACTGACATTTTGTTTCAGTGTGAACTGTTAAAATGTCGGAGCATTTCTTTGGAGTACACTTTTTGGTGTTTTAATTAGCTTGTCTCTAACTAAAATGAAAGAACATGTTTTATTAACCATTCTAGAATGTGCTTACAAAAGTTTCACTTTCCTCTTTTGTTTTGTCAAAATTGTTAAAGACATCAAAATTGTCAGTGATTAGTTAAAGTAATAAAAAAAAATTGTCCCTTCCAATATTTTTTTACGGTATGTGGCAGGGTTTATTTCTTGTCCATTACAATTTAAACATTTTTCCTCTCACATTTCTCTTCATCTTCTGATCTATATGATTTAGTATTTTGAAGCTAATTAACACCATCTCCTGTTTTGTTTTACTTCTGATTATTTTTTAATTACATTGTGTGAAACCAAATCACGAATTTATTTGGGGAGCAGGAGTAAAATAACAAAAACTGAAAAATAAATGTAAAGCCAACTCTCTATATATATATATATATATATATATATATATATATATATATATATATATAGACACTCACACACAATACTATCTCTCACAAAGTATTTGTCATTATATAACTTTTTTGTAGTTATAATTAATTAAATAAAAATTATACTCCAATGGATATTGATGCACAAATAATTTTATTAGATCTATCTTGTAAAATAATTTTAAAATATTATTTTATGCAATTAATATACCATGTACTTTATATTTAATTATATGTCAAATATTGATATTAAATGACTACAAAAAGATAAAATTAGACGAATAATCATAGATGAAGGGAGTAATTAAGAATAGCAAGAGTGACATTTTTATGAATTTAATTAGTTCAATGATGTTTTTACCACTTCATATTTCTTTAACTATTTTCGGTACCTTTCATGTCCATCGATGTAGTATTTGTTCAAATTAATTTCAACCTCTAAAGCATAAAGGTGGCCGGGACTCGAGCACTGGATGTGTCATGTGAGACTAATTTAGCATTAGTTCTATTAAAAAGTTACTTTTATTTATACGAGTACTATTCTTAGAATACATATCACATCATATTTATTCACAAATGAATTAATTTTTTATGGTTATAGTTATTAAAATCTTAAAATGAAATAGGTTACTAACAGAACGGTGTGGCAAAAAATTAAATTGACTCCAAAAAATGTAAAATGCTTTTGTGTGAAAAAGTAAATTGAGATTCATCTCTCCAAATGAGATAAGGGGAATGGTACGGTACAACAATGATATACTCATAATATGACCTTTTCCCCATTACGGGTTAATGATATTATATAATTGATTGAACTAATTATATCCCAAAAGCTTACCTCAAATCATATCATACCTTTTTTTCTATCGTTGTAGCATATTTTGCATGTGAATCATGCAAATATTGTATGAGGAATTTACTTAAATAGCAATAAAACATAATGATTTTTCCTAAATATAGCACCACATGTGTTTTATTTCCAATGTAGCACTTTTAGTCATTATGCATTAGTCATTATTCAAGCAAATATTCGTCATCACTGGACATTATGGACATTATTAAGTGCTATTTAGAGAATAAAACAATTTAAGTGCTGTTTATTGAAATGACTTAAGTTTTTGTGTTATTTAGTGCAAATATTTCATATTTTATAAATGTATACTTTGAGGTATATTCTTTAGGGTACGCCTGACATGATTGTATATTATTGTGTGCTCATGTGGGTAATTATTGATTTGTTTGGATATAAAGAGAAAATGAAAGAGAAAGAGATAGAGAAGAGAATATGAAAAGAAAAGGAATGTTTTTGAATGAGTAAAAAAAGAGGGGAAAAAATGCTGCAAGAGGAGAAATTTTAATGTACTCTATTTGTGTCAAATTAATCTTTCGAGTTATTATTACAGCCACTCGATAAATTATACGGAGTATTTGTATGTACATTGCATTGATCATTAAATAAAATGAAATATTTTTATCATCTTTTATTTTGTAAATTTTTTAATATAGTTTTAAATGATGCAAATTGCATTGATTATTTCTATTGAAGCTAATATAGTTTTAAATGATGAAAAGTGTAAATAAAATTATTTTTAAAAAATTAGATTTAATTTCCACGTTCTTCCAAATGTAAAAAATAGTTTAGAAGGGTGGTAGTAGAGCCCGGCCATTTCTATTTTTTCTCTATCTTCTATCTAAAACAAAAAAGATAAAACTTCTCATTTTATGTGTTGTTACTTCCTTTTGTTTTCTACTTATTTTCTTTCAATTCCAACACAGACCAATGTTTTATTTAGGAACATTGTTTTTAACTAGGGTAAGTATTTTCGAAACATTTTTAAGTAGATTGACAAATTTATAAAAAACTTAATCTATACACTCTTGTCAGATAACATTTTCAAAATACTTGAGTTATATGTTGAAATCATTGTCAAAACCACGCCCAAGAGCATATACAATGGGTCGGGATCTCGTCTCGCACTCACGGTCACGTCATCATTCTCTTCCTTTTCTGAACTAGGCAAATACACCTTCAATGTTATTGCTCTCTCGCCATGTCTCCTCATTTATTTTACAATATTCATCATTTTTACAAAAAAATTAAACTTATATAAATTTGATAAAAATATGTATCTATTAATAAAATAGATAAATAATAGTAAAATAAAAATAAAAAAGTAAGCAATAACTATAAAATACAGAACAATGCAACTAAATACAAAATACTACATCAATAGGGGGGATTTGTTATGCTTAAAATTTAAATTTAAATTAAAAATACTAAAAAATAAAAAAGTGATTGGAAATTTAAAACTTTAAAAAATGCTATTGATTTCTCCCTCTGGCCATGGCGTGGGTCGCATCGTTCATGTCGTTGTACATCATCGGCTCCCTTTCTGAAATTCTAGATGTACTCTGTTTCATGAGTGCGCGCTTTAGGTTGTTGATAATATTAATCCTACTCGTTTTCTCATGGTAAGTATACGTTATATATAACGTCGGTTTGGGGGGGTGGATGGCATACTTGGAGCCTTAGCCTTGACCTTCCCTTTCATCTTTTTGAAATATTTGCACTAAAGAGCACTAAAGCTTAAGTCATTTCTTTAAATAGCACTTAAATTGTTTTATTTCCTAAGTAGCACTTAATAATGTCTAAAATGACCAGTAATGACGAATATTTACTTGAATAATGACTAATGCATAACGACTAAAAGTGCTATATTGGGAAGAAAAACACATGTAGTGCTGTTCAGGGAAAGTCATTATGTTTTTGTGCTATTTGAGTAAATTTCTCCATCTTTTTTGCTACCTTCATCCCAATTGAACATCTCTGACGGTTGGGTTCCTCCATGACGAACCAGTCTCGGAGAGTTTGGTTTGTTTTGGCTCCAATCCTCCGGTGTCCCAATGCTGAATTTGGGACTCTTGTACAGAAGTTTCCAGACATACAAGAACTAGAAAATCTTTTTTTTTGTTTGGAAATAAAGGTCTTTTGCCTTCAAGAGATTATCTGTATCATGCTCATCCTTGGTGTGTGGTAAAAGTTCCCCTTTGTAAAAGCTCTAAATAAATACTCTCTACGTCCCAAAATATTTATAACATTTTCCTTTTCAGCAGTCGCAGAAACTTTTGTTTATTTCTACGTTTTCATTGGTTATTTGATAAAATAAAATATTATTCACAACTCTTATTTTGAAGAATTTTTTATGTAGTTTTTTAATATGTAAATTTTATTTTTTATTTTTATACGAACATGTAAATAAAATGAATTGAAAAAAGTCTTGATATTTTACTTCAGAAATACAAGTGTGACAAATATTTAAGAAGGGATGAGTAATCATTAGTTAACAAGTTTTTTCAAAGGTCCATCCTTACCATATCATTTGTGGTGGTCAAAAGTGAATTGCAGGTGACAAACACAAGCCCACAACGGGACAGAGGCAGCATTACACGTCAGATTTCCGAGATTTCTGATTCCCACGTAGCTCCTTCCCTACTGTACTCAGAAAATTAGATTGACTGATTTTACCCCCCTCCCTAACTTTTCACTTCACTATAGGGACTAGTACTTGGTTAAAATTAAAAACATTACTCCGGTACATAATAAGTAAAAAAAATGTATGTACAAAAATATTCCTTCTCCCCATAAAACAACATTGCATAAAAAGTAAAAATAAAAATACTCTGTAGGTATATAGGGAGTAAATATTTTTCTTTTTTTAGATAAATTATAATTGCACACTTCTCAGTTTTAATTTTTCTCAACCATTTTTTTTAAAAATCTTCAATATCAAAGTGGGAAAATTAATTAATTAATTTTAAAAAGGAAATGTAAAGTTTATATATTTTTGAATACTAATCACTGTATCACATTATAGAATCTGTTTATACAATTCCAATCTATTAAAACACATAGAATTACTGCTTTAAAATTTATATTAAAATAATTTCAAAAAAGAAATCTATTTTTAGAGTCTAAAGTCTTGTTTGAAAATAATATTTTCCATTAATGTTTATATCGAATGTTTAAAATGGGGATAAAAATTGCTTAATTATATTTTTATTCCTTAAAAAAAGTTTAAAAAAAACTCTTGGTAATTGGCCTCTATATTTTGCCTCTTCCCTCCCCTACCCCTTCTTCACATCATCTTCCGAAGCTTCTCTCACTCAAAAGCTCTCTTCACCTTTTTTTTTGTCAGAAAAAAAAGAGTAAAAACAGATCAGAGAGGAATGGATTACTACGAAAATTGGTTCTCGGAAGAATTGGTGGCTTTGAGAAGTGAACATTACGACGAAAAACCGATTATCAATGACGAGATCTGCTTCAATTATTACGACGACATTGGCGGCGCCGGCGGGGGCGAGTGGCTGCAGAGCGGCGATTGCTTCGGTGAAATTGCAATTCCACCGCCCCCCGCCACGGTCTCAGCCTGTTTTGACGATGAATGTCTGGCATTCGCCCAGCAGAGCCGGGACGGATACGGTTCGCTGTTCCCCGATTTTTACTGCGGCGGTTACGGGCCGCAGTTACTCGGAGACGAGGAGTCGTTTCTCTCGAATTCGTTGCTGTTTCCGTCGTTCCCGGAGATCGTGAACGACTACAGCTGCTGCCGTGGTGGCGGTGCTGTATCTTCCTCCGTCGCCTTGGAGCCTGCCTCCGCCGTGGATGTTGAGGCGCCGGCGGGATGCTTCGGCGACGACATTCGGAGTTGCTCCGACAAGAACGAGAATGAGGATAAGAATAAGAAGGCGGTGAAGTCGAAGATGAATAAGATCCATGGACAGCCGTCGAAGAATTTGATGGCGGAGAGAAGGCGAAGAAAGCGGCTTAACGACCGCCTCTCCATGCTCCGATCAGTTGTTCCCAAGATCAGCAAGGTAAATAATTAATCACTCATCTCTCCCCCTCATTTTTTACCATTACCTTTTCACGACTCCTATTAGACAATCTTCTCTTAATCCTTTTTTTTTGGTAAAATCTTCCGTGGTTAAAAGTTCATACTAATTTTATACTCCTTAAAAGAGAAATTTACCTAAATAGGATTAAAACATAATAACTTTTCCAATATATGACTATATGTTTTTATTTTCCAATGTAGGATTTTTGGTCATTATCATGCAGTCATTATTCAAGTAAATGTTCATCATTACTAAACATTATTCTTCCTACTAGGTCATTATTAAATCCCATTTAGAGAATAAAAAAGTTTAAGTCCTATATTGGAAAAGACATTATATTTTAGTTCCATTTAGTGCAAATTTTACTTCTTAAAGTCATGGATGAATTGAGTTTTTTAAAAAAATAAAAAATTATCATACGGGTTTATTAAAAATGTAAGAATATCTATACACGAATTATATAATGTTTCCAAAAACAAAATTAAATGTTGAAGCAATTGTAAAATATACACATTCTTCAAGTTTAAGAAAAAAATAGAAAGTGCCGGTCGGCACTGCGCGGTTGGCAAGGCAAGGGGTAAAACTCAAGTTCGATTCTTGGCAACTGCGCTGGGAGGCAACTATGTTAAACATATGGCTTTTGCAAATACCAAGTCGAGGCTCTACTCTTTTCCACCAATCTGCGATTAAAGTCTAATTTACATCTTCTCAATGACCATCGACCGGATCTGATATGGTGATCCAGATGTAGCTCATCCTTTTTTTAAAGAAAAATAAGGAAAGTAAATACTTAAAATTACCACGTACTTCATTAGAATAAGTGTGCTATGTGTTCCTCAACATAGGACACACTACTTATACATCATGTTTTTTTTATATGAAAAACTCTCTTCCTCTCTGTGTATAATTATCATTTTTTTAATGCAGCATTTTTTGGGTGTTAGAAAGGTAAAAAATGTCACAATTTTTTTCTGGGAACGGATATAAAACTGATTTAACAGCTCTCAAAAACACTATTTTGGTGCACATGGATCTGAATCAATAAAGTGTTGTATTTGTGTGTGAGAGATTGTAGATGGACAGAACATCGATATTGGGGGATACGATAGAGTACATGAAGGAGTTGTTAGGTAAAATCAACACTCTCCAAGTGGAAATGGATACAAAAGACCTCACCATCTTCCACAATGTCAAACCCAATGAGACGGAACTCAAAAATTCACCAAAGGTAAAATCAACCTTTTTCACATTATTGTCTTCAAAAATTACTCACGGGTGACGCGAGTTTTGTTGAAATAACTATCAGGTCCCTCTATTTTCAAAAAGACAGCAGAGGTCCTTACATTTTGTTGTAATGACTGGAAGGAGACATTTCATCCAATATTTCATCTATAAACGTTAATAAATGTATTTTTTTCCTATTCTTTTCTAAATGTTTTAAGGTAATAAATTTTAGGTCGCTCCTTTTTTTATTTCTTTGTTTTTTTTTCATTTTGTTACTATTTTTTAAAAGTGTTATTTTAGAATTTCTTCTATAAAATCGTATAAAAATTCAAAATTGTTTGTATTATATTAAAACAAATGAAATAAAAAAAATTTAAAAAAAGAAAAAACAAGGTAATGGCAAAATAGGAAAAAAAAGTATTGGAAAAATAGGAAAAAAATTCATTTATTAACACTTACGGATGATGTATTGGATGAAATGTCCCCTCTCAGTCATTACAACAAAATATAAGGACCTTGGTTGTCTTTTTGAAAATAGAAGGACCTGAAAGTTATTTCCACAAAACTCGCGTCACCCGCGAGTAATTTTCTGTATTGTCTTCCACAAATTTCTTCCAGTTTTTTTATTTATTTATTTAAAAATACTCACTCCATCCAATAATAAAGTTCTCGTTCACTATTCACAGGCTTAGCCTCGTGTCCTATTTGATACGGAGTAAAATAATATAGTCATGTCACCTCTAGATTTGTAGATCTTTTTATGTAATTTTTAAATATGTAATTTTTATTTTTTAATTTCATACCATTTTTTTATATAAGATGATTTAAAAAATAACTTCAGTCAAATATCTTAATACACAACGAGAATTTTATCTATGGAGTATATTGTGCGGGGCATGTTATTTTTCATTTTTCAACTCAAATCACGAATGCATAAGTTCTACACCCTCCGTCCAAAAAAAATGTTCTTGTTTCATTTTTTACGCATCTCATAAAATATTTTTATTCCGTTTCAAATGTCAAAATAACTTCTACCCTGTACCCACAATAAAGGAGAAATATGGTAAATTTTAGCTTTTTAGACGTAGGTAGAAGTATTTTACGAGATACGCAAAAATATGAAACAAGAACATTTTTTTTGGGACGGGGTAAGTATTTTATTAGAATTAGTACTGCCTCCGTCCTAAAACTATTTTCCCAGTTACTATTCACACGGTCAAACCCAAATCGCTTTCTTTACCTATTTTCGCTACTTATTTGATAAAATAATATAGCCTTGTCACTTCTCTTTTTTGTAGAACTTTTAATGTAGTTTTGAAATATGTTACACCTACAATCAAATAAATTGAATTGAAAAATTTGGTCAAACATCGTAAACACAAACGGGAAGATGGTTTTAAGACGAAGGGAGTATTGATTTCATAGAGAAAAGGGTAAATATGGAAAAAAGTGGGTTTTGGGTTGCAGTTTGAAGTGGAGAGGAGAGGGGAGAAGGAAGCGAAGATAGAGATATGCTGTGGGGGGAGGGCGGGTCTGTTACTGTCCACCGTCGCCACTCTGGAGACTCTGGGCCTTGAGATTCAACACTGTGTCATTAGCTGTTTCAATGACTTTGCTCTGCAGGCCACTTGCACCACGGTAATTTTTTTTAATTTTAATAGCTGTAATTTTTCTTCTTTTTTTTTTTGCTACAAATTATTCACTTGCTGATTTTTGAAGATTTTGTCACTAAATTTCTAACCAATTATGGAGTAGAACATGTTGCATTGACCAAATTAGTTTCCCAATTAACTCATTATATATATATATATATATATATATATATATATATATATATTCATTTTTTATGAAAGTAAATTCTATAGTAGATCTAAGCATTTTAAAAGTGAAATGAGTGATTTTTTTAACAAAAACATTTAAAAACCCATTTGTGACAAGGACGACCACAGATTTTTCTGGATTTCAAGTCCATAATATATCTATGTTGTTTTAATAAATAATTAAGAAAACAAGTAAAAAGAAAATAGTTTATTTTATGAATAATGTAGTCCCTAGTAAAAGTTGTAAAACAATTCAAGTAAAACACACATAAAATGGGGAAAATGGAGGAGTTACCAACCCCTATCATGTATCACATCACATGATACATTTGGTATAAAAAATGGACCAACTACTTAGCCTCTTCAACTACATTCTAGTTAAATTTCAAATGACATATATATTGAGGGCATAGTTTAGTTGGTTGAGCAAAGGGTGTCAAAGAGGGATAAATTCAAATTTGATTTTCAACAACTGCATTGGGGACATATGATCTTTGCATGTAGTAAGTGCAGGCTATATGCATTGTCAACAATTTTTTTTACTAAAACTCACTTTATCTTTTCTTAAGTTATTGTTTCATTGGTTTTGATTGAAACATCGATAATAGAGCTCATCTTTTTTTAAAAGTACAAATGTTCATACTCATATTGTGTCCATAAGATTAATCATTGGAAACATCCTCGGATGATAACATCCTACCGCTCTCTTTCATAAAAGGATTTCACGTTTCCTTTTCGTACATTTAAAAAAAAGTCTCACTTTCCACTTTTGAAAATAAATATGTGATCCTTATAATTTTTTCCTTCTCTGCATCATTTTCAATCACACTACAAATTTACTTTCTTTAATCTCTATATCAATTCAAAAGTGAAATCTTTTTATGGGACAAAGGGAGCAATATATACTATATCCGGTTCCAAACTATTTATCTAATTCAACTCTTTTGAGTGGAATTAGACTATTAGAAAAACTGTGAACCTTAATTAAATAAAAAATGTTCTATATATTAATACCAAAATTAGGTAGAAATTTCTAAAGATTATTTCATTGCATTAATATGCATCAAGGAAAGATATCCTTAATCCCCAACTGAATTACAATATATATTTTTTGTGATTTATAAATGGTGATAGGAAAAGGAGCAAAGGAAATGTTTAAGTTCAGAAGAAATAAAGCAGACGCTGTTTAGAAATGCTGGATATGGAGGAAAGGGTTTTTAGTGCATGTGTAGACTACTTATTAATGGCGTATTTTATATTATATATGCATTGAATATTTATGTGAGATTGGAGCTTAGTATTTAGTTATTATTGTGAATTTTGTATTCGTCCTAATAAATAATTAAGTGGCCATCATTTGCTCTGGCCGCCCCTGCTTGGGAGATTATTATAATATTATCATATCAATGGTCTCTTTTTTTTGTTTACTACTATTTCAATTTGTTTTACCCTTAGTTGTATAACATATACTAATATTCAGTAAATAAAATAATGTGGAGAATTATAAAATGTACCCATTGATGAACATTTTGCTATGAGTCTTGGTTTCAACAGATTTTGTGTCATATTGATGAAAAATAATTTTAGTGCAACATTTTTTAAAATTAAAATCAGAGTTACATTTCAATTAAATTTAGACTACCTCAAATAAGGTCATATTGGTAATGTTTAGCGGTAAGGTTCTGTTGACACTGTCATCTAGACATCCAGTGTCAACAAATGACATTCGCCTATTTCCAGCATTTCCGTTGCTCCAAATGAAAATTTCATGGTCTTACCTCCTAAACTAACCCTAAATCCCCCACCACACCACTCCTATCCCACCTCTGAACGCCACCCAAGACCCTCCTTTTACCCCCTCCAAATGTACAATAGCCACACATTTGGAGAGGGTGAGGAGGGAGGGGGTGCAGGGACAGGATTGGAGTAGGGTGCGGTAAGGAATTTAATGGGGTGGACACAATGAATTTTTAAAACATAATATCGGAGGTGCTCGAAATAAGTAAGCAAGTATTATCCGTTCATACTTGGATGACAATGTCAACGAAACATTGTCAAATGTCTATTTTAAATAAGTTTAATTTACTTCCAAAGTTTGTTGGGACACAACCCTACCTATATCGTGGGAGAGAAAGCTTATACCACGGATTTAAAGTTTAAACAACAATGGATGGTTTTCTCAGCTAAGAAAGTTGATAAAATATATTCGTCTTAATGTTATGAAAAATATTATGTAGTTATTAAGCTAATTGTCAAATTTTAAGTACAGTATGAATTAATTTTAATTTTTTTTGCTTGTGACATAAATTTACACAAAGATCGCACAAACTTGAAAGATGCTCCGTACTACTCATAATATATACTCTTAAAAAGATTATTTACTTCTTCAAATGTGAGTTGATATTATGATTTTCACAATTCTACATTTCTGAGATTTCTTACAAATTAGATTTCTTGCATTACATAAGGTGTATGTTTTTATACAATAAAACACACATTGCTCAATGACAGTTTTTTTATGAAATTAAAATTTAAAGTTCATATAGACATTGTAAAATATGCAAAAAAAAATTTTTTTTTGGATATTTGCATTTTTCTATGTTTTAATACAATAATTTGCAAATGTGAAAAATCATTATCATGAACCTTAAGTCTTTTAGCCTATCTTTTTTCCTAATTTTCAATTAATAACTTTGTCCTAAAAGTTACTCCCTCTGTCCCATTTTAAATTGCATGTTTGTCTTTTTTTTCGTCCCAAAATAAGTTGCTTGTTACTTATTATCATAAATTTTTATGAGTAAAATACATAAACTACCCCTAAAATAAGTCACTCTTCTCCACCTTATCTTCTCATTCATCGTTGCCCCTCCTAAAAAGTAATGACAATTTTGAAAAATCAATTCTATTTTTTATTTTCCTTAAATATGCCCAAAAGTCAAAACAGGCGATTTAAATTGGGATGGAGGGAGTAATTTATAGTTTGATATTTTTGGTAAAAAAATTGAAATTTCATTTTAAAATGTCATTTTAAAATATATTTTGTTTATAACATTTATTGTATTTATCTATAGTTAAAAATATTAATAATTCAAAATATCATACGGAGTAATTTTTTAGTGCAAATCAAAATATATGGAATTCAAACTGTTATATTAAAAACTATAAAAATGTAAATTTTGGGACAAAAATATACGAACAGACCTGATGGATTTTGCAGTACATAACAATCATGGCCTAACCTAACAATGAAAAGCAGCCCAACAATAAACCAGGTCTAGTTCTTACAAAGCCCAGTTGCTCGTGTAGCTTGGCCCAAACAGACTCATCTAGTTTATTTGCTTGTTTTTGTCGAGTCTCCATACAATTTATTCAAAATGACGTTTTTCGTATATCCGCACAATTATTAATTTCAAATAAGAATATATTTGCTCATATTTATTTATTTAAGTATTTATTTGCAACATGTATATTACTCTAATACTTTGGTATAAAGTATATGTATGATCATTTGAGAACTAACACGAAACTCGTCACAAATTAATGAATATTCTATTATTTGTAAATGATTATCCGTAAAATCATCGTGCCGTTATTTATATGTTGTATGTTGTCGTTTTTGTCTTTTTGTTGCATTCCTAGAAGAAAAGAATAATAACATTTTTAGAAAAATTCACCACTATTTTGCTTACTCACAAATTCAATAAATGGCACCGTTGTTTTACTCTTTTGTTTAGTATTTTTCCCAAATCTTATACTCCGTATATTTTAAAGTTATTTAAATTTAGAAATTAGTATAAAAACAAAAAATATATGGTACGGAATAACAATTCTTACGGTGCTAGTGTTTTTGAGACTTTAAAAGATACAACATTAGATGATCGCGGTGAAATTGGTGACTCTTGTATAATGAAGATCTAGGAAATATGATTCTCGGGAAATGAGTTCTAGAAAGAAAAGTTATTTTTCTGATATTATTATTCAATGAGGAAAATCAGAGAGATTATTTGATACTTACTCCGTCCTATAATGATCTTCTCAGAGCACTATTCCAAATTCACGGGAATTTATATTTATTTGTGTTTTTTCATGGCTTATATGATAAAATAAAATATTCTTGTCACCACTTGTTTTGTTGAACTTTTGATGTAGTTTTTAAATATGTATGTTTTATTTTTTATTTTTATACCAATATTTAAATAAAATAGATTGAAAAAATTTGGGATTTTTCTTCGTTTTGCGAACCGGGAAGATCATTATAGGACGGAGGGAGTATTAATAATTAAAATCACAATAAAGGGCAGAATTCCAAATTCATAACAACAATATGTAACAAATTGGATTGCATTATTAGGATCCCACACGACAAAGTTTTGGCTTTATCCCTCCCTCCACCGGTCGCCATTTATTTAGAGGTTGTTTTCATCTTTTGTCTCTACTCAAAAATTGCCTTACCTTTTCCCAAATAGGCCTATGAAAGAAAGGTTAAATACCTTGAAGTAGTATTCGTTTGGTGGATTTAGATCACATTTTCTTGTTACTTATTACTTTTTTTTAAATCAATTCAAGTTAAATCAGATCAGAAATAACTTTAAATATAATTACGTTTACATTAAATCAAAACTTATTCTCATCAGATCAGACCATTCAGATCAGGTGAAGAGAATATGGCCTTAAGGTACTTGTTCGTCCATATATTTCTTATTCCGGAACTTTTCATGTTTTCTAATTCAACAATTCGATTATTAATATCTTTATTTGTATACATTTATATATAATAAAAATATCATATTTCAAAAACTCCATGTCAAAATAAATCTATTCACACTTCAACATGTTTTTTACAACAACTTATGGTCGAAGTCAAAAAAAGTGAATCGCATAAGTCAAAATGGGAATAAAGTTATGAGACGGAGTGGTATAACAATTATACTCCCTCCGAAGTCCGATCTTTTTCTGAAATATTTGCCACATTACGCAACACAAAGCAAAATTTTAAGGTTTTTCAAATCTTTTGATTAAAGATAGATAGGACACACAGTCGATGAGCGTTGCACATTCGGTGAAAGTGATATGCGAGGGGAGCGTTACATTTCAAAATTGAATAGTATGAACTGTCGGGGAGCGTTGCAAAGTCGATGAGTTTGAGTTCGATTACTCGCAACTAAGTCAATCATTGAGCTTTTGCATATACCATCTAGAGGTTACACCCTTTTGAGTTTATGTTTTTCTAATAAGGAAGACAAGTATAACACCTATCTTGATTATCTTAACTCCGTGATTCGATAGAGTAGTGAGAAAATAAGCAACATCATAATATTGGTTCGCTTACAATTGAAAAAAAATAAAAAGGGTAAAGCTATTTGTACTCAAAGAATTCGTATCTCATTTTGTACACCGCGGAGATATACCGCCATTTGGTGTTGGTGTAATGCTAATTTTTGTTAACGCACGAACAATTTGTGTCAGTGTGAACCATCAAACTTTTGGTGCATACCTTTGGTGTACAAATAGAGTACAAATTTTAAAATACATATAGCATTCTCAAAATAAAAAATCTCCAAAATGCAAAAAAATTATCTTAAAATTGGAAAATGTCAAAAGGCACTCATTTAGGATGATTATGAGATATCAATCATAAAATTCATGTCTCGTGGCCTCATTTAAGACTTTGTTTAAAGAGAAAATGAACCCTTTCCCCATCAAATCTTATTTTAATAAAACTCGAAAGAGTTTTGTCATATACAGACCTTATCACCACAACAACCACAACCATGGTTAGCCATATCCGTGGTTAACTCGACCATGGTTAAGTCAGTTGAAGACGAAGTGTTATAAATTGAAGTTACAATTTGTGAGCTTTTTCTCAACCCCTTTATATCCCAATCTCTCTCAGCTGGTTGGTTGTCTCAAGATCAAATAAATAATTAATCCCTTTAAATTAATTCATATTGAAATTATATTATCCCGTAATTTTGTTAATGATTTTGATTAGGCGCGGTTAATACTTAAATTAATTAATTGGCGGAGGTTAATTTTATAAATGTAGCAGGGGAAAACAGGGGGGGGGGAAAGATGGCGACGGCGAACGACGGTGATTTCAGCTTCGCCGCCGGGGGAAAAGGGCGGAACGGGCTGGCGAAGATACAGACGCAGAAGACGAGGAATAAGGAGGATGGGATGTGCCACGACGACAGTGCGCCGCCGGTGAAGGCAAAGACGGTGGAGGAGTTGCATTCGCTTCAGAAGAAGAAATCGGCTCCCACCACGCCGCTCACGGCGGCTAACACCCCCTTCTCCGCCGCCCTCTCCGAGGAAGAGCGCCACAAACTGCAGCTCCACTCCATAAGGTATACTCCCTATTTTACCCCCCACCCCCTCTTCCCATTTGTGTTCGGTTTGGGAATTAGGAAAGTCTCTCATCTTCATAACTTCATACTTGCTTGGTTTCAAATTTATTGTCTCAATTTGACTTCAAAAAATTTAAAAGAAAAATGATGGATAAAATTTGTTTAAAAAATAAACAAAAAAAATTCTTCGTTTCGAAATGTTTTTTCTCATTTGACTTTTCTTAGTCAAAATTTGTAAACTTTCAATCTGATATATGAAAAAAATACATTGTATTATGATATAAATTTAATATCAATATATTCTCATAATTTTCAAATATGAATTTTTATACTCTTCTCGTCCCACAAAACCTTTCTGGTTTTGATTTTTAAAGAATTTAATAGGATTGTATTTTGGTGTTTAAAGTAGGATGTGATGGATCGATTAATAGTGAAAAATGTGACGTGATAGATAAGTTAAGATTTAGTAGGGATAATTAGCGGGTAGGAATCATCAATTTTATGAACGAAGCTGTGTGGGGGCAGACAGTGGTTTTCGTGGCCACTGGAATAGGGCCTTTTTTTTGGAATGAGTTGAAAAGGAAAGTGAAACAATTAGGGAGAAAATAATAGAAATACTCATTTTTCGGGAATGCTAGGGGTAGACTAATATGAGATACCACATTTGTACACTAAGCTACCACAGACACACATAACATATGTGCATGCATAGACATTATGTGTCTGTGTATGTCTTTGTTACTTTAGTGTATGAATAAGGCACCCCATGTTCTTTTACCTGTTAATTCAATTTTTTTTTTGCACAAGTACGACTGTACGAGTACGTCAAAAGGTCTAAATTGTGCAATAGTCTGTTTGATCAAGCAGTTATGTGTAGTGAGACACGTATGCGCTATGATTGGTCATTATCCCCTAATCCTTGTGATTTCTTTAAATTCTTGGGCCCGACCCACCATGAGTCAGATGATTATCATCTGTGTGGGAACTGCATTGGTGCATTGGTGGCCGTGTTACCCTAACTTTATTCTAAATTATTCGTCAAAAAAAAGATTTTCCTTTGAGATTTTTGTAAGTTTACAATTCAAATCTTTTCTATTAAAATAAATAGATTGGTGGCATACAATATTGTTATCACTTTTAAACAATATTTGATCACACATTTTTTATTCTCTAACATGTTTTTTAAACACTGTGAAATCAAATCGTAAACAATATTTTGGGCCGGAAGGAGTAAAACACATCATGGATACTCGACTCGAAGTTTGAATTTTTTAAGGAAGAAAATGTTCATTAATGCATTAAAAGAGGAATAATAGAGTTTGGAAGAGTAAAAACCCACACAAGCATATGAGGTTCCGCTGTTCGAGCTAAATCATGAGCAACAAAATTATCATCAAGGCGAACGAAATGCATTGAATAAGGACGAAAAGAAGATAACAAAAGCTTACTAACCTCAAGAAGTTCGAGCTTTTGGTTAGCTTGACCCCTTAACATCTTATATGTTTTAGTATTCTTTCAGTTCCATAATTTTGTGCATTCTCTCTTGTTTAGGTCTTCCAAGTTTATTCTACACTTTCCTTTTTCAGAAAAGATCATGAGGTCATAATGTTTCTCTTACAAATATCACACAATATTACTTCATTGAAAACCTACTAAGTCAAGTTTAAAACTAAGTTATGGTATAGTGAGAGTAATTAAATTGTGTGAAGCTAATCGTGTTTTTTGGTAGACAAAATGACAGAATCTATTTTTTTACTAAGAATTGATGGACTATTATAAATATGTACTCATATCAATTTTAACGCGATTATTTTGACACGGACAAAATAATAATTTTATGAAACTATCCTAATTCGAGCTCCTCTCATGTTCGCCAATTGGTAACAATAATTGGGACAACGTCATTTACTGTTGCCAATGAGCAAATAGGAGTGGGGGTGGGGCAAGGGTTTAGGAAAGGTTAAGAGGATAGTAGCCACTTTCCGGTCGAATGGAGCACCATAGAACCCTAAATCGGGTTACACCATTTACTCCATACTTTCTGATAAATTCTTAAGATGAAATTTATACTCTGTACCTATTGAGTACCTAATAAAGCATTTCCTGATAACTTTCCATACCATTACTCTTTCTTTTAAAAAGAACAAATTAGTTACTTCTTTTTTGTCCTGAATTAATTTGTTTGGATAAAATACAGTGCATCATTGGCATCGCTAACGAGAGAGACGGGCCCAAATGTAGTCAAAGGAGATCCATCGAGGACAACACCGGAGACGCCACGTGTGTCACATGACTCGCACGTGACTCACCACCACCACCACTACTGCGAACCAACATTCAACACTAGTGATAGTGCCCTCAAGTTTACGCACATCCTCTACAATCTTTCACCCGCCGGTAATAAATGAATAAATAAATATTCTCATTCCACATTTTAGTTTCTACATTTTTTTAAATTACATTTAAATCATTATACTTATCTCTGTACAAAAAATACACACTCTTATTTCGTTGTATGTACTACTAATGAGTCAAGATATATTTTAGAAACAGTCTCTTTACTTTCAGGTGGGGTAAGGTCCATGTACTCACGATCTTTTCAAACCTTACTTTTTGTGAGATTTTACTTGAGATTGTTGTAGAAAAAAAAACAATGTGGGATTCTTACTAATAACATTAGCATTTTGTGCGGTGTGAGAATTGTAGAGCTCTATGAGCAAGCCTTGAAGTACGAGAAAGGTTCATTCCTCACGGCGAGTGGTGCATTGGCTACACTGTCTGGAGCCAAAACGGGCCGTTCCCCAAGGGACAAGCGTGTTGTCAAAGACGAGGCAACCGGCGATCTTTGGTGGGGAAAGTAAGTCGAGTCTCATTTTTTTCGTCTTCTTAATTGATTTCGTGACAATTTGAAAATATTCGTCGTTGAAGGTGATGATAATGTTTTTTTCTCTATGTATAGGGAATGTATGTTTTGTCTAACTATTTTCTATATAGGGGATCGCCCAATATCGAAATGGACGAGCATACTTTCTTGGTCAACAGGGAAAGAGCTGTGGATTATCTCTGCTCTTTAGAAAAAGTTTGCATTATTTAATATTTCAACCAATTTATAATGAAACCTTACCAAATGGTCCTTAGTTTTTTTTTTTTGCCATCAATAACTCACTCATTTGGTTGGTTCAAATGGGTCTTTGCAGGTTTTTGTGAATGATCAATTTCTAAACTGGGATCTGAACAACCGAATCAAAGTTCGAATCGTATCCGCAAGAGCATATCACTCCTTATTCATGCACAACATGTAAGGATTGGCTTGATCAAGAATTTTTCAACTTCTTAAATTTTTGGTTTAAAATACTCCCTTTATCACATTATATTCGTCTAGTTTGACTTTTTTCATTGAAAATCAACAAACTTATTCAACAATGAAATAAAATTTATATTATGTGGTAATAGGATGAAATGATCATTTGAAAGTACTCCATGTTTTGCTAGGTAAATCTAATGTAACTATATTTGTACTGATATGCAGTGCATTTTTTTTATTTAATTGGTTATAAAAGTTCGGCCAATTTGATTCTTCTTTCACTTGAGTGGTCAAACCGGACGAATCACCGGGACAAAGATAGTGTTTTTATAGCACCATATACAGTGCCTTAGGGTAGAGTGGTGACAGGTGTATCCGACCCACGCCCGAAGAGCTGGAGGATTTCGGTACTCCAGACTTCACTATATACAACGCCGGTCAGTTCCCATGTAACCGTTACACCCACTACATGACATCCTCCACAAGCATAGACCTCAATCTATCGAGGCGCGAAATGGTCATCCTCGGCACACAGTATGCCGGGGAAATGAAGAAAGGCTTGTTTGGCGTAATGCACTATTTGATGCCCAACCGCGGCATCCTCTCGTTACACTCTGGCTGCAATATGGGAAAACAAGGAGATGTCGCCCTCTTCTTTGGATTATCGGGTAAATATACACACGAACATTGCCCGTTTGGCAAGAGCTTCAACGTTTAGTTATGAAGTGTGTTAATTTATTTTTAATTTTCCGTTATTTTTGTATGTGTTGGAAGGCACCGGAAAGACAACCTTGTCTACGGATCACAATAGGTACCTCATCGGAGATGACGAACATTGTTGGAGTGATGAAGGTGTGTCAAATATTGAGGGAGGCTGTTATGCCAAATGCATTGACCTCTCAAAGGACAAAGAACCTGATATATGGAATGCTATAAAGTTTGGCACTGGTATAATGTTTTGTCACAAATATGAATGAATAAGTCTCTTAATAATTAAGTTTTGAGTCACAAGTTTTACATATTTTCTTTTTTTTCTTCAGTCTTGGAGAATGTGGTTTTCGAAGAACATACGCGAGAAGTGGATTATTCTGATAAATCTGTAACAGGTAATTTAGACGCAACATTTGAGGTATGGATATTGTGAATAACCTCCTATTTCTTTCGTGATTACAGAGAACACTCGGGCTGCGTATCCAATCGAATACATTCCAAACGCAAAGATCCCGTGCGTGGGCCCTCACCCAAAAAACGTCATTCTTTTGGCTTGTGACGCGTTTGGCGTGCTCCCACCTGTGAGCAAATTGAGTTTGGCTCAAACAATGTACCACTTCATTAGTGGCTACACGGCATTGGTACGCGCCCTAAAACAAACCTAGCTAAAACCTGTCACTAATCTATCTTCATAAACTATCGATCATTTCTCGTACTTGTTTCTGTCACGTTCTTATTTTTTGTTACGAATCAAAAACTATAAGGTGGCTGGGACCGAGGTCGGTATAAAAGAGCCGACTGCAACATTTTCAGCATGCTTTGGTGCAGCATTCATAATGTTCCATCCAACCAAATACGCCGCGATGCTCTCTGAGAAAATGCAGAAACATGACGCGACTGGATGGCTAGTCAATACCGGTTGGTCTGCTGGAAGGTATTAAATGAGTGTGTTTCGTCTTTTACCAAACGAATTTCCGTAGGAAGAAGTGAAGTTCGTTTGCCAAATGAGGCCTTGTTTTTTTGGGTGCAGCTACGGAACGGGTAGGCGCATAAAGTTGGCACACACTAGGAAGATCATCGACGCGATTCACTCGGGGGAACTTCTAGAAGCGAAGTACGCGAAGACGGAGGTTTTTGGGCTTGAGATCCCAACAACGATAGAGGGTGTGCCTTCTGAAATCTTGAACCCCATCAACACTGTAAGCGTCTTCTTGGTTAACTAGACTTTGATAACATATTAAAAAATTAATTTAAATAAAAGCTCAAATATGTATGGTAGATAAATGAAATGTTTTTATATTCTAACAAAAAGATGCCCTAAATAAGTTGTTATGAATGCTATTCAATATATTTCTTTGAAAAAATTCAATATTTAAGCTAAATAAGCTTTGCCAAACAGGGTATAATTTCGATTGATGCAATGTAATATTTTGTGACAGTGGGCAGACAAGGATGCCTACAATGCAACCCTGTTGAAGTTAGGTGGGCTGTTCAAGAAAAACTTTGAGGGGTTCTTGAACTACAAAATTGGGCCAGACAATAGCCTGACTGAAGAGATTTTGGCAGCCGGCCCAAATTTCTGAGTGCTATATGAGCCGGCCCACAGGTTGCAATGGATGATGACGAAATACACGACCAATAAATAAATTTGTACATGACTATGTATGAACATACACATTGATGAAATAAGAGTAAATAGATCAAATGAAATGCTTGACTTATGTGGTATTTAATATGTATTATTATTCCCTTAATATGGAAATCTTGTCATTTAATATGTATTATTATTCCCTTAAATTGAGAAAGTATATTTCTCATTTACCTTTAATTTTCAAAAAGTTAAATATACATTTTTTTAGGTATATAAAAAGGTGAAAGAAAAATAACTATTAAGGGCATCAATAATGAGAAGGAAATCAGAATTGGATAGTCGAGAGGGAAAAAGAAGAGAAGAATAATTAGAAAGGAGATGATAATAGAGGAGAGAGAAGAGGATGGGGGGAGGGGATAATATTCTCCTCCAAAGAGTAAATATTGGTCGGCCAATTACTTTTTTATTTGTGTATTTATATTTTATATAAATGAGGAGATGACATGTGGGCAAAAATGGTGAGGAAAGTTGAAGGAAGAAGTGATGTAGGTTATTGTTCTCTTATTGAAATCAAATCAGTTCACATTTGACTAAATCAAATCAAAAATAGTTTTAAATATAACAATATTCAGATCAGACCAGAACTTATTTTAATTAGATCGAAACCATTCAAAATGGGTGAAGAGAACATGACCCTATCATTGGAAGTAGATCCTATCATTATTGCTCATTCTTCTCATATTCTTCACAACATCATCATTTTTATGGCACATTATTTTTTCATTTTATTTTCTTCACCCCGCTCTAATCATTCCTTATTTATCTTCATTTCAAAATATTTATTTTATACCCAACCAATCGAATGTATAGTTTATATCCAATCAAACATTTTATTCCCCTCTCAACTACATTCCCTCTATTTCTCTAACTATTCTTCCAATTCTCTTCTTATACTACCCCATTAGTTATGCTCCTAATATCCTTTTGTACAAAGAAGCGGTAAAGACGCCTCTTTAAAACAAAAGAAAGTATAATACCTTTTCACTTTATTTATATATACCTAAGTAAAGCTAGATATCGCCAAAATGCGAGCGATTGTGATCGGAGGACTTAGGGTGGTCTAGGGTAGAGAGGGTTAAAGAGTAAGAATTAATTTCTTGACATGGTATTATCGGTGTCTCGACCAAGAATTCACGAGTTTAAATATCATCGTCACCTAGTAAAAAAAATTATTTTCATGTGCAAGGATGGAGCGGGTTTAAAACAAATATCGATCCCTGCAAGTGATGTTGCGTGTTAGAGTATAAAGTCATTCCTGGACATACAATCATAAACTAGCTTAAACTTTAATTTTCGTTGAGTTCATTCTTCGAGATTGATGGTAAGAAGCAGCCTTAATTGTACAGATAGAGAGAATAAGATTAATTTCTAGTACCTCAGTATGTATGAGCTATTGAATATCAATAAAAATTCCTCACAATATTTTCAACTTCTTTTATTTTGTACCCTATAAAATGACATCAACATGGAATATTTGGGAATCCTTGTAATGGCAAACATTAGATTACATTTTGAGCTATTTTAAAAGGGTTGGAAAGATGGACAAAAAATTATGTCCCAAATAAAAGAGAATAATGTGGGAGAAATGGTTAGTTTGGAGGGGTAAAGAAGAGAGAGAAAGAAGAAAAAAAAGAAAAAAAAAAGAGAAAAATAATTAGGACTATAGGAGAAAAGAGATTATCACAATCTTGGACTTCATATTTTTCTTGTATTTTTGCACGAAAGTGAATGCTAGATGGCAAGGAGACAATAAACAAGGCAGGATTGCTTCTTTTTTTTAAAAAAAATAATGGAACTGACAAATTGAAGGGAAAGATAGGAGCATCTCATTTTATTGCTCTCCATGGAAAGTATATTGTATTTTGATATATAAATATAATATCAATAATTTTTTAAATATAGTTTTAAAGAATTATAAATTATTAAAAATATATCTATATATGAATATCTTTATAAATAGTCAAAGTATTACATTAGAAATAGTAAAAAATCAAATAAAAATATTAAATCCGGACAAGGTACTAATTTTTTAACAATATTATGAGCATTTGAGCAAGTACGTGAGCCGTACATGCCCCATTTTTAGCCTTGTCTTGTCCCTCCATATGTGGGCAAATTATAGGGCGGTACTTACTTGTACTCCGTACAATACTTTAAAAATAAAAATATTTTAATTAGTTCGTTTTGAAAACACTTTGATGCTATCTCAACTTTATTACTCCCTCCGTTCTACAAAACCCTTCCTCTTTCGTTTTTTTTGAATTCCCTAAAACACTTCCACTTTCTATTAAAAAACCACTTTTACCCTTACTTTTTCATACCCTACCTATCACATCATACTTTTTCTCTAATAACCAAACTATCACATCTTACTTTTACCCATCACATCAGGGACAAAATTGGAAAATCAAACAAAATTACACTTTCCTTATTTTTACCCAAAGTCAAAAGTGGAAGAGTTTAAAGGAACGGAGGGAGTAACAAATATTTTCATATTTACATGTCTTTTAAAGTTGTAACCTAATAAATATCGAGGTATTTCATACACATTTAGTGCGGGGATAGAAATTAGAACGGTTGTTACTGGCGGGAACAAGCAAAACAACACTGGCTTATCATTTAGTTCGGTGCAATCATTTTTGCCGCCAAATTCTTTGAGTCAAACTTAGTGTTATGAAATACTCCCTCCGTCCTAAAAAGTCTTTCCTGTTTCATTTTTTGCGCATCTCATAAAACACTTCTATCCTACTTTGAATGCCAAAAAAACTTTCAAAATAACTTCTACCCACAATAAAGAAGAAATGTTGTAAATTTTAGACATTTTAGATGTCGGTAGAAGTGTTTTATGAGATGCGCAAAAAATGAAACAGGAAAGATTTTTTGGGACGGAGGGAGTATGAGGTAATTCATCTAATTTTTCTTTCCTACATAGGGAGTACAACACTCTCAAGGGAGAATTCACTTTATAAGAGTGAAAAATTATGAAACACCAAAATATAACTTTGCACTGTCAGGCTCACCACTGTATCAGGCTTCAACTACAACACTATTACTATCACACTGACATCCATCGTTGCCTAGAGTGCCACTGCCGATCGATGTTGTTAATAGGTGGTTTAGTTTGCCAACGATTGACTGATCACAATATCATACTCCCTCCGTCCCAAAAAGAATGGGACGGTTTGACTTTTTAGGAAATTAAGGGAGGGATATTTTGGTATTGACTTTCCAAAAATATCCTTGATATGATGGGTAAAAATAGGATGTGATGGGTAGATTATTAGAAAAAAGGTATGATGTGATAGGTAGGGTATGAAAAAGTAAGGGGTAAAAATGGTTTTTTAATAGAAATGTAACGGACTTTTTGGGACGCAGTTTTTTCTAAACGTAACAAACTTTTTGGGACGGAGGGAGTATTACATTATCATCAGTTTTCTCTAACAATACCGACACTCCTACTTTGATCTTAAATAATTCATGACTCCGATTTTAGTATTCTCTTACCTCATCACTTTCATGAGTCTTATCCAAGGAGAGTTTTTCACTTTAATTTAGAGAAGAGAGAATAATTGGAGACAGACCTATACATACAAAGCCGTCTAGCTTGATAGCGGGGAGCATGGAATTGAATTTTTTACGAGGGAGCTATGCATTATATATGTATCTACGACACGTGGCTTTCCCACGTCTACGTGCATGTGCATGGCCCCCCTCGTCCCACAGAACTTGATGAGCTCCTTTTTTTAGACTCACCAAAACACTTTGTTTTTTTTGGTACAAACACTTCAATTTATTTGAGAAAGACAAATTTGAATTGATCACGAATCATATTCACACCGTCCCAAATTTATTGTCCCCTTTCGGATATTTACGATTTTTTTAGGATGATTCTATGGAATGTTGAAATATAGTGGTAGAAATTATGAAGACTTGAAGAAGAATCAGTAAACGAAGAACTAATGTGAATTCCGACATGATAGTTTAACGAATCGCAAAAACGCTTTACGATCGGATATACCAAAATACTTTAATCGGATAAGACATTTATCAAGAATAAACTTTTCGAATTCCCGCCACTTGGACCCCGCTATCTGGGGGCTACTGCCCCCGGACCCCGCTGTGAATTTATAATATCGTTGAACGAATGCATTCTCCGCGCCTCCTAACTTGTTTGATAATGTCTATTCTACTTCTTGTATGATTTAAGTAAATTTAATCACACAAAATAACTGATGACACTAAAGTACCAACATATACTAATATGGTTTTACTTTCAAATAGTGAGTGAGACAATAATTTTGAGAATTGAAAGAAATAATATTTTCTACGTGTTTCACTACTTTTTAATGAACTTATTGCATCACATGTTTAAGTTTTTGAGTAATGCTTGGCTTATCCCATTTATACATCAATCCTTTCACTACTACACATTTCTTGTTCATGATCTATCCAAAATTTAAATTTGGATAAAAAGTGTCTAAGTGAGGAAGGTAATGATGTACAACTTGGGGTACAATTTGGTTTACTCCAAAGATTTTTGCAGGTCTTTTTTCTTTTGTTTCCCGCAGTCAATTTGGCCGAACAAACTTACGATACTTGACCGATATCATTTCAAAATATTTTATTTAAATATTAATGTAAAATTAAAAAAAAAACAAATCTTAGAGAAATCACCTTCGTTTATGTACGTCCCATTTTAGATTAAATGTTAAGATTTGTTTCGCCAATGGTAACACGACCAAATTAAAAACTTAACATCATGAATTACAAAGTACCCAGTATATGAAACACAAGAAAAGTTAAGTTGTGGCATCAAAAAACATGTGTTGCACCACGCACTACAAAACGAGATTAATAAAATGACAAACTAATAACTCACATGAGAAGACATACCCATACAAACAATAATAACACATTATTACATTAATTAATAGTAATTAATTAACTGTCTCAAAACTTTTAATAATAATGATGATGATGCATGAACATAATGCATGATGATGATCCACATCTGATCTGGAATTCATTACAACACATAACATTATTCATATTGAAAAACAAGCAATAATTCAACCATTCATCATCTATATATCACTGCAAATCAGAGGAACACTTTCCTGCGGCTTCACCACCATTTCCAAGACCTCTTTTTCTCCTGTGTTCATCATAATAATAGGATCATCATCATCAAGTGTTGATGATGAAGAGGACGATGAAGACTGATGTGTTAACTGTTTTGCTCTTTCCACTTGAACTTTCCAGTCAGTTCTCCACAGCACGATTAGCATGAGGGCGGCGCAGGACGCCTGCGCCGCCAGCAGGCCCAGCCACAGCCCCGCGAAGCCCATCTTCGTCGCGAAGCTTAAGACCACCGCCACCGGCATCCCCACCGCGTAGAACGAGCCCAGGTTTATGTTCGCCCCGACGGCCGGCCTCGCGGTCCCCCTGAGGACCCCGCACCCGGTCGTCTGCGGGCAGTTGCCGAGCTCGCAGAGCCCGACAATTGGCAGCACGGCGGCCGTCAGCTCGAGAACCTCCACGTCCGCGGTGAAGATGCTCGCCCACTTGTGGCTCATCAGGGTGGTGAACGCTATGGCAGCCGCGCCAAGCCCGAACGCCCACACCATCGAGACGATCATGGAGGTGCGGGCCCGGGCTGGGTGGTTGGCGCCCAGCTCGTTCCCCACCCTGGTCGACACCCCGAGGCCGAGGGCCGAGGGGAAGACGTAGAGAAACGACGTCGTTTGGATCAAGATACCCATGGACGAAAGTGTGACTCTAGGGTTGACGACCAAAAGTCCACACAACATCATCATCAGCTCGTACCACCACCATTCGAGACACACGGACACGCACGTGGGGACTGCCATGGTCAACAACGTTGACCAACCCTTAAAACACTCCCTGCTTATAGCCACGTGGCAAAAATAGTCTCTGTACTTTTTAGACAAGTAGATATAAAGGGAGAGGAAGATGAAGAGGTTGAGGTTGGTCAAGACCATGGCTACGGCGACTCCGGCCACCCCCATTTGGAAGCGGCGGACGAGGAGGATGTTCAGGGGGATGTGGACGGCGACAGACGCGGCAGAGCAGGACGTCACTGGGAGAGTGACGCCCTGCATCCTGAGGAAAATCCTCAGAGGATGGAGGAGGGAGAGGACGTAGAGGTCCGGGATGGCCATGACGATGAAGTTCCCGGCGACACCCGAGATCTTCTCGTCCTGGCCACACCAGAGGAGGATCTTGTACATGTTGAGCCACAGGAAAGAGATGGGGACAGCGGCCGACAGGAGGAGGAGGACGGTCCTCTGCAAGGTCAGGCCCAGTAGTGCCGTCTGCTTGGCACCGTGGGCCTGGCCGCAAATGGGCTCCATTCCCAAGGCGAGGCCCGTGATGACCGAGTAGCCGGTGATGTTGGCGAAGCCCAGGGAGAGAGAGCCGGCGGCGAGTTCGAGGCCTCCGAGGCGGCCGAGGAAGAGCATGGAGATGAAAGCTCTTGAGTATAGGAGCAGCCCTGTTAGAGCTGTTGGGCCTGAGATCTTTCCAATGGCCTTCACTTCTTCAAAGGCCTGGAAATTGATTTTATGCAACAAATAATTACTACCCCAGTATAATTTTACTACAAAAAAAAACTTTTTTTTAAAATTAGTAAGCTCTATATATATATATATATATATATATATATATATATATATATATATATATATATATATATATACCTCTGTGAAAGTTGGCCATCTTTGAAGAAGTTGTTGCTCTTGAGGATCATCAGGGAGAGAGTCCATGGATTTGTAGGTATAAAGAACTATATGAAAACTAGGTGTCTTTCTTTTTATGGCATGAAATAAAATGATGGAGGGATTTGAATGTCAAATAAACACCACACACAAGTGTATATATACTGCTTTAGGGTGTCCTCTTTTCGGGTTAAATTCTAAAGTTGGACGTTGACGCAAACCAGAAGAAATTAGAAAAAACTGAAGAAAAAAAATTAAACAAAACTAGAAGCACTTAGAAAATGGCAGAAAAAATAAAGTGTTTAAAAATCATTCAATTAAATGATCATTCAAATAAATACAGTATTTAAAAAAGTTATTTTGGATAAAAAAATTTTTATCTTTACCTGTGTTTTAGATGATCGACATGTTTTAAATTTGGATATATGATATGTAACTACTTTTTTTAATTGTTGTTGAAGAAATTTGAAAGAGTTATATAAAACTCGAAGGAGTTGAAGAAACTGAAAGTAGTATGAAAAAGTTAGTTCAAATTTTCCAATTTAAAAGAACATGCCCTTAGTGTCTTATGAATTAAAATGTCAATATAACAGTTTCATGTAATCTAAAATTACATGTCATGGCGAAAAATTTGGGATAACAATTATGAGAAACCTGAAAGGAGTTGATTCAACCAAAAAGAATAGTACATGACTAAATGACTTCGATTTTGAATAGAGGGACTAATTCGAGCAATACTAGATAGTAAAGGACATTTAAGATACTTTGTCTTTTTTCATTACCAATTTTTGAATAAAATAAATATAAATTAAAAAAATAAAGTTCTTTTTACTCGCAATCACTCCATGACTTATTTGGAAACGAACTATTATGCAAAAGTTGTTCTTCTGTAATTGTAAGGTCCACATGTAAATTAAATAGTGAACCTTCTCTTACTCTTCATGGGGTGGCAATTGGATTTTTTAGAAAAGGCTAAATTCTTTGATGATGGGCCTGTTTGGAAATAACGTTAGGGATTATCGTTTGCATTTTGGATAAAATTTTAATGGTGCAGATTATTTTGAAATATAGCCTTTTTTAAAACGCTAACGCTAATATATAGCTAACGCTATTTCCAAATAGGCCCGATATCAATACATTAAAGTCTATAGAACGAGCATGAATCTTAGGATCACGTAAGAATTTTTCATTTGGCAAATTTTTATTGTTGAGATGTGTATTTTAAAGTTATAAAAAAAATACTCCGTAGATGTTCATGTGAGAAAGTCCACAAATATTTTTTAGTCCTTAGATGCACCATATTTTTTAGACCTTAGATTTCAAATTTTCAATTACATATATAATGCTATACTTTATTAATAGTTATATCACCTTGGTTCCCAATGTAATGTCATGGGAACCTTGCCCTAGTTATATTGACAAACTAGGCATTTCTTTTTTATACGGATGAATATTGCATTAGCTATTTTTAATTTATTAACCTGCGTGTTTGAAATCCAAAGTTACACCATATTTATTTGAGGGAGTGCATTTGTTACAGAAATGATATATATAGAGCTGGCAAATCGGTAGGTCGGGTTCGGGTTCGGTCACTTCAAGTTCGGGTTATTTTGGGTTCGGGTCAATTCGAGTTCGGGTTGAGAACTATATGTTCATGACCCAGTATCGTCGGGTTCGGATCGACCCAACGGGTTATGACTTTGATTTTTAAACTTTTTAAATTCACATTACCACTTACATTTTCTATTAAATAAATTTAAAATATCAAAAAAATGTATTAAATCTATAAAATTGATTTTTTTAAACTCTGAAGTAATTTTTTAGATATATAAATCAATATAAGGAATTTAAAAATGCTTAAGTTTTGGAAAAAGTAAGATAATTATGCAATATCATTAAAATTTTCTCTGTAAATATAAATTTGTACACTAAAAACGAGTAGTAAAGTGTATGATTTTGAAAAATTCTTACTTTAGCGGGGTCGGGTTCGGGTTCGGTCGGGTTTGACCCATTTTTAGCGGGTCATTTCGAGTTCGGTCAACTTTGGGTTCGGTCATCAAAACCAGTGTTTTCAGGTTAGGTTTCGAGTGAAAAACAGGTCGGGTCATTTTTTGCCCGGTCTAGATATATATGATGCTTAGCTTCACACATTAAAGAGTTGTTTAAATTACATTAATAGAAGATTAACAATTAAAATATTATACTCCCTCTGGTCTTTAAAAATTTTCCTGTTTTGACCTTTTTTGGTCAAACAGTGACATTCTTTGACCACATATTTTGAGAAAAATATATTTAATTACAATATAAATTCAACATAATTGAATTCATTTTAGAATATAGTTTTGATATATCATATACTACGCATCAAATTTTTTTATCATTTCTTTATTTAGATTATTTAATCAATGTTTGATTAAAAAAAGTCAAAACAAGAAACATTTGGAGGACGAGAGGGAGTAGGTGTGTAGATAGATGATGCACTTATCTAGGGTTCATCAAGTATATATGTTTAGTTTCTACACTGTACAAATGTGAAACTTGCATCACATGCATTATGTGAATTGAATCAAGCTAAGGTTGACCAAATTGAAATACTTGATCACATTCTTCTCAACACAAATGAGGCATTTCTTTGTCTTTAATAGTAAAACTTAATTAGATTCAGAAGAATCTTGAAAATAACGTAATCCCTTGAATTAAAAGTGGCACACTGACTGAAATTAAATGAAGATAATTTAAATAGTTAAAACAAAAGTAAAATGTATAAAGCGATACTATTAATTACTATCTCAAAAAGATGTATGAAACATATGGAACAACAAGAAAATTAGTGTTTGATTTTTCTTGAAAACATTAAACCATACAACCGTTACGTCAAATTTTGAAAGAAGATTATCTCATCAAAATGATACCCCTAAAATCTTCTCATTTTGACTTTTTGTGGTTTTTAAGGAGAGTTGGAAAATTGTGAAAATTTACCATAATACCCTTAATGAAAATGGATGGAGTGTATTAAATGAGGTAAGTAAGGTGTAATAAATAAAGTAAATAAGAATAGTTATGATATTTTAATTGTTAAAAAAGGTAATGAGAAGATTTATAGTGGACAAATAAAACGGGCCAATGAGAAGATCTATACGGACGTAGGGAGTATTTATTTTCAAACGAAGTAATAATCTTCACTACAGTTGTGTGAGAGAGTATCTCGATATATATTTTACATTCACATTTGTCGCACGGATCTTGCACGTAAAAACTTTTATTAGTAAGCTCTATTTATATGTATACCTCTGTGAAAGTTGGCCATCTTTGAAGAAGTTGTTGCTCTTGAGGATCATCAGGGAGAGAATCCATGGATTTGTAGGTATAGAACTATATGAAAACTAGGTGTCTTTCTTTTTATGGCATGAAATAAAATGATGGAGGGGTTTGAATGTCAAATAACCATGTCTTCTTTTCTGGTTCAACACTTTGTGAAATGTGCACACACCACACACAAGTGTATATATACTGCTTTAGGGTGTCCTCTTTTCGGGTTAAATTCTAAAGTTTGACATTTGAAGAAACTCGAAAAAGTTAGAAAAAATTGAAAAAGACATGCCCTTGAAAGAAAATATTAAAAAACTGAAAAACTCAAAGGAAATATATAAAACTCGAAAGGAGTTGAAGAAAATGAAAGCACTTGAAAAATGTTAGAATTTATTTTCTAACTCAAAAGAATAGACCCTTAGTGTCTTATGAATTAAAATGTCAATATAATAATTTCTCATCATCTATAGTAAAATTACACGACATCACTAAGAATTTGGGATAATAATTATGAGAAAGGTGAAGAGAAGAACCTAATTCAACCAAAATGAATAGTACATGGAGTAAATCGCTTCAATTTTAAGTACATGACTAATTTTTCCTATTTTAAATGATACAGGACCTCTACGATACCTTGCCTTTATTTCGTTACAATTTTCAAATCAAATAAGTATAGAGAAATTTATCTAAATAGAACTAAAACATAATAACTTTCTCAATATAGGACCGTATGTTTATATTTTCCAAAGTAAGATCATTGGTCATTATCCATTAGTTATTATTCAAGTAAATGTCTACCATCATTGACATTATTCATCTCTATAAACATTATTAAGTCTTATTTAGGAATAAAAAAGTTTAAGTTTGACTTATATTTTAGTTCTATTTAATGCAAATTTTACACAAGTATAGAGTATAAAAATAAAGCTCTTTTTACTCGCAAATTCCTCCAAGACTTATTTGGAAATGGACTATTTGTTTTTCCAAAAAAGCCAAAATTCTTTTATGATATCAATACGCAAAAGTCTATATAAAAATGAGCATGAATCTAGGACCATGTAAGAATTTTCCATTTAGCAAATTTAAATTGTTGAGATGTAGTGTACTTTTAATTTATACTCCATCATTCTGGAATTAAAGTTCTCATTCTACACTTTTGTCCGTGTGTAAAAAAAGTTCTCATTATACGTTTTCATACCCAATCTTCCTAACATACCCTTCCTATCTCCCTTTCCCGTCCTTTCTTGTTTCCCTTTTTCTTTCTCTCGACAATGTCTTCTCCACCAGACCAGGTACTCTTTCTATCTCTCTTCCCCTCCCCCTTCGGCCCTTCCCTTTCTTCTCCACTTTAACTTCCTCCCCCTTTTCCTTCATCCTTCTTCTTCTTCTTCTTCTTCTTCTTCTTCTTCTTTTTCCTTTTCTCGGTTAGATCTAACCTTTATCTCCCCCCTCTCTCTTCCCTCCATCTTTTTCTTTTTTTCCCCATTTTCTTCTTCTACCAGAGTTTGGATCTCGTTTGTTTTTTTCAGATCTAGAAAATCTGGAGATCCATTTGTGCCGCAAGAGATTTGCCTTGGGTCTGGTTTGCTCAGTAGAGAAAGAGAGAGATCGTCGATTTGGTGCGGCAAAGAGTTCCGTCGCTTGGGGTATGTTGGTGCGGCGGCCATCGATCAGTTACTGCGAAGGATTCGGCTTTAGGGGTGTGGCGTAGCTGGTAAATGAAGCCTAGGGGTATTTTGGACATTTTGTATACAAAGTCAATTTCCCATAAAAATGATCAAAAGTCAAAATGAGAACTTTAATTCCGGACTTAAAGGAGTAACAAAATACTCTGTAGAGAAGGTCCACAAATACCTTTTAGACCTTAGATGCACCAAAAAAAACACTCCATATTGTCTCTGATCTCTCTCTCACATAGATTTCAAATTTTTAATTACATATATAATGTTATACTTTATTATTCCCTCAATCTCATTTTATAACGCCTATTTCAGTTTACAATGTTTGACTGAAATTATTTTCAAATCATTTTATATGACAAATGGTATATATAGTTAAAAAATAAAAATTACATATTAAAATACTACATCAAAAGATCTACAAAACTAGTAGTGACAATACTATTTTATTTTATCAAATTGCTAATGAAAATTGAGAAAGAAAGTGAATAAAGTTTGACCATATAAATACTAAATATGCATTATAATTTGGGACGGAGCGAGTAATAGTTATATTGACAAACTAAGGCATTTCTTTTTTATACGGATTAATATTTATCAGGAGAGTGTATTTGTTAGAGAATTGATATGATGCTTAGCTTCACACGTTTAAGGATTGTTTAAATTACATTAATAGGAGATAGCATTTAAAATAGTAAAATTTGCACTAAAAAGGACTAAAACATACTCCCTTCGTTCTACAAATCAGTTCTTATTTTGACTTTTACATAATTTAATTTTGTAGTTTGACTTTTTAATTAAATCATTAGCGTTGAATAGGAAAAGAGTGACAAATCACTTATTATATTAATACAAAATAGATGGAGTATATTGGAATGACTTTATTTGGATGTATTAACTATTTTAATAAAAGGGAAGTGTTTTGATGAAAGCAAAAAATTGAAAGAGAGTGTTTTTCCAAACGGGGAAGTAAGTCATTTTTCAATGTAGGACTTAAACTTTTGTATTCTCTAAATATAACTTAATAATGTCTAGTTGTGGGAATAATGTCCAATAATAGTGAACATTTACTTGAATAATGGCTAATGGATAATGACCAATGGTACTACATTAAGAAATAAAAACATATAGTCCTATTTTGATAAAGTTATTATGTTTTAGTTCCATTTAGGTAAATTCCTCTTTAAAATATTATACTTCCTCCAGTCCAAAAAACTTTTTTCTGTTTTGACTTTTTTGTCAAATAGTGAAATTATTTGACCTCATATTATGAAAAAAGTATATATAATTATATTATAAATTTAACCTAATTAGATTCATCTTAGGATGTAGTTTTGATATATCACATATCAAATCTTTATAATTTTTGTATATTTAGATTATGTTTAATTTATAGGAAAAAAGTATCCGTGTTTGACTAAAAAAAGTCAAACAAGAAAGATTTTTAAGGAGTATGTATTTACATATATAGATGATGTACTTATCGGTTCATCAAGTACGGAGTATATATGTTTAGTTCCTACACTGCACAAATGTGGAACTTGCATCACATGCATATGTGAATTGAAAATAACGCTCCCCTGAATTAAAAGCCGCACACAGATTGAAGTTAGACGAAGATTATTTTTATGCATGGTTAAAACAAAAGTAAAATGTGTAAAGCGACACTATTAATTACTATCTCAAAAAGATGTATGAAACAGATGGAACAACAACAAAATTAGTGTTACTTCAGATTTTGAAAGTAATAATCTTCACTGCATTTGTGTGACAGAGTATCACGATATGATGTTTACACTCACATTTATCCACAGACACGGTTACGTCGTACCTTTATACTGTAATACACCCTTTGTGTGCATGCAAGATTTACTTTTGCACGGATCTTGCACGTAAACATTTTTTGCACGAACCATGCACGTGAATATTACTATTTTAAAATAAGATTATGGTAGTACTCTAACATAAAATGGTGTTGTTTAGTGAAGGAACTACTCTAATTAGCTTACTTTACTCAGTATATGTCCCCATGTGATTACAAATGAGTTAATCATGGTACTTACATTTTAATTACATATTAGAATACATCGTTGACCTTAAACGGAACCCCTCTTATATATTGCACTTTAATTTTCAAAGGAGATTCATTTTTATGTGTTAAAATAAAAGTGAAATGTATAAACGATACCATTAATTGCCATCTCAAAACGGATGCTTGAGATCAATGAGAACAACATGAAAGTCGTGTTTTAAACAAAGTACTAATAAAGTATCACGACATTTAAATTCACATGTATCTGTAAAGACAACTGTACTTTGAATATCGCTGGTAAATATCTCTAATAAAAGTATTTTAAATAAACCCAAACAATCCATGATATAAAGGTAAAATTATATTGGTATATTCCGTGTTTAGCCTTACTGACTTTACAACTCGGATAGGTAAAGAATGTTTTACTCCGTACCATACATATTAGGCATTTTATTTAGAGCCCGGTTCCATGGCCACTGGATTCCAGTGGCCACGGAAGCTACTGCCCTCCTACGAAGCTCCGTTCATAAAATTGATGATTCTAACCCCCCGGTAAACCCCCCGCCAAGTCCCGACCCAAACTAATCACCCCACCTACGTCAATTGCACCTCGTAAGTATAAAGTCAAAACTTTTGACTTTAAAGTTTTGACTTTATACTTACGAGGTGCAATTGACGTAGGTGGGGTGATTAGTTTGGGTCGGGACTTGGCAATGCAATTACTACTTGTTAAATATATCAATTATTTAATATATTTAATATTATATATTATAATTATGGTTGTTATCTATTATAGTTAGAGTTATTATTATATAATATTACCTTATATAATTAGTCATTAATGTGGAGGATTCTAGAATATATTCCTCCACTTATAAATACATACTTTGTATTCCTCTTCTATTCATTCAAGCTATAAAGCATTATTTGTTATTTTTACACTACTATATAAGCATTCCTTTCAATTCAAGAGGAAAAAGCGGTGAAGGAAAATAATGAGACATTTTTCTCCTTATTTTTCCTTGGCCTCTCCAAACACAATACATTCACTCACCTCAATATCCCCCCAACCCTTTAATTTTCTTCCCACTCTTACTTTACCTCATTTAAACAAGGGGTTAATCACGGGGGTAAAGGGAGTGTCCGTGTGTCTTCTAAAAAGTGACACTCGTACTTTTGGGTTGAAAAGGAAGAGAGAAAAAAAAAAGAGGGGGCGAGGGCAAACGCATGTGATGAATGTGGGCCGGGTGATTGTAGTAGTGGCCGGCCGGGTCCGATTATTGGTTCAGATCCAGTGACATTTTGAAAAATGTCGGCATTCTTGTCGGCCCCTGCAAGAGAAGCTATGTGAATGAAGGAAGGAGGAAGATCTCATCTATGTTTATGTTCCCCCCCCTACAGTTCACTCACTGTCATGAGAAAACATAACTCTCCAACTAATATAAATATATTTTTTCTGTGATGCAAAGGGTGTCCAAAAGTAATACTCCAATTTGATCCCTAACATTTGGGCAACTATGGCTTCTGCAATTACCAAGTACAAGCTCTACTCTTTGTTACCAACCTATAATGCCTAATTTATGTCCTCTCAAGTCACCATCTGGCCGGGGGGGGTGAAATTCATCTTTTTTGATAAAAACATTTTTAAAATTTGTATATATTCAAAAATGGAATTCTTCATCCATCACACACGTGGGGAAATAAAAGGAAACAAATATTACGATGCTGGAAAGAGAACCTCATGCCATGTAACCATATCCATTATAAGTTAGTACTAACCATATCCCTCCCTATTCATATAAAAGTGAACAAATAAACCACTAGTGCTTTTTTGTCAAGGACTCAACTCAACCACAAGCTCAAACTTGTGATTCTGGTCCTAGAACGGTTTCTATATATTTAACATGCCCTCTCACGTGCTGGTGTAACTTCTTTGAGCCTTGCGCGTGAAACCTTGTTTTCTTAAACTTTGTGACTGTGAGTTTCGAATTCGTGATCTCTTAGTCATCAAAGTTTTGATATCATGTCAATCAACTCAACCAAAAGCTTGATTCCCAAAAAAAAAAACTCAACCAAAAGCTCAAACTTATGATTGTGGTCCACGAATGATTTTTATAAATATACTCCAACACTTTTATACTGAAAGGGGTGACAGTTGAGTTGGCATTTTTGGAGTAAAAACCATGCAATTTTGATTGATTATGTGGCCGGGTTGGCTACTTTGCTAGAGGAAAATCTATGGGTGAAGTAGGGAAAAATGCAGACAAACATGCTCACTGTAGTTTTCGGGACTATTGAAATATTACAATGACCAACCATCATTACATTGAAATAGTGAAGACAACTGCTACTGTGAATGTTTGTAGTTTCGGTGTGTGTATTGAAGCTCTAGTATTTAAAGTGCATTGCCAGCAAAAGAAAATGGCAGAGGAACCTAGCTAAACGAATGAGAGAGAGCCATGCATGAAGCATATGTTTCATACGAAGCTCATCTCGGTATAGCAAATGAAGTGACACCTTATTTACAAAAGCCTTTGCTTGTAAGTTCTTGAGTGGGATAGTGAAACAAAATGAATATATGACAAAAATACCTCAACCGTAAACGCATGATCCTTTCAGCTCTTTGATTGAGCAACGGGATACGACTCCACTCGCATAAGCCAGCCCAGCACCCTAATGACTTGGGGGAAGATTATGCAGCCACACTCACGTGTAAAGACCTTTTGAAACTGAGTACGTTTGCCTTTTAATTTCACTAGCACCTGTCATCATTAAGAAGATTTGTTACTGTTTTCGTTCGGAACCACGTTTCACTTATTTCCATGGTGTATTCAACGGAATCCACCATAAATCCGAATACCCCAAAAAAATCAGTACATTATTGACTTAACCCAATAAGACAAAACCTAGGGCACAATTTGAACGGTCCCATATTAACACCTCAATATAGAAAGGGGTGAAATCTATAGCAGCGAATGAAGAATGGAGAATTAGTCCATACACCAAATTTTATGTCAATTGAAATGAAAATGGATTTTTCTCGGGGGAATCACAAATGTGCAGTAGATATTGGATAACATGGCAGCAATGTCATGCAGATACCTCAAGGAAGAATCCTCTGCTTATGGACTCTGGTTCGAGGAATAGCCAAGATGGCCACAAGTCCAGCGGCAAATGCAGAGAGTGCTGCCACAAAAAAGGCAGGTGAATTGCCTCCACCAAACAGCTCATCCCAGGGTCCACTACCAACGGAAACCAATATCTGATTTCAAGCACAACATTGTGAAATGAAAGGAAATAATCTCAGAAGCAATAATGAAGAAGGAAAAAATTCTATTAGAATGTACTCCATGTGTACTACTCAGAAAATCAAATAAAGAACAGATGTTTTTCAATATTAATTGCATGTCCAGAAAATATTTGTTGAATTGAACTCAAAATATAGAACCGTAACATTCAGCATCATCAAATTCAAATTGAATATATTCAATTATCCTTAAAGAGTCATCAAATTTGAATTGAATATATTCAACTAGCGTTAAATAATCATCAAATATGAACTGAATATATTCATTTAGCTTTATACACTAAGACTCATAGTATACACCCAGAATATATCATGTAAATCAACTTCATTTGAGAGAGAAGAAAACTCTATGTTTCCATAACGCAGAGATGGTAAACAATAGGTAAATTTTAATGGCACGGGTATATATGTGCCTGTAAATTGTGAAGAAAGATAGTTGGATGCAACATTATAGAAGTAAAGAGCCACGTGTCTTAGCTGCCACGGAAATGGGAAAAAAACAGCATGACCATGCTCACATGAAGGGTCTTGAAGTTCATAGGATGTTTTTTGAATATTCCATATCCTACTGGCAGATTCTTATATCCACGACCATGGCGCACAAAGATCTTCATTAGTTTATTTTCAGGTAAGATAGCAGCAAGTCAACAACTCCACATGAACAGTTTTCTTCACTAAGTTCAGTTTTTAGATAATACTCCCTCCATCTCATATAACGAAAGTCCCACTTGGGCTTCGCTCAAAATAATGCCAATTTTATTGTGTTTGACCTTCCAATTCTGCCCTTGAAATGATAGTGTGAGAGAGTTTAATGTGTTTAATGAAGACGAAAAATAAAAGGGGATGGTAGAAAAAATTGGTTGGAAAAAGTAGGGTATTATAGTATTTTTAAGGGGTAAGGTAAAAAATAGAAATGGGACTTAGTTTTGGGACGTCAATTATGGAAAGTAGGACTTTAGTTTTTGGACAAAGAGAGTGGGTAGTACATTATGACTTTACAAATATTAGCAAATTTTCCTCGCAAGAATCTGAATTGGGCGAAAATGATACAAATTTTGGAAAAGTACATGATTTTGCCAAGAGTACCACTATAAGATTAGTATAAGGTATTTCTTGAAGCATGGAAAAGAAGGTCAAGATATGGTATCATGAATAAATATGAGCTAATATAATTAAGGCACCTGAGGTACAACAATTGCCAGATTTAGTACCCCCATTGATAGTCCTGCATGGTATGTAAAGGTGTTTATTCACTAGTTCCCAACAGCAGAAATTGCAAATTTGGAAGAAACTCGCAATGCAACCAACCTTGGCCAAGCCCCAAGTTCTCAATGTGCGAAGATATCAATGCATATGGAACACTGTAAGTTATCTGCAAAAAAAATGTTTGAGTTCATTAAAAGGTTCTCCAAAAAATTAAAGAAGCAAATATAAGTATCCGGACTCATTTTTGTTAGTGTGAGTGCGCAGAGATATGTCCAGGTACATATCTCAGTCCAATTTTCATTCATGAATTATATCTTGTCACGTATCAGATAGAAGTCATATAACCATTCATAAGATCATAGCATTTTTTCGCCACATAACTACTCCCTTCATCTAACTTTATACCTATATAATTGATGTCTATGGCAGACTAACAATATAGAGAGTAGAAATTTAACAAGAGAATATTACGTGTAATATGGAACTGGGAGGTATTGATTGCCTATACAAAACGTGTACAAAACCCATGCACCGATGCACTTAACTAATTTGCAGACCAAGACCACACTGCTACTTTATTAACAAACACATGAACATGGAAATCCCAAAGTATGAGAAGATATCACATGTTGTCATCCATTCCTCTGGTTGAAATGTTGAATACACCAAAGCCTAGTGCTGAGGTCGTAGCTCAAATCCCATCCATAGCAAGTCAATGGATACCATCAATACTATTCACAGGTCAAACCAACTTTTATATTTGCTTGTTTTCAACACCAACTTTTTAAATTATCATTATTGCATTTTTGCTTTAGGCTTTAAACAAGAAATCCGTAATTAATAAAAGAGTGAAATAAAAAATAACTTAAAGTCGTCTTTATCCAAGTATACCTGTATTTACAGATGGATGGAGACGGGTGTAATGAAATGCCAAAACTGTAAGAGAGGAGTGTGTGATTGTAGATCTAACAGGCAAAATCAAATTGACTTAACATGTGGATAATCTCAAATGTAATTTTTGTAAGCTGCAATCAGCATTTTACAGTTCAATAAAACGTCACATAATGCAAAAACAGAAGGAAGAATCCGAACACTTACAGATAGAGGCACACCAAGAATAGTGAATACTATCATCACAGCAATAACAATGCCATTTGGAGGAGGATCATTACTGCCAATATCCATGTGGTTTCTGATGGCAGTGATTACAAGCATTGCTATGAAGCACAGAGACAAGACAATGTTAGATACTCCCCATGCAAAACCAGCACCCCATTTTCCACAAAGCTTTTCCATAAACACTGAAGTTATTCCCAGCACCACAGAATTCAGCATTAGACCCAGTGTACCCATTCTAACTCCATTACTATAATTTGTTCCATTTGGCTCACCCCCATATATTTCACGGCCCACCCAATCAGTATCAAATAGGGTAAATGGGAACCAGGCAATCCAAGTCAGAGTAGTGACAAGCAGAATAACCCACACAGTAGCAGGAAAGTATTTAAATGTCCCAAAAAGTTCCCAGAGAAAAGCTTCTTCCTGGCCATGGGTGATTTGTTCACTATCTTCACCGGTTTGAACAGAGCCACAATGGGTATCCAGAGGCTGCTCTTTGACTGCTGATAAGCTTATGAATGTCGCAATTGCAATGAAAATGATGTCAAGAAGGAAAGCAGTCTTAAGGTTTGCACAGTTGATGGCGCAAGCATCACTTAGGGTGAAAGGAAATATCTTATACCAGCCACTGAAAGATCCAGTTGCATAACCAAGTATGTTGCCAGCAGCCATAAACAATGAGAAGTATGCATTTGCCACGCGAGTCCTTCGATGATCCTTCTCTAAGACATATGATAAAGGCAACAAATGTCATTTTCTAAAGTCGAATCCCAAATCGCATGCTTTGTTATTGAGAACATCTTTATCAATATCAGCATTTGTGAGGTGTGTTGGTTTGCATTTCAGAGGTGATTTTGCTGATTTAAGAAATAGTCACCCTTTCTACTCGGTGTGAAGTTTGGCCAAAACAGGGCAGGTGATTTCGATTTTCATATTCAGCCTTATAAAATCATACTCCCCCATGATATATTTGGAAGTCACTTCATTTTAAAGATCATCCGAGCTCATTACTAAATCTAATGCTTTTCAGAATCAACATTAAGATTAAAAAAATGTCTCTTTTTAAAAATACAAATTAAAGACATCATTCTTTCCTTGTATATTTGATAATTGTATAACTATTGAGAGCAGTCCCTGCTCTAATGCAGCCAGTAAATGTTTGAAATATGTATCAATAATGAGAACACAGCTGAACGTTTGATAGGTGACCAATCACAGACTGCTGAATATTTGACATTTTATAACCAGTTAACTATTCACAACCTATATTGTCCAATAATTATACAAAACTACAAATGACAAACTGAGTGCTTAAAAGTTTCGCGTGGGTTCCGAAGCAGCAAAAATTAGGTTTCGGAACAAGTTGACGTTGTATTGTTTTCGAACCCATTTTATCATGTGCCCGGACTGTGTTGCAAATATCTATCTGCAGCAAACCACGTTGAGAGGTTGTCATGGTGTTTCCTGTTTGGCAAGTGATGGCTTAAACACCAAGGTTTACACATCAGGACCGTGGTTATCAGCTTATCATTGTGCTTATATTTGTTTAATTAGTAAATTGATTACTAAGACATAAATAAATATGAAAAACAAAGTATAGCCTTCTCACACTAACGGATGCTTTTATAAAAAAGAATTACTCATAGCAGTTTTGTGTTAATTAGGAGTACAATATATCTAATAAGTTAGCCAATTTCTGGCCCCCAAAAAAGTTAGCCAATGCTTTTATCAGAAGGCTAATGTTTGTTTAATTAAATTAAATGCACAGCCTAATTAAAGCCATGTTCTCCTCAACATTCTCTATATACCAAAATAGTACTTCAAGTCCTGTTTGAGGAATGAAATATCTAAATCGAATGGAAACATTCTCTATATACCAAAATAGAACTTCAGGTCCTATTTGGTGGGCAAAAGATATATGAATTATGAATTATGATATCTCTTTTATGGGTGCTTGATGAAACCTAAATAGGTTTAGGCTTTAGATTTCATATCAAATCGCTCCCAAATGAGAAAGTTTTGATAGATCTCAAATTTGGAAGACATCACGATTTGGGAGACTTCAACCCGAGGGTTTGATATCCCCTCAACCACCGATCACCCCACGCCACCGGCTTCCACCATTATCGTCCATGAGCCACCAACCACACTCATTGCCAGTCACCCCGCCTATCACTAACAACAATCATTTAATATCTCCCCAAATACTTTTATTTCATAATTCAGAACTCGTATCATTTTTTCTGAACTTCAGAATTCATATCATATCAGTCATCGAAAACTCACTAAATAGACCCTCAATATTTTAATACCAAAATACTCCATAGAATTTATAATGCCAAATAACACCAATACGTAATCCTAAAATATATTGTGAAATGCAATACACAGTGCCAAATTGTGGTGTTTAACAGTGCCAACGATTCTAGTTTTGAGATAAAAACATAGAGGGTCTTATTTTGGTATAAATTACATGTTCTAGTCTTATTTAGGTAGATTTATTTCAATTGAAATCTATTAGGTCCCGTTTGGTGAGTTTTGGAGGATTCATATGATAAGAGTTCCGAAATCTAGAAACAAAAGACATGGGTTCTACTGTTCTAGCATGTGAAATAACATTATTTTAAGAAATTGGTAGGGGTGATCGGCGGCGAGTGGACGAAAATGGTGAAAGCGAGTAACAGGGGTGATCGACTATTGATATCAAACCCCTGGATTGATAACCCCAAAAATTTGGGAGATATCAAATTTGGGAGAATTTTGATATTTGGAGATATTAGTCTTCACTAAACACCCTTAGAAGGTTTTGGTATTCTGAGATATCAAAACTCATACTTCGTTTCTTTTTGGATTATCAAATAGGCCCTTAGTTTTATAGTGTAGTATGTTAAATCTAGTTTCCAATAAATAAATACTCCAAAGATTCCAAGAATCACACTCCAAAATTGGACTAAGTATACTTGACTCACATACTTCCACTCATTTTCTTCCCAGATGTGGAGAGAAGTTTTTGAGTGGGTCCCACCATTTTCTCTTTTATTTTTTCTCTAACCAAAGGAGAGAAAATACTCTGTGGACTCTATGTTATCTATTCTCCCATTTTCTTTCTCCCTTCTCTCTTCAAACAAACACTATTACTTATTTACTTGTATTTCAGGTCGTAATTAGAAACAATTTTAGGGGTACATTCGTCACTTTCAAGAATGATCAACGATGTGGCGTTGCTCATTTGCCAAGGCAAATAGATACCCTCGATTGCGCAAATCTATGTTCACCAATAATTACAGTAATGGAAAATATGGCCGGCGATTACGACCTTCATCTTCCTACAGAAAGTAAAAAATACCTACTGAAATCCGAATATGGAATTTCACAAGAAGACGAACCGTTTTGGCCCTTTCGAACAAACCAATACCAATGCTATTATTATGCTAGCGATTTTTCGGTATTATTTGGTACCAGATGCACATATGTTTCCAAATCATTAATTAATGAATAAATAAATGCATATATAGGAGTAGATGAATAAAGGGCAATTGAGTAAATTTAGAAGCGTACTGGTAAGATCGGCGAGGAGCGCTCTGCAAGGGCCTTGAGTCACGTTATTGGCAACATCGAGAATCCAAAACCCTACCACGAAGGCGGCGATGGCGCGTACCTTAACCTTGCCTCGATCGCCGAAGAGCCAGCCTATATCGGCGGAGAAACCGATTATGAGCACGGAGATCATGATGGAGATTGCCCCGCCGAGGATGAACGGGCGGCGGCGTCCGAACCGGCTCGTGCATCGGTCGCTGACGAGTCCGACCAGCGGCTGAACGAACAGGCCGGAAAGCGGGCCGCAAAGCCAGATGATGCTGGCCCAAGCGTGAGGGATTCCGAGCTCCTGGACGTATGGCGTGAGCAGAGATAGCTGTAAAGCCCACCCGAATTGTATCCCGCCGGCGATCGAGGCGACTCGGAACAGTAACTTCAACGACACGCGCGTTTCTCTGGCCGTTTCTCTGCCCGTCGAAGCTCTACTCTGCCTCGGCCGCTCGCCTTCCGGCATCGCGGAATATCGTTATTTCGGTATTGTTGCGTGCAGAAATTGTTTATTACCGGCTGAGTGGGATACGGACGGGTTTCTTGGCAGAAGGGCGGCGGGAGAAGGTGGAGAGAGGAGGAAACGCGTGCTCGGAATATCAAACCACGGTGTAAATAGTGAACAAAATATAATTTTAGCCGGAAAGAGTATTTATCAAAATAGTTTTGTCCCTACTCCGATGTACGGAGAGCTCGTAACTTTTCCACTCCCTCTGTTTTTTCTTTTGTTTTTGGTTTGTGATGAAGTTTGGACGATTTTATTTTAAAAAATTCATCTTAAATAAGAGTAAAAATATATTCAGAGTAGATAATATCAAAATAAAATATTTTTATTTTTATTTTTAAAATAAGAATATACATTATGATAATATGATATTGTATATGAATATTTAACAAACTATTTTAGCATTATATATGGACATGATTGGCATTATATTTACATTAAAGTTCTATTTTAGAATAAAAACATTAATCGTGTTATGCTTACACCAAAAAATGTATTCCAAATTTACATAAAAAATATACGCTAATATTTTAATGGTCACACGCACACAAAATGTTAGTGCGTAAACAAAGATCTGCAGTATACACTGACACAAAATGTACGTGGACACCTGCAGTGTACAAATTGGGTACAAATCTTAGGGTACAACGGAGCACCGGAGGGGTAGGAACCGTCAATTTTACGAACGGAGCACCGGAGGTGCCCAAAAATCCAGTGGCACCGTTTTCCAGTGTCACTAGAACCCCACTCTTAGTGAAATGTATTAAAGAAAAGTGAACAAAGTTACTCAAGATCTATGAAAGAAGTGATTATAATATTGGTCCATCCATGCGGTGTACAAAATAAGGTACAAATCCTTGGAATAGAAATAATTTTATCCAAATGGATTACACCATAGATTACCCGTAAGGCCGTAACATGTCTCAAGCCTTTTGTGTATTTACCAATATTTGGCTTACATTTACCAATTTATGGTACTCTGCAATCTGCATCTCTCACAATTCATTACATTGTTTATTCTTCCAAAATCATAATAAATTTTGTTTATTTATACATTTTTATTGATTATTTGATAAAATAAAATATTCTTGTAGTATTATGTTTTGTAAAACTTTTTGATGTTATTTTTTTATATATGTGAGTTTTGTTTTTTATTTATGTCTCAATCTTTAAATAAAATGAATTGAAAAATCCTAAAAAAATCGTTTTTTGTAGTTTGTAATCAAAATAGGAACGGAAGGAGTATATTTAATACCATTTCAGTCTCATAAAATATTTTTACTTTGAAAAAATTGATATTAAAGAACTGTGTAACTAACTTTTGAGTTATTTTTCAATTTTGTTCTTACTTTATAGTAGGATGGATATGGTAAGATATGCAAAATATAAACTAATAGTGAATAGATATGACACCGTAGATAGGTTAATAATTTGTATGGAAACAAAACAAAATTACTCTGTAATGAAAAGTAAAGTGTTTTTTTGTAATAGATGAAAAGTGAGAATAAAAAAAATTGAGACTGAAGAAGTATCTATATTTTACAAAGTTCGAGACCTTAGAAGAAGTCGATAAGCAAGATACTCCCTTCGCTCTTGAGAATTTGTCTACTTTTGACTTTTTTTGGTCAAAATTGGTAAATTTTAGTCTTAAACTAAATAAAAAAATATTAGACATTGATACAAAAATAATTGTATTAGATGAAATATTTTCAAAATATTATTTCATCTAATTAAAATACAACATATATTTTATTTAATTAAAACTCAAAGATTGAAAATGATTGATTGAAAGAAATCAAAACTGAATTAATAATCAGAAACGAAAGTAGTACATTATTATATTCACCTAAGAGCATCTCCAACCGTTAAGTTTTGGCTTGTTAAATGTTATTATTTGGCAATCCATTTCAATTTTTGTGCTCCAAGGGGCTTGCTATAGTATAGCATACTTGGTAAATTTTAACTTTGGCTTGTTATATATAACAAGCCTCTTAAAAAATAGCAAACCATGAAATTGATTAAATATATGATTTCTCTCTTCTTTTCTCTCATTCTCCTTCTCAAAATATAAAGTTACTTCTACTCTCTAATTTTTTGTTTTTGTAAATTTTTTTTCTCTACTCTTTAATTGGTATTTATTAAATATTTAAAATAATACTCCGTATATTTTATTATTTTCCCTAAAGTACGTAAAATAATACTCCGTATTGTTTTTTGAAATTATTATTTTTAAATTACAGACTTATTACTAAATTTTTATAATATAAAATAATAATTGAATAATTATTATAAAGAGTGTATTATAATAGTAAAAACAATATAATATACTCCCTCTGTCCACCATAGATCTTCCCAGTCACTATTCACAGGGTCAAACTTCACTCACTTTTTTTGCTCATTTTTACTAGTCATTTCGTAAAATAATATAGTCTTGTCACCTCTAGTTTTGTAGAACTTTTCATGTAGTTTATTACTATATAAATTTTATTTTAAAATTTTACCCCTATAATCAATCAAATTGAATTGAAAATAAAGTCGGTCAAGCCTCGTAACGCGTAATGGGAAGATCTTAGGTGGACGGAGGGAGTAATTGTTAGCTAAATTATAGCAAGGAAAGGTTGGAGATGACAATGCAAAATGGCGTGTTATACCATCATTCACATGCTAAAAAATGACTTTAGCAAGTCATGTTTAGCAATTGTGGTTGGAGATGCTCTAAGCCTATAGATGAGTTGCGGATTATGCAAAAACAATTTTCACATATAACAATGGGGAGAGGAATGTCATACAAAAAATATGTTTGACTTAATTTCTAGTGATTCCATTACGGATCGATTTATATGTTGTTAAGGAGAATCTGGGCTTAGCCTTCTGTGGGCCGCTTTTGTTTAATGGCCCGCTATATGTGTTCCTGCCCATATAGTGATTCAATAACTTTGAGGCACCCATAGTTGAGAATTAAGAATGTCAAGTGAAATTTGCATTAAATAAGACTGAAACATAAATTATTTCTCAATATAAGATTTAAACTTTTTTACTTAATAATGTCTAGTGGAAGAACGGAGCCTGAATTGAGAAAAGCGTTAGATTATTTTAAACATATGCCAAAAAAGATTAAAAAGGGAAAAAGAAAAAAAAATTGAATTTAAGTTTAAATGACATTAAAAAAATAAAATTTTTGCGGTATGAAGAGAGCTTTTTTTTAAATGCACAGAACTGTGAAAAATTAAATGATTAATTAATTTAATTTTCTATAAACATAAAAGTATAAGTGAACAGAAGTGTATTTTAGGAAGATAAACAAAAAGAAAAGAGGAAGTGAAATGTGAAGAGTAAAAATTGGAGTGTGCCAATACGACTACGTAGCAGTATTGTTTCAATTATTCTCCCTTTCTAATCCTTCACTTTCATAAGCCATATTTCAATTATTATGGACGGTCAATCATTCCCAGCCCACTTGTATGTAGTCCATATTTGAACAAATTTTTATTTCTTTAAGCTTTTGAGTCTTTTGACAATACCACTAAAAGTTATGATGAGTGTTTTGAAAGCGTTACATCACTGTTTTGATTACAATATTTTTTTCACATACGTAAAATGTTATGTCAAATTAAATAAATCATTTCTTAAAGTATCTCTAATGAATGATTAGCATCATATCTACTTTTTGCACACCTGGGGGCGGGGATAGAAATAGTGAGGGTATTTTTGTTTAAGGGTATCCTAATATTACAAAAGTCGAATACTGTAATCCATTTTGGGACAATAAAAAGAGAAATACTATAATCAAAATATGGACGGAGAAGTATACCAATACTATTTTACTTTAATTTTATTAAAATTAATCTACATTATTACAATTTTAAAAAAGGTAGCAATACAATGTTGAAAAACATCTTCTCAAAGCTTGTCACGAACCATAGTCATCAGGACTTGCCCTCATGGATGAATATAATATAGTACGTACTCATTAAGTTTTGGAAAACAATTTCCACAGTGGTGGAATCGAAAGTAATATCTTTTGGGACTTAAGCAATTCCAATTCAATTCTAAAAATACAACTAGATATTTGATTAAACAATAAAATGCAATTTTCTCCCAAAATAAGTTTTCTAATGAATTATAAATACATTTTAAAATTAAGGGTCATATGGTCAATTATAGACCTGGCAATCGGGTCAATCGATTCGGTTCCGGTTCGGGTCTCATTCGGATATATGTTATAATCGGTTCGGGTCGGTTCGGTTCAGGTCAGTTCGGTTCCGGGTTAATTTCAGTTTGACTGGTTTTCAGTTTCGATTCGGTTTCGGTTCGGGTTTGTATCGGATCGGGTTTGTATCGGTTCGAGTTTGTATCGGTCCGGGTTTGTATCGGTTTGAGTTTATATCGATTCGGGTTTGCATCGATTTAGGTTTATATTAGTTCAAATATATATCAAATATTTACTAATAAATCAATAACATCACATAATAAATTTAATCAATTTATGATATACTCCGTAGTTATTTTATTATTTAACACAGACGTACATAAAATTTAATCAATTTCGGGTCTAATCGGTTCAGGTTTTATCGGTTCGGGTTTTATCGGATTCGGATCTGAATCGGGTCTGAATACATTCGGTTCGGGTCCGGTTCAGTTCGGATCATTTCGGGTGTTCGGGTCTATTTCGGTTCTTCAATTTTCGGGTCAAATCGGGTTTGGTTCCAGATTATTCGATTCGAGTTATTGAGTCTGGATCAGTTTTGCTAGGTCTATGGTCAAATAACATAACGAAACCATAGTTCTCTTATATAGCAATCTTATACCAGAGATCACATTTTCACCTTTCCATCTTTTAACCTCTCCAACCATACTATGTATAATATACCTATTTATCACAATTTGTCATTATTCTACAATTAATTTTTAATAAAGAAATTATCTATTTTATACTTTTAGATTACTCACATTTTTGTGTAAAAAAAATAAAATATAATCAACAACTGTGTTTGTTATTATAGCAAGTCTGCTTGGTATATATAACAATTGTATTTGTTAAAACACCAAGCTTGGGATAACTTACCTACACCATTTTGGAGTGCAAAAGATGAAGAAAATTGCCACTTATTTTTTAATCACCGTCTTATAAAACTCTTTCTGTTTAAATTTGTTGCAGAAATAGATCTAAATTTTAATAGTTGAGATCTATCATAATTAAACATGAATGATTAAAATAGTTTTAATGTTTGAAACTTCAATCAATCATAATTAAAATAGATCATTTAAAATTGTTAAAAGTTGAAAATGATCTAAGTTAAAGGATCCCTTTTTGAAAGGTTGAAAAATACAAAGAAGTAAATTGTGTAACTCTTTTGAGTAAATTTCGGGGATGTTTGGGTGAAAAAAATAGATTTGTTTAACCCAACAAAATCCCAAAAAACTCTGGCAATATGTTGAAAAATGATCCGTCAATGGCATTGTGAATTTGTGATCCCATAGTTTTCTTCTAGAAAAAAAACTAATGATGTTCTGCTGGGCCCTCACTTTGACCAATGAGGAAAAAGAAGTGGAATTCGTTTTTTTCATATATGGGAAATAAATATTTTTTTAAGTGCATCAAGACGTTTTTTTTTGGAGAAATATTTACGTGCATCAAGTACGTAGATAGGGCACTATATTAAATCAATTATCTCCTTAACTAAATGTGAAATTTGTACTAAATAAGACTAAAACATAATGATTTTCCTAATCTATAACTTAAATTTTTTTATTCCCTAATTAGGACTTATTAATGTCAGAATAATGTCCAGTAATGATGGACATTTACTTGAATAATGACTAATTCATAATGACCAAAAGTTCTACATTGGTCATTAAAAAATAAAAACATATACTCCTATATTGGAAAAGTCATTATGTTTTAGTCTTATTTACGTAAATTGCTCTAATTAGATTCACTCCATTTATAATAAATTGAAAACTTTATCCTAAAAATTAAAAAAAAAAGTAAAAATAAATTGTAAACTACTATAATTACGTAGATGTGATGTATGAATATATAGGACCCGAACGGGAACCCTCGGGCAAAACCTAGCGTAGAATTCTATAATTCTCGAGTTCTATGTCCTTGTATGTTTAGCAAAAAAGATTATCTATTACGGAGTACAACACTTTCTATCTCTATAGAATATTACACTATTATATTGCCGAATAATGTTACATGAACTAGGGTGTATTACTCCATATATAATATCATCGTGCAAAAGACCTATAGCCAATAGGGAGTAATTTATTTGTCCTCGAGAAGGTTATAAATAAACGTAGGGGATGACATCTTTGTTAATAAGCGTCACTCAATTTGTCAACATATAATGTGAAAAGAATTTTGGTAAATTAGACAGAAAATGGTGGAACCCTTTTATCTTCTTTCCTTGTATCTCTTCGAGAACTATTGAAAAAATAAATCGTAGGATATGTCTCAACTAGGATCGGGCAGTATCAACGGAACCGTGCTCATTGATTATAGGACATTTAAACATCCCCGTAATATAGTGAAGAAATTGAAGAATAATGGACAAAAAAATGTTTTATATGCCCATGTTTGGATTAGATTTTCAACACCGTAATCCATATATAGATGTAGTCATATAGCCATCAAGGACTCCTTCGTTATCAATTACAAATCAACCATGTTAGAGGTACATTAAAAAATGTACTCTAAATTGTATCTCAAGGAAGGACACCGACATTTTAATGGTTCACGCTGCTACAAAATGTTAATTGAATTAAAAAAATTTACATTGACATTTTTTGTCAATGTAAATCACCACACTAATATCTCACTAGTACAAAATGTCTGTGTATGCTTTTGAGATACAAAATTGATACAAATTTTGATTGATACAAAATTGATACAAAATTTTTTGGTACAATGTTATTTATTTTATTTTTTTTTGAAACAGGTACAATGTTATTTATAGTTCTTGATTAATTACACAAAAATTGATTTCCCAACCATAAATATGTCACCACCATTAAAAAACGACGCCTTTCTTGTACAGTTCTACTCTATCCACGCCAAGCGCACGTTTAAAACCGCACACTAAACGTCGTCCCTATCTCTCCGATCGTCAGCAATGGCGGCGCCCCTAATTTTCCGGCGAAGCTGCAGCGTCATCTTTCCGTCAGTGATGTTTTTCACAGTCCTCTGCTCCCTCTCCGCCGCCGGCGAGCTCCATACCCTCCTTACCATTAAAGCGGCCCTTCAGAATCCCAACACCAAGATCTTTGACTCATGGAAAGCGGGCGTTCCGGCGTGCAATTTCACCGGAATTACTTGCGGCCCCAATGGTTCAGTCAAAGAAATTGAACTTTCAGGCCAAGGGATCTCTGGCTCTCTCCCTTTCGATTCTATCTGCTCTCTCAAATCTCTGGAAAAGCTCTCCCTCGGCTTCAATTCGCTTTCCGGCAATGTTTCCGACGGCTTGAATCGCTGCGTTAGCTTGACGTACTTAAACCTTGGGAACAATTTCTTCTCCGGCGCGGTTCCGGGAATATCGTCGCTCAATGAGCTGACGCATTTGTACCTGAATAACAGTGGGTTTACCGGGATGTTCCCTTGGGATTCACTGAAAAACATGACGAAGCTGGAGGTTCTCTGTCTGGGGGACAATCCGTTCGACCGGTCGAAGTTGCCGGAATTTGTTGTGCAGTTTCCGAGGATGAAATGGCTTTATTTGTCCAATTGCAGCCTTGAAGGAAAAATCCCAGACGGGATAGGAAACCTCACGGCGCTGATCAATTTGGAGCTGTCGATGAATTATATTTCCGGCGAAATACCAGCCGGAATTACTAAGCTCCGGAGGCTATGGCAGCTCGAACTGTACAACAACGAGATCACGGGGAAGCTACCGGTTGGGTTGGGTAATCTCTCGAATCTTGAATATTTTGATGCTTCAGCCAATTTCCTCTATGGCGGACTTTCCGAAATCGGGCATTTGAATGGGCTCATAAGTTTGCAACTTTTTGAGAATGAATTTACCGGCGAGATCCCGCCGGAGTTGGGTGAGTTTCAGAATCTCGTGAACTTGTCGCTCTACACGAACAAGCTCAGTGGACCGCTCCCTCCTAAGCTTGGCTCGTTGTCGGAGTTTTATTTGATTGATGCATCGGAGAATTTCCTCACCGGACCTATTCCGCCGGAGATGTGTAAACAGGGGAAGATGAAGATGATCTTGCTTCTCCAGAATAACCTCACCGGAGAAATACCCCAAACTTACACGAACTGCACTAGCCTGAAGCGTTTCCGGGTGAGCAAAAATTTACTCTCCGGTGTAATTCCTGCCGGGATCTGGGGACTGCCGGAACTCTACATCCTAGATGTCGCGAACAATATATTCGAAGGTTCCATCACCGGCGATATCAAGAACGCAAAAACACTGGCGCAGCTGTACGCTTCAAATAACAGACTGTCCGGTGAATTGCCGTCTGAGATCTCCGGCGCTACTTCTCTGGTTACAATCGAACTGGGCCACAATCAACTCTCCGGCGAAATCCCGGCGACCATTGGAAAATTGAAATCGCTAGATACAATTCACCTCCAGGAAAACAAGTTTTCCGGCGCAATCCCGGAATCACTCGGCGAATGTGTTTCCCTGAGCGACATAAACATGGCTTCCAACTCTCTTAGCGGCCCCATCCCTTCTTCTCTCCAATACCTGTCGACTTTAACTACATTAGATCTATCAGGAAATCAACTTTCCGGCGAAATCCCGGCAAGTCTATCACAGTTAAAGCTGAACCTCCTCGATCTATCCAACAACACCCTCTCCGGTCCCATACCGGACTCTCTCTCTATCGATGCATACAACGGCAGCTTCGCCGGGAACTCAAGACTCTGCAGCCGGAACATCAAATCCTTCAGAAAGTGTTCGCCGGAATCCCAAAACTCCCGCTTCATTCACCCGCTCTTGATTTCCCTGTTCGCTCTCTCCAGCACCGTTCTTCTTTCCCTGGCGTGTTTCTTCTACTTAGAGAAGAGCCGGGAACGGTCTCTCAAAGACGAAAGCTGGGATCTTGTCTCTTTCCGGCCACTGACCTTCTCGAAAAAGGAAATCTTAGACGCTATCAAGCAAGAAAACATCATCGGAGAAGGCGGGTCCGGCAGCGTCTACCGTGTGATTCTCCCAAACGGAACCGAATTAGCCGCGAAACACATATGGAACTCCGGCAACCATCACCAGGGACCCTCCCTCTCGCCGGGATCCAGACGTCGGACGGTGTCGAAACAGTTCGAGGCAGAGGTTCAAACGCTGAGCTCGATTAGGCACATGAACGTGGTGAAGCTGTACTGCAGCATGATCGGCGAGGATTCGAATCTTCTGGTTTATGAGTACATGCCAAACGGGAGTCTCTGGGACATTCTCCACACGACGAGGAAGATGAAGACGGCGGTGGACTGGGAGATGCGGTACGAGATCGCCGTCGGCGCCGCAAAGGGCTTGGAGTACCTCCACCACGGGTTGGGCCGGCCCATCGTCCACCGGGATGTCAAGTCCAGTAACATTTTGCTGGACGAGGATTGCCGGCCCAGAATCGCCGATTTCGGGCTTGCAAAGATGATCCAATGCGGCGGCGACGCCGGCGGTATAGAATCCTCTCATGTCATTGCCGGAACTCATGGATATATCGCTCCAGGTAACCCATTCAACCCCAAATGAATATGCAACAATATATTTTGGATAAATGAGAAGAACTGATCTGATTGTAGTTATATTTAAAATTATTTCTGTTCTGATCTAGTCTGGTCTGTTTTTAATAAGAATAAGAAATAAATTGAAAAATAAACTTGATAATTCCACTGTTGCAGAATATGGATACACGCAAAACGTGAAGGAGAAGAGCGATGTGTACAGTTTCGGAGTAGTTTTGATGGAGCTAGTTTCGGGAAAGAAGCCGATTGAGGCGGAGTACGGGGAGAACAACGATATTGTGAGTTGGGTGAGCGCCAATTTGAAGAGCAAAGAGACGATAATGAGCCTTGTTGATTCAGAAATCCCGGAGCACCACAAGGAAGATGCCATAAAGGTTTTGAGGATTGCAATATTGTGCACCAATGCCCTCCCAAACTCAAGGCCAACCATGAAGAGGGTGGTTCAGTTGTTAAAAGATGCTGAGCCTAGTAAATTAGTTGGGGAAAAATGGTTGGTTAACTTCCAATGGACAATTTTGCCCCCCCGAAGGTTTGGTCTGATTTGATCTGTTCCAATGCGTTAGAGTTTGAAAAGACCATTTTTTCCTGGCACTTATTAGGGTTGGATTTTGAAAATAACATTAAAATTTTAATGGTGCAGATTAATTCTGAAAACGCAAACGCAAAAGGCTACCATCGGATAACTTTTTCAAAATGCTAACGCTAATCTCTGACGCTGATGCCAAACGGGACCATAGCACACCATGACGTTAAGGGAGTGTGGATTTTTTTCTCACTCTTTTTATTTCCAAAATCAACTCTTTTGAAAATAGGCATTTCTTTATTTCTAAAAATTAGATTCTACGCGTAAAATTAAGAGTGATTTTTTTCGCAAAAATTGACTACTTTTGATATGACTATATGAGTATGTGCAAAATAAAAAATACTTATTTTGATTTCTTGATAATAGAACAAAAAATCTTAAATTAACTTGGTTGGTTACAATAAGAAGGCAGACTCTTCACTTTCTTATTTTTATTTATTACTTAATCTTATCTAAATCAGATCAGATCAAAAATAAAATTAAAATATAATTACAATTAAATCAATTCAAATTACAATCGAAACAAGTCCAAACCAAACAGATAAATTAAAGGGAAGAAGCCTAAGACATGCATGCTAGACAAGTAAATAAGAATATGGTCCATCTCATTGGAACTGAGGCCTTAGCCAATTACGCTTGCTGGCGGAGCAGGCCGGAATTTTAGCACTAAAATACAATGACTTTCTCTAAATAGCACTACATGTATTTTTTTCTCAATGTAGCACTTTTAGTCATTATCCATTAGTCATTATTCAAGTAAATAATTGTCATCGCTGGTTATTATCGACATTATTAAGTATTATTTAGAAAATAAAACAATTTAAGTACTATTTAGAAAAATGACTTAAGTTTTAGTGCTATTTAGTGCAAATATTTCTTTATATCATGCAAAAAGATTGTCAAAAGTTGTACAAGATAGGACAAGACAATTACTCCGTAAGTTATAATTTATTTGATCAAACAATTAATGAAACAAAAGTTATAGAAAAATCGTATATATTGTGGGACGGAGAGAATATATTGTGTTTTACTGAAGAACATTGAGCAACGAATTTAAACAGGACCAAGATGTCACGAGGTATCTACTCCGTAAGATTTAATTTTCAAAAGAAATTGTATATAAATGTCAAGTACATATTAATTTTTAGATGTTTAAAGAAAAGACAACAAAATTTGGAATTGAGCAGAGGTCACAATCAAAAGTTGGAACTATACTAGGTGCATATAGAAAGAGAGTTCAATTTGCCCGCATGGCTAGTTACGATGATTTTGGCTTTGTTTGGTAATAACGTTTTTTATTAACGTTAGTGTTTTGGATAAAATTTTAATGGTGCAGATTAATTACGAAAACGCTAACGCTAAAGGCTACCGTCGAATAGCTCTTTTAAAATGCCAACGCTAATCTCTAACGCTGATGCCAAACGGGGCCTTTGACTTCTTAGGAAGGCGAAATCTGAGATCATAGTGATAATTCATACGACAATATTATGAAAGTTTTATCCAATTTTCCATTTGTCCTTTTTTCATGTCCGAGAATGATATTTTCATAACGTTTTTGACAATTAAAATACTATAAGTACATTTACTTTATTTAGTACACTTCATCCACCCCATTTTAACATATTCACCTATTTTCATGAAGGATATTTTAGTAAATATTTATCTTTTCTCAACTCTCGTAAAATCTGAGAATAGTCAAAATGAAAAAATCTGTAGCAGACGAAGGGAGTAGTTCTTTGTGCGCATTGGGCACGTGACACCTTCTAAAAGACCATACTTTTTTAGCAATAATATAATACTCTCTCCGTCCCACTTTAGATTGCAACATTTTTTTTTGTTGAAATTAAGGAAGAGTCAAATCAAATTTTTTTTGCCCAAATTTCCCCCCAAATCCCCCAAGTATCCTTCCCACTCACATGGATGAATACTATGTGAATAGGGTAGGAGTGAGAGGGTAAAAGAATTAATTCCTTTTAAAGTTATTGAATTTGTAATTTTTTTTGGGACAAAAATGTGAAAGAATATTATAATCTATTTCGGGACGGAGGGAGTATGTCAATCCATGCATACTTCATTAACCTATTGAAGCACTTTGACTTACCACTTCGACTCGAGAATGATTTCATCATTTTCATGATCTCTTATTTGAAAGAGTCGCCTTAGTGATATTGCACCACACGGTCTCGGGCTAAAGACCAGATTAATACTCCCTCCGCACCGAAATAAGGTTCCTGTTAGTTTACAACGATTAACTCGTCTTATTTTTTTGATTAATATAAGTAATAATTGATGTAAAATTAGAAATTAAAAAAATACGAACTATTTAAAGAAAACAACATAAAAAAATTGGTGTACTACGTGTTCGATCGTAAAATATAATGTACAGACGTGTTATACTCTCCTGGCGTAAAAAAATTTCTTTACGTCACGCCTCTTCCTGTCTTCCACTGCTGCCGCGCGGTAAAACGGTGGAGGTAATTTAGGGATGGGATTCATCATGTTGCTGGTAAAACGGTAGAGGTGAAAATGTGAAAATTTAAGTCTGGATTCCTTGATTTGCCTTCACATTGACAAAATCTCAATGATAATTTCATACTTCCTCCGTTTTTAAATAGATTATAATTTTTTTTCTCTTCTCTCGATAACATTTATTTGGTTACGTAATTTCATTAAGAATGTGATAAAATAAAATATTATTATCAGCTCTTATTTTGTAGAACTTTTGACGTAGTTTTTTAATATGTAATTTTATATCTTAATGATATACCAATTTGTAAATAAAATAATTTCAAAAAGTAGAAAATTTCACTCCGTAACCCGCAATTTGTAATCAAATTGGGGACAGAGGGAATACTATTTATCCTAGCATAATTATCTAACTAAATTTATTTGTAACCTAATTTATTTAAAAAATGCTATAAATTTATAAAATAAATTTATAAAATTTAAAGTTAAATCAAATTTTCTATAAGATAAGAAATTACATAACTAAGTTATCCTTGCAAATACTTAACGAAAATAAGTACTCCGTATAAAAAAGAAGTAAAAGTTTGACTCTTGAATAATAATGAATAATAAAGCGAGGCGATTATTTTTTTAAGGATGGAGTGTAAGTCATGATGTTTAATTGATATTTTTAGTTTTATATAATCCGATCAGTTTTGATTTGAAATTTAAAAAATATATTCCGTATGGAATTAAAAATGACTCCGTATATAAAAATTCTTCAGTCTAAGATGTGACAAGATTATAGATATATTCATGTCAACTAAATTTTAATTAAGTATTTTAAGATATCTTATCTAGTAATTAATTAGAGCCTGGTTCTTTAAATATAAAGTGTGAATGCATTAAAAAATCTGGCTACTAGATTTTAGAGTCTCGTAACTAGAAATTAGAATTTCAAAATAAGAGTCACGAAAGTGAGTTCTGAAGTTTGAAAACTATAGTCTATGTCTAAAGTTTGAATAATTGTAATACTGTGGTATTAAATAAAAAAACATGTCTTACTATATACTCCATCCGTCCCAAAAAGATTTACACGTTTCAAAAAAATTCTGTCTCATAATCCCTTATTCATTTCTATTAAAAACCACTTTTACCCCTTACTTTTTCAAACCCTACATATCACATCATACATTTTTCCTAATAATCTACACATCTTATGCTACTTTTACCCATCACATCAAGGGTATTTTTGGAAAGTCAACACAAAATTATCCCTTCCTTAATTTCAACTTTAGTTAAAATGGGTAATACTTTATAGGACGGGGGAGTATATATTATCATAAATAAGTTAAAATATTTATTCCTTCCTATCTAAAATGATCTTCCTAGTTTGATTTACGAAGTTTAATTGAATTTATCTTCAATTTAATTTATTTGATTATAGGTTTACAATTAAAAAATAAAAATTATATATTTTAAAACAATATTAAAACTTTTACAAAACAATAGGTGACAAGACTATCTCATTCATCAAATAACTATCGACGAGTATAAAGAAATTATTAAAATTTGACATGTGAATAGTGTTTGAATGATTATTTTAGGAAGGAGGAAGTACCATTTGAATAGTGAATATATTGTGGCGAGGACGACGGCATCCGCCCCATCGATCCCACCATGTCCTCGTTCTCGTAGATGCTCCCTCCCCCTTGGTATATTTTTTCCCCTAAAGCCTAGCATACGGCTTTGCAAGTACCGGATTCAAGAATCTTTCTTTGTCGTCGATCTGCAATCGAAATTCAATTTATCTTTTTTTAATGACCGTCCAACCGAGTCTGAAAAGATCTTTGAAATAAGGCTCATACTTTTTTTTTTGTGTGAAGAGTTCTTTTTTTTAGTAATGGGGTCTATGACTTAAGAGTTAAGAGGGCGATGGAGTCGGTAGGGCAAAAACCTTCATTTTTTGTGCCAAAGTTGGGTATTTCATGACCCTTTCGGTGGTCTTGGTTCATAAAAGTGGGGAATATGAGGGCAATTCGGCAACTGCCCCATTAAAAAAAATTAGTTAAATAAAATATACTCGTAATAAGTTTGAATAATTTAGTTTAAATTAGTTATGAAAAATAGTTACTCCGTATATGTTTTTAAAAGTTTGTACATCGGCGCCTTGAGTAAAAAAATTACCCACATTTTTTTAAAAAAAGTTTAAAGTAAATCAAATATAAAGATAAAATATTTTAAACACAATACTCCGTAGTTATATTATATATTATTTTTTCTATTTTAAAAATATTTGTTTTATTTATTTGAATATTTTTTTGAAAATAAATTTACTCATTTTTCATCATTATAAATAGTCTTTAAAAAATGGGGGACTCTGCCCGGAATCGAGTCCTCAGGCACAGACACATTAATGAGAGTAATTAACCTGCACGTAATAAATGGGGTTAATGTTTGACGCCACTAAACAAAGCAGAAGAAGAGACAAGGGGATGAAAAAAAGATCAATTAATGGAAATGGGAAGAGGTAAAGACAGTAAGACAAAAAAAAGGCGAGTTTTACCAAAGAAGGAACAAATAAAAGTGTAGAAAATGGCTTCTCACCGGCCCACACCCACTTCAAGTGGGTTTTTAGGGAAATTTCATTTATGGACTGTTAACTAGGCTATTTTAACTTTGTTTTTGTTGTTAGATTTATTTCAAAATTTAATTTTTTTATTTTTACAATTACGCATTCACAAACATGAATATATAGATTAGTTAATACGGAGTAATGGAGTATTACTTTCGTCTCATAATATTTGTCCATTTTTTACTTTTTGCAGCTAATCATTATTAATTTTTAACTTATAATTAAGTAAATTATATATTGTATATTAATAATATAAAATAATATATGAAAATATTTTATAAAATAAATCTAATGAAATTATTTTTACATCAATATCTATGATCATTTTCATTTAATGGTAAATTAAAATTTATTAATTTTGATTGGAAAAAGTTAAAATGGACAAATACTCAGAAATAAAAAAAAGAAGTTAAGATAACCATTTGGGACAAGTTTGCTTCTTTCCCTTTAGGTATACACTATCTTTTGCATCATCTTTCTACATCATGTATATTGTGCTAACTCACATTTCAATTTTTTGCTAATCAATTTAAACTATATGAATCGCCACAAGTAATTTCATACGGAGTATTATTCAAGCATTTACATCATTCTAGATACATCATAAAATGTTTAATTTAGTATTTTGTGCAAAACAAAGTGTTTAATTTTATATATATATATATATATATATATATATATATATATATAGTACAAGAAAGATATTTGACTATTATTGTTAGATTTTAAATTAATAACATAACAGAAGATTAAAAAAACTATCTTTGAAAAGATATAGTATAAAAAACGGACCACCCATTTAATATTTAATAATAGAAAATTATAAATGACAAGTTATCAATTATAAAAATTATAAAGGGCTCAATTTTAAAATTGAAGTTAATTTTTTGAAAAAAAAAGGATGAGCCTCAATCCCGAGGGCCTTCCCAGACTCGCTCGGACGGTCATTGAGATGAGGTAAATGAGACTTTAATTGCAGATTGATGGTAAAAAATGGAGCATACACCTGATACTTGCAGAGGCTCTATATGTATCATAGTTGTCTCCCAATGCAATTTTCATAAATTAAATTCGGATTTTATTCTCTTGACACCTTTTGTCTTGCCAACAGCGCAACGTTTACCTAAATTATTTATTTTGAAAGAGGACTAGTGGTTAGGGATGACAATTCAACCCGAACCCGAGCTTAACCAACCCGACCGACAACTAAAATATCCGAACCCGAACCGAACCCGACCCGAACCCGCGCCCAACCCGACTAAAACCCGAATATTTTATTACATAAAAGCCTATCTATGGATTTAATAAGCACTCCGTATAATTTCTTGACAAAGTGCTACTATATCAAGTATGCTTTTTATAATCATTTTTATAATTCCTTAATAAAAAATGAGACATAAAAAAGAGACATGAAAAAATTAGATTTAATCATTTCAAAATTATTGGGATATGTCGAATTGATTATTGGTTAAAAGTCGGGTTCGGGTCGGGTTCGGTTCGGGTCGGGTTTTTAGCTTAAAAGGTCGGGTTTCAGGTCGGTTTCGGGTTTCGATTTTAAAAGTCGGGTCGGGTTCAGGTATAGTACTATCCGACCCGAACCCGACCCGTTGTCATCCCTACTAGTACATTTTAGCATGGTCCACCTTTTTAACCCTCCAAAACAAAATTCCTCAATCCCAATACTCCCTTCCATCACATCACACCCCACCCCATCCCCACTCCTCCCACCACCCAAGAACACTGTACCCACATTTTCTTTTTGGCTTTTCTCCCTCCTCTTCAGTCCCGGCGATATATACAAGTAGTTGGAATGTCGGATTCTTGCTGAGAACCCCAGAAAAGAAAAAAGATCTCTCCTTTTTATTCCTTCTTTAAATCTCAATTCCTGTTTTCAAATCTTGGGGTTCTGCTAGCCGCCCCCGCCGCTGCTAGCGATGGGTTCTTGCGGCCGGGAGAAAGAGTCAACCGGCGACGGCGGCCGGAGTGTCCGGACTCTCAGTGACCAAGATGCCCTCTTTCCCTCTGTAAATCCAGGGTCTTTTTCGGATTTTCTCGGCTGGTTGGAGGACAATCCAATGTAGCTCCATCTTTATCTTCTATTGGCAATGGTGGTGGTGGTCAAAAGGCAGACAGGATGAAGCCAGGCATAATATTTAAGGACTAGTATTTATTTATCTTATGCTGTTTTCTTTTTTTAAACCTTTATTTCGTTTGGTATCTTTCTAATCTATATACAGCTTTTTTTTGCTGATGGTAAAAAGATAAATTTTGTCCCAAGTATCTATCTTTCTTTTTCCCTTGTTTTTTTCTCTTCTGCAAAAAAAAGATAAACTTTGTCCCAAGAACACCAAACAAGAAGAAGAGAAACAGAAATTAAAAGCCTCATTTGAGATTTCTGACAAAAAAAGTGAAGAAAATGTTGAAATCAATTTCTGAGTTTAAATAGTGAATGACATTATTACATCTGTGAAGAACAAGATGCCAGATTTGGTTTTTGATAAATTTTACTGCTGTTTTTGGGTCTTAAATTCTGATGCATTTAATATTCTTTAATACATGGATCTATGGTTCTCTCATCTTCTTGAATGTCTGCCCCAGTTTATATGATAAAGAATAAACAAACTATCTCAATTTCATCTATTTAAATTCGAAAAAATCAAACTTGATAAATACCCAGTAATATTTTGAGACCCAGAAAACATTTTTCCCTTTGTAACCTTAAGATTATGTGATTGGGTGTTTGTTTTAAGCACAGTCCCGTGAAGTGTCTGTTGGAAGGGTGTCTTGTTTTACCAAATTAATGTCAGATAAGTTTGAATTTTTTTATGTGTATGTGTGGATACACTGTGGTCTACATGGGAGACTATTTGGTGTTTGGGATCTGGATGCAGCTGCCAAACATGTCCTAACCAGAACTGGCACAAGACTGTGTGGTGTTTGGTGGAGCTGATCAAACGGTCAGAATGAAATATAAAGAACTCCAAAATAGAGCTATTGTGAGCCTTAGATTTCAGTATGGTTTGGAATATGGCTTTCAATTAGTGTGTTTATGAATAAGGATGTGTTTGGTGAATCAGAATGGGAAAGAAAATGGAGTTCACAATGGCATTGATCAGCCAACTGACTTTGAACTTCAGTTAGTGTGAAAAGACCCATAATCACAAAGAATGTGAAAATTATAGGGTTGGGGTCAAAGAGTTGATATCCGAAGTATATATGTTCAGCATAGAGTGTCTGTAAGTATCAGTTCTAAACTCTATTTTTTGTTACTAATCTAAAATTCAATTTACTTATTTACCTCTTTTCCGGTGTCAATTTAAGTGGTTTTTTGAAAACTATAATGTTGGGCTGGGGCCTATGTACCTTAAAAATGTTTACCCACCAAAAGTGGGTGGGTCTTGTAATGGTCACCACTCATTATTTTTATCACAAATTTGGTGCTGTAATATCCCCCCACTCGTGTCTCTTGTGGTGGTGAACGAGGTTGTCCCTCACATCTTAGGAGCCATTTTACTTTCACCATAAAAAGTTGGTTAGGTAAATTCTACAAATCATCATACCAAAATCAATACAAAATGTTACATTTGTTTTTTTTTCGAGTAACAAAATTCAATAGCATTAATGTTGTAGAACCAAAGCAACAAGATCAGGGGATGAGACTCCGATATCTCACAATCCGACTCAGTCTTTCTAGCAAGTGCGTGAGCTACAACATTACGAGTGCAATTAACAGAAAGGTATTGATTTTTATTCTGAAAACAATAAGATATCGATTTTAGAATCTAATCGACACAGAGTATTTAAGAGCAATAAAGTGTTTAATTCATCAAATTGGGTTAATTTCGAAATAATTAGATATGGTAACTGAAATTGCCAAAAATAGAATTGCAACCAAATGAGCATTTGAGATAAATGTTGTTTATAGGATTTGTTGTTTCCTTTTTTATGACATCACCAGAAACAGTATGTTTTTTAACGTCAATATAATAATCAAAGTTGAATCGGAACAGAGTCAGAAGAGAGATAATTCCAACAAAATTTGTTGGTTTGCCACTTGGCGGCCACCGAAGCTGGAGAATGAGAAATGCAATTACAAGTGTGTAGAACAAAATTTAAAAAACTTTGAGAAAACGAAAGATAAAACTTACACCCAGAAACAATGGGGTCATAGCATGATTTAAAATAACATTAACACAAGAGTTTGTTAATTACTCTGAAATTAAATTATAGAGTATTCATTTTCGTATCTCCAAATTACTTGCCCATTATTTATTGTACTAAAATATTTTTAAAATGTCTGTGCTGCATAGGTCTGTGTGTCTATGTTAGCATGGTGTACAAATGAGGTACTCCATATTAGTGTATCCTAGCATTGCCGTATTATTATTATTATTATTATTATTATTATTATTATTATTATTATTATTATTATTATTATTATTCTATACTCATTTAAAAGACTTTACTGAGTAAGTGACATTCAATTTTTACTCTTCTTAAATAAGATATTTTCGAAAATGTACAATTAAATCCATCTCTGGCCTCTGTTAGAAAATGCTATTCTTTTTTTTTTGAAACTAGAAAATGCTATTCAAAATTGAATTGTTACACGTTTGACCGGCTATGTTGGGTAGTGGAAAAAAACAAATCATGGATGTCGCCATTTGACCGAGTTTGTCGTTCAAAAATTTGTTAATCACCCATTCCAAATTACGGATTATATCTTTTAATTTTTTTTGTTAAGAACAAAAAATTATGAAAATATCAAAATAAGACTTCTCAGATCTTTAAGAGTATATGAGTATAATGTAATATGATACAAGAGTACGTGTTAGCAGTGTGATAAAAAATGGTAAGAATATAATATGATAGTATGATCATTCAACCGTCGACGATCAACAACTCTGATAGACAACAACGATAGATGTCAGTGTGACAGTGATAGCGTGTCAGTTGCAATGTGACAATGCGGTGAGTGTGACAATAATGTAAACTTTTATTTAGATCTTGAAAAATTTAGGACTCTTATTGTTGTGTTTTGATAGATTTTTCTTTTATCGAGAGAGTTCCCGTTATCTAATTATTACTCCATAGTATCGGTATTCGTGGGCTTAGTAGTTCCAACACCTCCTGTCATTTAGAAAAGGGAGAACTCACTAGCTAGATAGTAGTAAAAATACTAAAAATAAGAGTTATAAGTCTTTTAAGACTAAAATATGAATTCACATTGTCATTGTTACAATGCAACACTTACCACATTGCCACATTATAACTGTCATTGTATCATCGTCACACTACCATCCGTTGCTGCCGGCCACTAGAGTGGCATCACGGATGACCGGTGATTGGCTGATCACCCTAATATATTACATTGTCATCATTTTTTATTACACTGCCAACACTTCTTTTTACACCATACTAACATTATACCTCTATTTTGAATTATTAAACCTATGACACCTATTTTGATATTTTTTATATTTTTTTTACTCCTATCTAGAAAGATTTCTTTTTTTAAAAAAATGTCAAGAGAAAAAGACTAAACTAGGAGTAGAACAATGAGAAAGTAGTAAATAGGAAGTCCATATTTTTTTATTCTCAAAATAAGAGTATATTAACAATAATGTCAATTTATAATACCAAAAATACAATGCGATGTCACTATATAGTGTCATGATATCACATTACGAATAATTATTTTCTTTTTTCAACTTTACGATTTTTTTATTCTAGAAAACAAAAAATTGAAAATATTTAATTTGAGATAGATGGGATATTTTTAATTTTTTAATTTTTTTTTATTTCAAACAAAAATAATTTAAAAAAAAATTAAAAACCTTTTTTAAAGAGGAAACAAATGGAGGAAAAAAAGAAGATAAAAAGGGGGAAAAACCAACAAAATAAAAGAAAAACGTGAAATGAACTATGTTGGCTCATGTGGTTTGAAAAATAGGTATTAATACCCCTTCTTCACATAAAATGATTGGAAAATAGCCAGAAAATGATCATTGGGTGTGTGTGTAATGTTTTGAAACCTTGAAAATTCTTTAAATAAATTTTAAAAACAAAAGATGTATCGATACCCATTCCGTGAACCAAAAGGTTTTTTGGAGCTATTAGTCGATAATCGTGTGATAAAATAAAATAATCTAACTCAGCTCTCACTTTACAAAAAAAACAAAAATAGTTTTTGAATCTTTAAATGTTTATCGTATTTTTGAGTTTTTCTCCCATTTTTTTAAGAAAAATTGAAAACAAAATTTTAACAAATATCCTAAACGGAAATCGAATTTTTAACAAATATGATGCACTCAAATACTAAAAGATATTTTAAGCTCTCCAATCTTCACAAAAGTCGTAGGTCAAATGTGAGATGACTACATCAAATAGACAAATACACTAAAACAATGTGTTTCTGGTCTAATTGTGCTGCAAAGTTTAAATTAGACAATCACAATACGAGATCGAATTGTGTATGATGTGTACAATCACTATTTATAGGATATCATACATAATAAACCGCACTTATTAAACTCCAAAACATATTCCATTGAAGGCTCAAGTTGTCCATCAATTCTTTCATCCTCACAAGATCGTAGTTTCGTGACAATGATCGAATATAATGTTTCACGACCAACGCGACATTTCCGATTTTTCGACGCACTTAATGCAATGTAACTAATGTCATTGACGGATTCGATTAGATGATAGAAAATATTGCTCCATTGCATTTGATATACTACATGCCTATAATCTCACAATTTTATGCACAATTATTGTTCCCTAAACTTATGTTTTGGATCAACACTTCAACTTGCTCTTGTTTTGGCATTTGGAATTTTGCCAAAATGTTACATAGTACGACGTATTTGAATTAGAAGTGTTGTCACGTAACACAAAAATTGAATTTCAGATGTTGTCACATAACACAAAAAATGACTCACGAAAGGTCTATGAAATGTAATGACAAATTGCTCTAACAGTTACTATTCATAAACAAATTTGTACCAGCAAAGAAACATCAACTGAGTAAGCAATTTGCATCAAATTACTGTAATTTCCCATTTTCACAAGAAACACAAATAGTTTCAGATCACAAACATAGTCAAAATTCGAGATTAATAAGATGATAAACAAAGGGAATTTACTCGGCGACAGGCGGTTCTGACGCCGCTGCGACGGAGTTCTGTTCGGTGACAACTGTCCAGTCTGGCGGCAGCGGCGGGAGGGGAGGGTAGAAGGTCGGCCCGCGGCGGCGGATGTCCCAAGGCTGGGACTTTTTCGGGCGAGTCTTGTTGTGGTGGGCGGTTCCCTTCTTCTTCGGCCGAGACGAGCACTCTATCGCCAGTCCTCCGACTCCGCCGGGACTCCTCAGATCCGGTAATTTGACGGCGGAGACGCCGATGGGTGGCGGAGGAGAACGGTGGGGCACCACCATTCTTGAAATACCCGTGGCCGAGACTGACATTTCTTTCTTTGTTGCTTCTTCTCCTCCACTCGAATGACTGAGGAAGAGGATAATGTGAGAATCTCATCCGGTAGGAGTTTTAACGACGTCGTATCGAATATTGGGCTTCTGGGGCATTTACATATTGGGCTTCATGGGCCGAAAATGGAGTTAACGAAAACCCATTGCTCTGAGTGCTGGGAGCTTCAGATCAGAAGAAAGAAAGAAGGAAAGAAAGAAGAGGAAAGAGTGAAGATTTGAGAAGATGAAGCTGCTGGGATGGTGGTTAATGCTAGTGGGAACGCTCAGATTAGCTTCGGTTTGGTTTGGGTTCTTCGATATTTGGGCTCTCCGTCTTGCTGTCTTCTCAAACACCACAAGTATGCAAATCTTCTTCCCAATCTCTGTGTCTTTCCAGGCTGATTGCCATTTTTATTCTTGCAGATTCAATGTGTGCAGTTATTTTGATGAAATCTTTATCTATTTGAATTTGCTATTGAATTTCTTGTTCTTGCCAACACAATGTATATATTTCAATCCAAAGATTTGAGCTTTATAAAGTGTTGAATTCTTCAAGTGTCACTTTTTGTCCCCGGAATGTCCTTGTTTGGGTACTTAATACATACTTACAGCCTTATCATTTGTTGAATTTCGATGAAAAAGTTGGTTTTTCCCTCTCTGCAACTCAGTATTAGTGTATATGATGATTTGATGACATGATATTTAAGTGTTCTTTTGTACGATTTAATGGGTTTGTTGTTTATTGTCATTGTTGTTTTTGTTTCAAATTTGGCTGCCTAATGGGAGGGCTTTTGTGTATGATTTGTAGTGAGTGAAGCTCATGGGAGGACATTTGGAGTGTGGACGTTGTTGACTTGCACGCTTTGTTACCTGTGTGCCTTGAACCTTGACAACCGGCCATTGTATTTGGCGACTTTCTTGTCTTTCATCTATGCCTTTGGCCATTTCCTCTCCGAGTTTCTGATCTATCACACTATGGAATTAAGAAATCTTATAACAGTTGGCATCTTTGCAGGTAATCCTTTCCTTGTAACATTCTGCAGATTCACCAAAAATGACCTTACCGAGTGGTCATTTGGCATTCCTTGTGTTTTTCAGAGACCCCCCGATTAGTTGCAATGTGCTAAGCAAGTAGCTGCTATGTTTTTGTAGGAACATCTATCGTATGGATGCTATTGCAATGGAATTCACATCAACGCGTGAAGGCTAAGAACTCTTGAAATCCGAAGGGGGTGGGATTGGCCCTTTTGTTTTGAAGGTTTTAGAAAAGCCGGTGCTTTGAAATCCGATTTGTGGGATTACGTTGTTGGTTAATGTTATTGTGCTTTGAAGTGTGATTCTGGCTCTTGCAATTTCAGTTAACATCTGGAAGTGAACAGGAGATTTGTTTGAGCAAGTTTTGTTGATTCTTGAAGCATTTGACTTTCTGGGAAATAAATTTAAGGTTTTGGTGTTGATAAATGCATGTATAAACAAAGCATTAAGAGGAATATGGACACAGCTTAAAAGTGATTTACCTTCTGGTACTAATTTTATTTTGATAATCACAATGTAGATAATAAAAGTGTATTCCAACCATTCTGCCCATTGCATCTAATGTATTATGAAAAACAAAACTATTTTGGTTTTGGATGAACAATCATTTTCCCTTCAAAAGTGATAGGCTTTGTAACTTTACAATAAAAGCAAGTGATAGGCTTTACAGGAAATGAAAACCTAAGAGCACCCATATACACTAACACAGGCAGAACCTATACTTTTTCCGTCCCAAAAAACTCTTCCCGCTTGATTTTCACGGAGTTCAAAAAGTGTTGAAAAGTGAAAAGTGCATCATTAAAATTTGTTTTGATGAAAAAAAATTCTTGTGAACCACATGTTTATTACTCCCTACTAAAGAAGAAAATAAAATACTTCTCAAGTGAGAAGTGTTCTTTGAGACATCCAAAAAGGAAAGGTAGATAAATTTTTTTGGGACAGAGGGAATATTGTGTGATCAAGATGTACCAAAGTGCACCACTTCATCTGAATTTCCCACATAAAAATGGTCTCTAAAAACCTACCAGTAGCATATTTATTTGTCTAAACCCTAAGATATTGTACACTGTCCTGCTAGGTAGGATTATCACTCTATGGGAAAACTCCAATCATTTTCCTACATGCATGGCAGATGTTTATGCATCTATAGGGACATCAACCCATCAAAGAACAAAAAAACATTCTCTAATACTGCAATAGATAGGAGTAGTTTAGATTAATCTCACCAAATATATTGTCTTTTGATATTAATATCAATCATTCCTCTTACTTAAAGAGGAGACTCCATATATACTTGGAGTATATATTTCTTTTAGACTAGTTATTTCAAGCACATAATTAAACTTAATTTATACACACACATGCAATGTCATATATAGAAGCCACAACTAATTAATTAACATTATCAAGGATTGAAAATGAAGTTGCCACATTTACACTTCCAACACATGGGCTTGTAGTTTCCTGCATTACTGTTACCACTCCCTTTTGCAGAATAAGCTGCTGCAGCCATAGCTTGGGAGTGGAGAAGATGATGGTTGAAGGGGCGCCGGTGTTTTTTCTGGTCTGCGGTGGTGTCATCAATGGGGACCTGAACTGCCTCACAGTGACCACCACCACCACCACCACCGCAGTTCTTGCACCTCATTGCCACCTGATCACATCTTGGAGGTCTTGACCCTATCAAAGATCTCACCGCCGCCGCCTTCACTTCTTCTTGAGCCAGCTGTGAGTTGACATGGCTGAATATTATTGTAATTGAGATGATGAGGAGAAAGATGATTGCTAGGTGATGATGATGAAGAAGAAAATGGTTTCTGCAGCAAACCATAATACTTTTGACAAGAAAGAAAGAGATCATAAGAGAGATGAAGGGCTAGCTTTTTTTGTTGAGGAGTATGATATATATATAATATAAAGATACACAAGTGGGAACTCAATAAAAATTCAGAGGTGTGGCCAATGGGCTTTCTGTTTTTCTTCCCCATGCTCACTCTCTTGGTCTCCTTGTCCACCTCATTTCAGTCCATCTATTCCCCCCCAACAAAACCAGTCTTTTAAAATCATATTCACAAATTTCGTTTTGGTTCATTTCCTTTGTTTTTCGGAGAAAAAAGAAGTGTGTAGCATCATTTCTCAATCTTCTAAATAAATTTTATTCGCTCAATTTTTCTGGGATATTCATTTTTTTAAAAAATGTTAGTGAAATCAAAGTATCATTTCCTTGCACTAAAAAAAAGTGTCATTTGTTGTTAATATGGGAACTATTGAAGGGAGATGGAGGAGTACTTTATATGGGAAATATGAGCAATAAATATCACTATCAAACAAATCAGTGTTGGATCTTGGGAGTGTTGGTTTTCAATGCTGGTAATTCCACTTGTACACTCCAAATCTGTTTGCCCATCTCTTTTCAAGCATATACAGTTTCCAAGAACAATTGATGCCAGGACAGGTGCATAGATCACACACTGCACCTACCTTTAACCCAATACAAAGTGTCACTTGTACTTGGCACCCATGTTTTATCATGGGAACAACAAAACCAACTTCTCTTTGGGTTTTTTTTAAAGATAAAAAATAGTCTCAAATAATTCTCCCCTATAGCGTTCCCAAAAATAAGTTAACTTTTACTTATGTTTCTGTGTTTTGGATTTTCGTTGGGCCCTTAACACACATCTAACGGCTAATATGTCGAAGACAAGAAGTATCGAAATAAGACTAAGGGGCTGTTTGTTTCAGCCTCTTAATGGTTCAGATGTCTGAATAGTTCAGCACTTAATGGTTCAGACTGTTTGTTTCATCCTCTTAATGGTTCAGATGTATGAACGGTTAAGAGATTTGCCTCTGAATGGTTAAGTATTATACAGAGTCTGAATGGTTAAGACCTCTTATCTGAATTGATCAGACATTTTCCTCTGAATAGTTAAGCAATATACTAGCTCTTAATGGTTCAGACCTCTTACTCGTTCAGCACTTAATGGTTCAAACCTGTTATTGGTTCAACACTTACCTATTCAAAACTTGTCAAACAGCCCCTAAAACATATTAGTAGCGTGTAGAACAAAATAGGACTGAACCTTCATGTTTTATCTCCAAAATAAAACCTAGAATATCAATAATGTTATCCTATGCTACAAAAGACATTTTGGGCATGTTTGGTTTTTGGCATTTAGGATGGCTTTTGGCTCTTTTGACCAAATTTAGCAGATTTGACTGGTCAAACAACATAAAAGGGTGTTTGGTAGTTGACTGAAAAGGTTGGCTGTTTGAGTCTGAAATGCCAAACTTTAAAAAGCAACAGAGAGTAGCAATTCACTTTAGCGGTTGGAAAATAGGTTTTAATATATTATTTGTTATTGTATATAATTTTTATGAATAAATAAAAAAAATTATTATTTATTGCATAATTAAATAAAAATTTGATAAATAAATAAATAAATATATATAAATAAAAAATGATAAATAAATAAACAAATAAATCAATTAGTAACTATATAAATAAATAAGTAAATAATACATCAATAAATAAATAGTAAATAAATAAAGAATCCTTGCCCATGTAAAATTCATGAATTGAATTGAGAGAAAAAAAAATATTTTTTCTGATTTTTTTTAAGAATTTGGTGTAGAATTAAACAAATTATATATTTAAGAATTACATCAAATGTTTTTTGAAACAAAATATGATACTTCGTATGATTATATTATGCTATCAATTGTTCGATAAAAACACATAAATAAATAAAATCATAATAACTTTAGAACAATATATAGCTTAAAATTTTATTTGAGGAAAGAGAGAATATACATAGTATATTGCAAAGCATGTTATACCATATAATTATATAGGTAAAATTTTTATTACATTCAATTTAATTTATAAAAGCTATTTTAAAAAAGCTAATTTTGCCAAACAATTTTTTATCAGTAGCTGATATATTCAATTGGTCAAAACAGTCATCTCAACCAGCCGTTCAAACGAGCCAACACGAACAGCTATCAGCCAACAACTAAATTCCAAACAGGGCCTTTGGAATGTCAAAATACTGTGTTACATTACAATAGTTCTATTTTAGTTATTAAAACATGTTATTCTTAATCTAGCACATACAATTAAACTGTACACCCTTCTCAGGCAATTCTAGCACATATACAACACTATAATCTATGTTTTTTTATTGTGTCGTGTACATAACTTTTGTTGTGTCGTTTTAGAAAAACTTTTTGTGAATTGAAAAAAAACTATAGATACATTTCATGAAAACATGTTGCATACTTTTCCATAGACTTTTGTAGCGCGGCAAAAAAGTTATTGTAAATTATGCTAGAGCCGCATCACAATTTTTTTGACATTTCACTACAATTTTCCTCTCAAAACAACATTACAAAAGTTATACAAATGGCATTACATTTTTTATTCGAAAGAGCACTGCAATTTTGTTTTCCAAAGCGACACTACATAACGCCTTTTCGATAATCCACTGTAATTTTTTTTGTTTCTACAATCTTTTTCCACGCAAATGACACAATAGCGCTACAAAATTTGTTCAAATGGCACAACAACTTCTTTATACAAAATAAACCTAATTTTTAAATATGTAATCATAATTTTTTTCAATCCCACTTTAGGTTTTTAATAAATTAAATTGAAACTAATTTTACCCAAATATGGTATATGGAAACTCGAAACAGGTCATTTAATAACTTCACGTCTTACTGCGTACATTTCATTGTATACAAAATATTTCGAAGCCCATGGATCCTTGTGTTTACCGGGCTTGGGCTTCGGCTTGGGCTTACTATTGGCTTCATTTATCAGGGCTACTGAGATTGCATCCATGAAGCGTAACATTGACCCAGCCATTATATAAAGAAACCCTAAACCCTTGAATTCTACACCTCTCATCTTCTTGCCTCTCCCTCCTGCGAAACCCTAGTGCCACTAAACTAGCAGCAATTATGGTTGCTCCGGGAGGTCGTGGAGGCGGTGGTGGTTTCAGGGGCGGACGTGATGGTGGAAGAGGAAGGGGGAGAGGACCACCCGGCGGCCGAGGTAGGGGCGGCCCGCCTAGAGGCGGTCCGATGAAGCGCGACGGAGGCAGGGGTAGGGGTGGCGCCCCGAGAGGAGGTGGGAGAGGCAGGGGAGGAATGAAGGGGAACAGCAGGGTTGTGGTGGAGCCTCATAGGCACGAGGGAGTGTTCATTGCCAAGGGTAAGGAAGATGCCCTTGTCACTAAGAATATGGTCCCTGGTGAAGCTGTCTACAATGAGAAAAGAATTTCTGTTCAGGTACACTTTTTCCCTTCATTGGATTTCAATATTTTTACTGCTTTGATGCTCTTTTTTCATGTTACCTTTGTTAAAACTTTTAATTAAACAATGTTTATTGGGATCTGGTTAAGCTCTTCAAACTCCTGTCTTTTTAATTACCCTTTTATTGTGCTTCAATTTATTAGTTATATTGTTAGCATTTACGTTAGTGCTGATTTGCTTGAGGTATGATAAAAAAAATTCTGACTTTCACTCGCCTATTGTTCCCTTACCTCAAATTTGGTCTCCGATTTTTATGTTGTGCAAATTTGTGAATCTTTATGTGTGACAGAATGAAGATGGAACCAAGGTTGAGTACAGAGTGTGGAATCCATTCCGTTCGAAGTTGGCTGCTGCTATTCTTGGAGGCGTTGATGAAATTTGGATTGTAAGTTTTTTGTGTGGATATATGGATGCATTCAATATTTAAATTGTTTACAAATACCTCATCTTGCAAGGAACACACGGTGTAAATCTTTTGCAGAGAACCACATTTGGTATTAGTTTTTTCTCAGTTAAACCACCAAACAAAAGGATTTTTTTTAAGAATTCCATGAAGCAGTGGGTAAAACAGGAACTGCACTGGTTTTAGACTAAAATGGTTTTTGGTGGTTTGCTGATCATTAATCCAGTTCTAGGAAAAGATTATTTTAGGTTGTTATTTAGAACTCTGAAGTATTTTGTTAGTTTGTTTTTTACCAAAATATTCTAGTTATTAATCTGAAAATGGTGTTTAATCCTATTTATTATGAATCAACCAGAAACCAGGTGCACGCGTTCTCTACCTCGGAGCTGCATCAGGAACAACAGTTTCTCATGTTTCTGACATTGTTGGACCTACTGGGGTTGTATTTGCTGTTGAGTTTTCACACAGAAGTGGTAGAGACTTAGTTAACATGTCAAAGAAACGGACAAATATTATCCCCATTATAGAAGATGCCAGACATCCTGCAAAGTACCGAATGTTGGTTGGCATGGTGGATGTTATATTTTCCGATGTTGCTCAACCTGATCAGGTTTACATTCCACCGATCTTCCTGAATTTTTGTTTAGTAGAACCTGTTGCCAAGAACCAACTTTTACACCAATATATAAGTTTCATGGTGCTTTGTGTCATGTTTTGTGTTTAAGTACATATAAGCAAGTGATGATTTACTCGGATTCCCCTTCAAGACATTTTGGATGATGCAAAAACCGAGTTTCTGATGCCCCACTCTTTGCATATCTTTGTCTTCTTTGCCATGGGAATACTATTAAATATCGCATTTTTTAAGTTTTATGCAACCTAGTTTTCTTAGTTAGTAGTTATTTAACCTATTTTCTGATTAATTTCAAATGGTCACTCTTAAAGATTGTGTAATTTTTTTTATCATACTTTGTGTGGTTTAATTTTTATAAGCAAATGATGAGTTGCTCGGATTCCCCTTCAAGACATATTGGGTGATGCAAACACCGAGTTTCTGATGTGCATACCTGATTATTTTCATCATTGTAAAGCTCTTATATTTTTAGTTTTTTAACTTTTATACATCTCAGTTCCCTAATTTGTAGTCATTTATCCTATTTTCAGATTAATCTGAAACATTCTCCCTCATAAACTGTATGATGCTTGTTTCATATTATGCGTCTTTCAATTTTGTCAAGCAAATGATGTGTTACTGCTACAATTTTTATTCTTTCCAGTTTTTGTAATTTATGAGGTTTAGTTTCCTTTTCTTTTATTTTAATAATCTATAATCATTCCTATTATACTTGGTTGAGAGTTTTTACTTGAAACCCATGTACTATATATCTCTATTGTCTATTTTAATTATAGTTTAAAATTTTAATGTTCCAATTTGTTTTCCATATGTTTATTGTGGGTGTGCTTCTTTGGTGGACTTCCTCACATAAGGAGCATATTTTCTTTTCTTTTCTTTATTTTTTCTGAAAATGTATCATGTGGTAAGGCCCCTAACATGTGTAGTTTTGTAGTTACTTATCTCAATTGTTGGTATTTTTATATTGACTTGCCGATTCTGATATTCCTCTTGAAATGCTTTCATTTGTTTTGATCTTATTTGCAGGCAAGGATTTTGGCGCTGAATGCCTCCTACTTTCTGAAACAGGAAGGGCATTTTGTCATTTCGATAAAGGTTAGTGTTTCCCATCATGGCATGCTTTTAATTTGTGCTTGTTACCCCCAAGCAGTTCTCATTCTCTCCGTCTACAAATATTTCCTACGTGCTTTGTCAGGCAAACTGCATAGATAGCACCGTACCTGCGGAAGCGGTTTTCGCGCAGGAGGTCAAGAAGCTGCAGGCAGAACAATTCAAGCCTATGGAGCAGGTCACGCTCGAGCCGTTTGAGCGAGACCATGCTTGTGTTGTCGGGGGTTACAGGATGCCGAAGAAGCAAAAGCCAACATCCTAGATTTTTGTTGTGTGTTCAAGTAACTTAGGTGTGATCAAGTTTATGTTTTTCAAGGATTGTTGAAGACCCTTTTTCTTTAAGTCCTTTTCGTTACCCATGTTTTGCATAATCTACTTTTTCTCTAGGTACTTTGGGAGAGTTGTTTTATGACTCAATGACTGCTGTTTCATCTTTGTTTTCTTCTTTGATGTTTCTTTTTTGATTCCGCAATATTTTCACTTTTTATTTTATATGAAAATTAGTGTGAATTTACTCAACATATATTCTAATATATTATAATAATAATGATAAATATATATTCATTAAACAATAAATTTATCAAAAAATTTTGGTTTAAGTTTTATTATATGATACTCTTATATGAGTTGGTGGTATAAATTAAATGGGGTTTGGGCTAACTTGGTTAGTGAATCCAATCGGGTTGATAATAACAAACTAAAAAATACGGAGTAATAATTACTTAGATTGGGGAAGAAGAGTATGTTCAAACATATATTTCTTACTCTATTTAAGGGTGTAGAGGTGTGCGTATCTGCAAAAATGTCCTCTCCTTTACAAAATCTTATTTATAAAGTGGAGGAGTCGTCCACCTGTGGTAAATGGCAATTGGTTATTGTTCACTCATTGACTAATAAGCAGACAAATTGTCATTTGGGCCTATCACTTGATCTATCAATCAAGCTCTTAATCACACTATCGTTTATTGTTAATTATTTATCCATCAAGAAATATGACAATTGTTCAATAAAATCTCATAAACGACGTGGCGGGCCCCGCTTGGATATTTCATTGTCTGGTCAATATTGTTCGGTCTCACATTTGAGATGATCAGGGAATAATTATGAGCTTTCGTTTGATGAGTTAGATCGAATATAGTTTACTCAGGTCGAATATAGTCCCCTCGATCTTGTGTGAAAAAATATGACGAGTTTAGCATTCTAATTTGCTAAGTAAAGAAAATCAACAACCTAGTTAGTGAAGAGGAATGAGAAGCTCGTCAAGTCAAAGAAAAATATCAACACCATAGGATACCAACAATATTTAATAGGCAACGCAATATCAGAATGAGAACCACCCTGCCGTTTATGAGTTCTGAATGAACAGTGAAGGTCTCTTGTTATCATTCTTTGATTGGTAGCCTAAATGACACGAAATTGATTAAGAGCTTGATTGATGACCAAATCATCTTTCCTTAATGTTAAAGTCTCTGACACTTTGTCTGCTCATTAGTCAATGAGTAAATAGTGACTAATAACCAGTACAAGTGACACCCCAACTCTTATGATAACAAATACCCTGGAGTATAAGTTAAAGTTTTTCCCTCTAATTCAACCCTGCTGGGCCCACTTATCTGATCAACCCATACTCTAATTATTAATCTCTCCGTCCCTAAATATTTGTCACACTTATATTTCCGAGACAAAATATCAATTTTTCAATTAATTTTATTTACATATTAGTATAGAAATAAAAAATAAAATTTATATATCAAAAAATTACATGAAAAGTTCTTCGAAATAAATATTTTATTTTATCAAATAACAATAAAAACGTAAAAATAAGTAAAAATTTTTGCAAGTACTGAAAAAATGTGACAAATATTTTGGGATGAAGTAAGTAATTCTTCCAACCAGGATCAGACAGGAGAACGAACCTAACTGAGAATCTCTCGTCCTTGCAGATCCTCAAGGCCCAGTCTCAGGATTAGCTTGGTTCTTGTCTGGGTGTTTGGATAAATGCTAAAAGTTCAAAACTTTTATCCAGTATAATTCTGGAAAATATAAGTGGAAGCAGTTGCTCCTTACACATCAATAACGACTGGTCTGAGGTATATAATTGTTACTACGGTGTATTCTTGCACGCACAGTCGACTTTCACAGACATCTGTGGACTGTTTCATAATCCTAGTATGATGATTTCATCATCATTCCCGATTCTTGAATCTTGATCGTGTGAAGGGCACGAGCACAAATTAGGATAGCTAAGTGTGTGATTATGCGTAAGGGAATTGTAAGTTTAATGGCATGAGCACCAAGTGTTTGATATTTGGCTTGAATTTTGCAGCATTGTTTATCTTAGTAAGTTTTGAAATCAGCCTTTACTTTTTTTAAAGGGGTGATTGAAGAAATTTTTTTTGAGGGCAGGACACTTTTTTGTTCCAAGAACTTTAGCTAACTATGGGCATATGATGATTCATTTCTGCAGACTTCTTGGAATAGTTCAATGACGCATTCCGGCACTAGTGTCATCCTAAACAACAATTTCTCCGAAGGGCTGAATTATTGGCACCATAACTGCTGTGAAGCCTTTGTGGTTCCAGCAGGTGTGCAAAATTATGTTGTCGTTACAAACCGAAAGGAGCTTTGGCAAGGCTTGGAGCAAGATATTACAAACCGAGTTTCTATAGGTTCCACCTATACAGTTAATGCTTCTGTTGGAGTCTCCGGAGCAATTTCAGGGTTTGATGATGTCCAGGCCACACTGAAACTAGAGTATGAGAATTCAGCTACTAGCTATGTATTCATTGGAAGGTACTTGTTCCCTCTTCTCTCTCTTGTAATGCATTACCTTTTTCTTTACTCGTTTATCAAAGAAAATCTACGTTTACGGAGGATATTTTTGTAAATGCAGAAAATCTGTTTCTAAAGATTGCTGGGAGGAATTGGAAGGCACATTTTCACTGTCTAGTATGCCTGCTCGGGTTGTATTTTATTTGGAAGGACCTTTACCTGGGGTAGACCTACTCATAAAATCTGTTGTGATTACCTGTTCTGCTTTCAAAGATTGTGAAGTAAGTGTATTTCAACCTCTTCTTGTTTGAATTATTGTTTAGAATTGTTTTTTAAAGATGAAAACTGGGAAAGAATAAGAATTACTCCCTCCATCCTAAAAAAAGAGTTTTATTTGCACTAGAGAAGCTGATTTTGATTATTTTTAGGAGTATATTCTTAATTATATTAGTAGTCAAGTATATTCCCTATTATTGGTCCAAAAATCCTTAGATCTGCGTGCCCATGTAGAAATGTAGAAGAGGTTATTGAAATGTAGAAAGTGAAGAGCTTGAGAGATCTAAGGATCTAGAAAAAATAGAAGGAAAAGATGGGCTCACTGGCAGTATTAGTATGTCTTAGAGGCATATATGATCATTTTGTTGTTTTGATGTATAGCAGTATCCCTATAACTTAGTTTGGAAAATATTTTCAACTGTGAAGGCCAAGTATCATATATCAACTTATAGTTTTTGCCAATGCCACTTGCTTTTACTAAAATGTGGAGGAAGCATACGTGGCAATGGCTATGTATTCCTCACGAAGATCAGCTGCCTGGACCCACAGTGTAGCCTGAACAGTTGCACCCGTGACATTGCTACCATAAATGCGACCTGTAGCATGAACATATTTTTATTGGTAATGTATCACACGGTACCTAATAAGGTAAGATTCTGTTAAGTTGCTAAAGTTGTTGATTAGAGACCACGTGCACCGCCAGCTGGTGAAGGAAGAAGAAGATGTAAGGTCGAGCCCTTCTTTGCACATGGCTAAGAGTGAAATAGAAAACTGTTCATGACAAGTTCTTAGTTAGGTTTGCGGCTTTGCGCAATGATACAGAGGTTATTGATAGTTGTGGAATATAAATATTTGTAGTCTTACAAAAGAGAACTATCCTAATACAACTAGGAAACCAACTAGTAAGAACTATAACAATTTAGGACATGGTATATTGGTAATACGGAGTAATAAAGAAGGTAAAATTTAGGCAACAATTAATAGACAATTAAACAATAAGACTTCTAATTGCCATCTGTGATCCCTTCGGCGGTACTGGATACCCACAAAGGGATCCATAACCGTCTAACAGATTCATAATTCAAAAAGTGGGTCTCACAATTCATCACTTGAACCTCAACCTGACAACCTTGGCCTAAACTTTTTCCTTGTGATTGATAGAGTTCCGGCATGCAATCTCTCTCTGCTCAAGAGGAGATCATACAGAGCCCCATATTTGAAGGTGGTCTGAATAACTGGTCAGGGAGAGGGTGCAAGATTGTTCTGCACGATTCTATGGAGGATGGGAAAGTCCGTCCAGTGTATGGGAATTTTTTTTCACGTGCAACAGAACGGTCACAGAGTTGGCATGGAATTCAGCAAGAGATTACGGGGAGAGTACTTCGAAAGCATGCCTATGAGGTTCATGCTACAGTTCGCATTTATGGTAGCAATGTCACGGGTGCAACTGTTCAGGCTACACTGTGGGTCCAGGCAGCTGATCTTCGTGAAGAATACATAGCCATTGCCACGTATGCTTCCTCCACATTATATTCCACTTGCATTTGATGATGTGTTAATGTGCTATAGACATATAGTGTTAATTGCTTTTATCCCCTCAAGCTTGTGGATTGACCTCTTTTTGTTACTATACTCTGCATATTTCCCCTCAAGCCTCTTCAAAAAATGAAAATAGTAAGATTTTGGCACTGTTTTGCAACTGGTGTTTAGCTGTGTATTAGTTCTTTGGATAGTTTTTCAAAAAAAGCTTGCAAAATGAGCCTTTTGTAAACCAAGCTTTGATAAAGGTGCTCCAAAGCGGATGGAAAACATGGTTTTTTTAGGCCAGGTTTTAGGACCAGAAAACATTCCCAAAAGTCTCTTTACCGAACACTTCTAATAGCTTCCCTTAAGTCCAAAATCTCTCTTTTTTTCAAACTCCTTGCCATACACCTTTAAAAGTAATTACCATTATGGATCTCAGGATCTGTCTTGGAACTCTTACGGTGTGTTTGGTTAGGGGGGAAATATTTTCATTCGAAAATGTTTTCCTACCACTTATGTAACCAAAGAGAAGAAAATGGAATCAGAATAATCTGGAAAAATACCCCCCAACCAAATGGACCCTTAATTTGATAGTTTTTTCCTTAGCAGTGTGAACTACTTATTCCAGTTTGTGTGTGTGTCATTATCTATTTGCAGTTTGGCATAGTCTAAACATGAAAAGAAATTTGTATCCATGCTATATCTACACCAATGGAGAATTATAAATGAAACAACCGACTTTCCTTTCAAGTTATGTCTTTACTTCTATCCAGAAGATGAGGTCAAATCCATAGTTATTGTATGATGTACTAATTATATTAATAACAAAGAACTAATCAATAGAAATAATAGACAAATCATTTGAGATGAGCTAGATTTTTTCAAAAACAGTTTCAGTACAGAAAAAAGCTACTTGTTGGCCTGTTGGAGTGCACATAGGTAGTGTTCGGCGGAACAACGTCATTGCTAAACAACAGGGGAGAGATCTTGGTTTGAATAGACGTAATTCAAAAACTAGAACAAAACTTTAATATTAAAAAAAAATCATCTACACAGAACAAGAACCATCCTTGTAATTTCTTCAAGAACAAGATACTTCCATTCTACAATAATATCAAAAACTACTTGAAAAACAGTATAATTTACACAAAATAACAAGCACTACTAACAATAAGTGCAAATGTAGTTCATAATGGTAATTATTATATTTTGCTCAATATGAAACCACCATACTTGTTGCTTGATATTTGAACGATGTGGCGGAACATAGGCTATGTTTTCATCCTCTTTAGTAGCAACATTAGTACCTACAAGCAGTATCTCATTATTTTCATCTGCTTTGGAGGCAAGGATCTCCTAAACTTTTGGAATTTTAGCATAGGTGGAAATTTGTACATACAGAATAGATTTGGAAAATCGAGGTGGCACCTTTTCACAGAGATAATTTTTTGGAAGACAATTGCAACAACTGGACACACACAATTATATGGGGAAGATCGAGACATTTCTTTGAGATTCAGTTTGCATCTTGAGTGCAAACTCCCTCGGTTGAGTCGTGACCTTTGAACTAGGAGAGCATGCACTCTTCAGGCTTGCAAAGTTGAATAGTTCAGGCATGCAAAGTTCATGACCAAAGAGGGGGAGACTGCACTCGATGCTGATTTAAAATTTGGAATAGTCTTGGTCTTTAGTATATCGATGGTGTGTGTGCAGTTGATGTGATTTCCTTCAAATTTATGTATGTGGAAAGGTGCCACCGTGATTTCGTTGATTTACTGTGTATGTGCAAAGTTCCTCATAATGCTCAAATTTCTAAAGTTGAGAAGATTCTTGCCTCCAAACCAGATCAAAATGAGGATATACCACCTGCACAAAATGATGTTCGTGCCGAAGAGGAGGATGAAGAGATGGTATATGTTCCGTCACAACGTTCAAATTTTGGTGATTTCATAATATCATATATATAATAATTACTATTACGAGCTCTATTTGCACTTATTGTTTATAGTGCTTGTTATTCTATTATATTTTACTGTCTTCAAACTCCATTTGCACTTATAGTTAATATTGCTTGTTATTTTACATATATTCTACTCTCTTCGAGTAGTTTTTTTGGATATCACTGTAGAATGGAAGTCCGGTTCTTTAACAAATTACAAGAATGATTTAAGTTTGTGTTGATGATTTTTGTTTTTTAAAAGTATTACTATCTTCGTCCCAATAAACCTTTCCACATCTTGATTTTTTTGTCAACTATTGACACGCTTTGATCATTAATAAATACTAGTATAATTTTATCTAAATTAATATTATCAAAAATGGCTATGTCAAAATTATATATATGTTTCTCACATAGTCAAAGTGTGTAGAAAGTTGACAAAAAAAGTCAAAATGCAAAAGGTTTTTTGGGACATAGGTGGTAAATTTCTGTGCTGATTTTAAAATTACGTTTACTGAGTCCAAGATTTCTTTCCCCTTATGTTTAGCGATGGCGTCATTTTGGCAAACCCTACCGCTGTCTAGTCCAACAAGCGGTTTTCTTCTTGTGCTGAAATTGTTTATTTTGCAAAAGTCTATAGCTTATCTTAAATGATCTGTCAATTATTTCTATTCATTAATCACTTGTTATTAACCTAATAATTACATTATACAGTACCTATGGATTTGATCTTAATTTTTTACCGAAGAAGCTTTTATTTTAAATAATTTATTGAAAATCTCTAAGAGTGTGTTTGGATTGAGGGGAAGGGGAGGCTAACTAAAGGAGGATTTTTCTTTACTCAACTTCTCCCCTCCAATCCAAACACGCTATTCTCAGCTGATTGTTCTGCAGTGTAAAAGCAACAGAAAAGGAATGGGTACAATTACAAGGGAAGTTTCTTCTCAATGGTTTCCCATCCAAGGTAATTATTTTTCTTGAGGGCCCACCTCCAGGTACAGACATTCTCATGAATACTCTAACGGTGAAGCGTGCAGCAAAAGTTCTTCAATCTCCTCCCCCAACGATCGAGGTTAGTTGGAACTATTCGATCCCAAAATTACCCCAAACCGTAGACGTTGTTTGATACGGAGTATGATAATATTACTCTCCAGGATGTAGAATATGGTGTCAATATTGTCACAAATGCCAACCTTTACAATGACACCAATGGGTGGTTTCCTCTTGGAAACTGCACCCTTACTGTTGGAACTGGCTCCCCTCTCATAACTCCTCCCGTGGCTAGAGATTCTCAGGGAGCTTGCCTGCTGCACTTAAGTGGTCGTTACATCCTCACGACCAACCGTACCGAGACATGGATGGGTCCAGCTCAGATCATCACGGAGAAAGTCAAACCATATTTGACTTATCAGGTGTCCGCGTGGGTTAGAATTGGTAAAGTAGCCAATGGGTCCCAGGTTGTGAATGTTGCCCTTGATGTGGATGGCCAATGGGTAAATGGCGGTCAGGTTGAGATTAACAATGGCAACAGATGGCATGAGATTTTCGGATCATTCAGAATTGAGAAAGAACCGGCTAAGGTTAGGGTTTATGTTCAGGGCCCCGCTCCCGGTGTTGACTTAATGGTTGCAGCACTTCAAGTTTTTCCAGTTGATAGAAAGGCGCGGTTTGACCACTTAAGGAGAGAAACCGACAAGGTACCAAAGTTGTCTTTGCTTGTAATTCACTAAATGTTGTGTTCCAAGCCACAGCCTAAATATATGTTTTTTTATTTCAGATACGTAAGCGTGATGTCATTTTGAGAATCTCAGTTCCAGACAGTTTGGTTGGAACAGCTGTGAGAGTGAGGCAAACACAAAATAGTTTCCCATTTGGATCATGTATTAGCAGAGGAAACATAGACAATGAAGACTTCAGAGATTTCTTTGTCAGATATTTCAATTGGGCTGTGTTTGGGAATGAGCTGAAGTGGTACTCAACAGAGCCACAGCCAGGAAACCTGAACTACAAAGACGCGGACGAGCTCTTGGACTTTTGCATGAGAAACAATGTCCGTGCCCGCGGGCATTGCATATTCTGGGAGGTTGAGGATGTCGTCCAGCCGTGGGTCCGCGGTCTCAAAGAGAATGAGCTGTCAAATGCTGTCCAAACGCGCCTTACGTGCCTCCTCACGCGCTACAAAGGGAAATTCAAGCACTACGATGTGAACAATGAGATGATGCACGGCTCCTTCTATCAAGACCGGCTCGGGAAGCAAGTCCTGACCGACATGTTCAAGACCGCGCACCAAATTGACCCTTTTGCCCTCCTCTTTGTGAACGACTATCACGTCGAGGACGGGCGCGATGCCCGGTCGTCTCCGGAGAAGTACATTGATCACATTCTTGACCTCCAAGAAGGTGGGGCCCCCATCGGGGGAATAGGTATTCAAGGGCACATAGAGGCCCCGGTGGGGACGATCATTCGTTCCGCCCTGGACAAATTGGGAACCCTCGGACTCCCCGTTTGGTTCACCGAAATAGATTTCTCTTCGACGAGTGAGTACGTGAGAGCGGATGATTTGGAGGTTATGCTTCGCGAGTGCTACGCCCACCCTTCGGTTGAAGGAATAATGCTTTGGGGTTTCTGGGAGCTGTCCATGTCCCGCGAAAACGCTCATTTGGTGAACGCCGAAGGCGATCTTAACGAGGCCGGGAAACGGTATGTCGCTCTCAGAGAAGAATGGATGTCACATTTTGATGGAGATTTCAATGGAGGAGAGTTTTCCTTTAGAGGATTCCATGGATCATATGATGTGGAAGTCATTGCAGGTTCAAAGAGATTTAGTAAGACATTTGTGGTTGAGAAGGGTGAGGATCCTTTGGTAATCTCATTTGATCTTTAGTTTGTGAGTCTATTTCCTTTTCACTGTATTTTTTTTCTCAAACTTTGTTTATAATACATGAAAAAACTTTTGAGTCCGAATATACATCAATAATGATATATGGAGTATTCGTTTTGAAACGTACATAGTTTCAATAATTATATTTTTCTCAAAAAGTTACATTGCACTGTAGACTGTAAAAGGGTAAAAAAAGAAAAAATTGTGTTCTTGTTAAAATTAGAAACACTATAGCTTGCTTGATACAGCAAACTCAAGGAAAAATTGGGTTGAAAGTAATTCATCCAAAAAAAAGTGTCTAATCAGTCTAAGCTGTCAATGGTTTGATTTCCAATAAAAAGGTCTAGCACTAATTATGTCACTAATACTCCCTTCGTCCTTAAATATTTGTCATACTTGTATTCTCGAGCCAAAATATCAAATTTTTTTAATTTATTTTATTTACATATTGGTATAGAAAAAAAATAAAATTTACATATAAAAAAAAACATGAATTTTTTTTTTATATAAGAGGTGCTAAGAATATTTTATTTTGTTAAATAACCAATGAAAACGTAAAAATAAACAAAAGTTTTCGCGATTGTTGAAAAAGTAAGTGTGACAAATATTTTTGTAAGGAACACACTTCCTCTAAGAATTTATAGTTTCTTTTTTTTTCTTGGCATGATAAGTTTGCATTGTACCAAGAAAACAAAATCAATCAAATTTTCTTACGGAGTACTCCCTCTGTCCATGTATGATCTTCCCATTACGCGTTACGAGGTTTGACCGACTTTATTTTCAATTTAATTTAATTGATTATAGGAGTAAAATTTTAAAATAAAATTTATATAGTAATAAACTACATGAAAAGTTCTACAAAACTAGAGGTGACAAGACTATACTATTTTATGAAATGACTAGTAAAATTGAGCAAATAAAGTGAGTAAAGTTTGACCCTGTGAATAATGTCTGGGAAGATCTATGGTGGACAGAGGGAGTACTACTTTTTAAGGGATTTAGGCGTTAAAAATTGTCTGTGGTTGAAATTTATTTAGAAAATACAGAAATATTTCTTAGGGAGTAATAAAAAGTGGAGTACAATTACTTCTGTCCCAAAATAATTTTTTTGCTTTTCTTTTTTTTTCCTCCAAAAATCAAATTCACGTTCTTTCTTATGTACGCATTAATTGGTTCACAATATTTCTCTTTCCTCTTCATAAATGAAAATTATATTTTTTTTTGCTCAAATTTCATAAGAATTAAAACGAGAAATTTCATTTGGGACAAAGGAAACACTATCTTTGGCCTAAAAAAAATTTATCCACTTAAATATCTCAAAAAACTTTATCTACACTCTCTTTCTGACATCCTAAGAAATGTACACCTAATTTATTTCTTGTTTTGAGAATATCCATGTTTTAATCACAAACTCGTATTTTTTTTAAAAAAAAACTATAAAGTCGAATACGATTTTTTTTAGTAGAGAGGAAATAAATCATCCAAACGGGTACGTACGGAGTATTAATTTTGACGGAGAATAATGTGTGACTAACAATCATTCAAGACATCCAATTAAATCAGGTGTCGTGGGGGCCCACAATCCAGTCCAGTCCAGAAAGCACAGCTTGGCCCACAAATCACATCCATTGATTGACTCCCACTATCTACTCCTCTTCCCCATTATTGGACTCAAGTTGGGCCTCTTTCCACAAACAACGTCTCACTTACTTGATTCCATTGGCCCACTCAACGTGCTACATTCTAGACTTGTAAATTTGATGCCAAGCCAATATGTGTTTATATACTTTGTATGAAAGATTTATAATTAGTATATAAGTCCTAATAATTTATTTTTAACAATTCATTAGTCTTTTGCCCAGTTGTCTGTATGGAAAAAATAATCTGTGACCCATATAACTTGATTGTTTGTTAGGAAGTTCATATCTAGCTATTCATGGTTTTTTAGGTGTTGGTACCAAGTGGTCATTAGATAGAAAATGATCCGATCGTTCACTTTAGGAGAAGTGTTAGGAGTATCACACACCGAAAATTGAATAGAAAAGTAATCGATATATAAGTTATGATTAAATTAAGTAATCAATTAGATTCAATATTTTAATATAGTTCAGCCCAACTGTACTATTGCCTGGTTCATTAACCCCTATCTCATCCTAAATTATATCAGTGGTAGTGGTCGTGATCTGGTTCTAGTTCTGAAATTAGAGATTTCTAATCATTAACACAGAGGAATCAAAATCTTTTGTGATCAGAATGATTTTATCTCGGTCCATGTTTGGTTACGGGAGGTGGTGCACACAGCTTCTCGGTCATAGTTGCACACGTTTGCTTTGACTATTTGGGTTTTATGGAAGGCTCGCAATAGTGCAGTTTGGAAGCTTCAAGTCCCTACACCCTCGAGCACGACTTGAGAGTTTTTAGTCAGGTGGTTGGGTCGACTTTATCCTCTCTTAGGCCGATTAGACTTGGAGCTTTGAAACTATTTATGGACGTGTTGTTATTTTCCTCCTATATATGATCGGCTTTGGTTGTGTTCTTTTTAATCTCACGACTCTTTCTTTGCTGCTATGAGTGGAGAATTAGCTTGTGAGACCGATCCAGGACTAGCTGGGGCGATGACATGTAATAGGGCTTTGGGCTGGGCGAAAGAGCGAGGACTCACGGAGTTGTAGGTGTTCACAGATTGCTTTAGAGTTGTGGAAGTAATTAATAGTGAGTCTGTTTTTTTGTCCTATGTTGGATCGGTTATTAATGATTGTCAGAGACTGTTATCTGAGTTTAACTATGCTTCTTTGTCATTTGTTCATCGGTCATGTAATTAATGTGGTGGCTCATGAGGTAGCTATGAGGGTTAGAGTGGAGATTGGTGACTGATCTGTTATTCCACTTGATTTTTTAATGTCATTTTTAAATGAATGAAAAGTTGTTTGTTTTTCAAAAATAAATAGTTGTAGAGATGGCAAATGGGTTGTTTCTTTTGCATCTTTGCATGCAACAAAATAATCTCATAGACTATAGTATGCCTTTCAATTAATGCTTTTCAGTAGAGATGGCAAATCGGTCGGTCAGGTCGGGTTCGGTCATTTCAAATTCGGGTTATTATTCAAATATCATTTAAGGAATTAAAAAAATTTAAGTTTTACATTGAGAAATGACATATATTTTAATGTTATTTAGTGCAAGAGCAATGTTATGTTCACAAACTGATTGGTCACAAACTTCACAAATTACTTTTTTTTATTGAAGTTTACAAATAGTAAATTCGTAAAATTTGTGACCATTGTGATTGTGAACCAAACGTTATTTTCCTAAATTTTTTTATATAATTAGTTAAATATTTGGCAAGTAAAGGAAAAGAGACATTAATTAAAAGAGATATGGAAGGAGTAATTATTTTACATTATCCAAGAGAAAGTGAGAGAGATAAGAGGAGGGGGAGAAGTGTGAAGGGGAGATCAAGGCAGGCATATGCAGTCAGTGTGTGTACAGTCGCCCGCAGGCTCTGCCCTTTTCGCCACTGTTTTAACGTTGAATTATTGTCTTCTTTTGCTCCTAAAGAATCACACACACTCCCAGTTTACTACTCCACCCACTTTCTTCAAAAAACAAAAAAAAAAAAAGAAAAGAAAACAAAATTGAATCTCAGCAGCGGGAGTGAGTCTTATTCTTTGTAATAACTTCTTGTGTGCAGAATGCACGTGGCGACGTATCTGAGAATTAGGCTAAAATTATATCATGATTTAACCCATCATGATCTTATCGGGTCAGAGTGTGGGGTACTCAGAGTGGGTGTTCGGTGTTCGAGGAGGTAATCGAGTTTGATTTCTTATAATAACTACGCTAAGAAACAACTATGTTAAGCATAAAATCTTTTTAAATACCATGTGCATGCTACACTATTTACCACCAGTTAATTGCAATTATTCCAATTAAAATCTAATGTAACTTTTCTATTGTCTGGATGGATCTGAAGGAGGCTTCGGGAATGAGGCTTATCTTTTAAGAAAAATAGTAGTCCAAACTTCGGTATCAACCAATCTAGATAATAATACCTTTGGAAAAACTAAATTGAGTTTTAATTTCATTGAGGGTCCGTTTAGTATAAGGAATTGGTGGAATTGGAATTGAATTGGAATTGAAATTCCATGGGATTCAATTACATAGAATTGAATTCTGTCAATTTTAATTCATTTTTTGCACTATCAATTCCAAATCTACATAATTTTTGTGTTACCAAACACCAGAATTGGAATTGAAGTCTCTAATTCCTATTTCATAGTTTGAATTCCATGTATCAAACGGGACCTGAGAGAGAATTGTCATTAGTACTTTTGGAAAAATTATGCATGGTCACTTTTTTGCAGTTCTCACGATTCGAACCTAGATTAACCACGTACATACTCCCCCCGTCCCGAAATAGATTACAATATTCCCTCACATTTTTGTCCCAAAAAGAATTACAAAGTCAATAACTTTACAAGGATTGACTCTTTTACCCTGTCACTCCTACACTATTCACATACTATTCATCCATGTGAGTGGGAAGGATACTTGGGTAATTTGGGGAAAAAAAATTTGATTTAACTTTTCCTATATTTCAACAAAAAGGGATTTAACTCTTCCTATACTTCTTATTTAGTTATTTTTTTAGATATTTTTTTATACAAATATATGAAAACTAATTTATAATACAGAGTAATAAATATCTAAAAAATATAAAAAGTTACAAAAGGTGAAACTTCCATATTGTTTTTTAAATTTTGTTTTTTGGATTTAAAAAATGTTTTTTTCTTACAAGAAAGAAGAATTCTTTAGAGTACATCTATTTTTTGCCTCACTTTCAGTCTTGCATTTGTTTCTTTTCCATGTTTTTTTGTATCTAAAAATAAAACCCTCTTCCTTCAAAAAAATAAAAAATAAAAATTAAACTCCCTTTTTAAAAATCTAATAATGTAACCCTTGGTTCTAAAGCTAAAAGTATACTCCGTATATTTTTAAATTAATAGTATATCCAAGACTACACAATTTAAATTAACATTTGCCAAAAAAAGATTACAATTATTTCTATTAAAAAAAGGTAAGTAAATTTTTTTTAAATAATTAAAATATATTAAAAATGTGTAAAAATGATAAAAGGAGTGACTTGCCACTGCAAGACATGCCACTCCACTCATGTACCACACGGTGACTGGACTAATTATGGAATATCATTAAAATTTTGTCTGAAAATATAAATTCATACATTAAAAACGACTAGTAAAGTATATAATTTTGAAAATTTCTAACTTTGGCGGGTCGGTCAGGTCGGGTTCGGTCGGTTTTAACCCATTTTTAGCGGGTCATTTCGGGTTCGGTCATCAAACCCTTTGTTCAAAAACCAGTGTTTCCAGGTCGAGTTTCAGTTCAAAAACAGGTCGGGTCACTTTTTGTCATGTCTACTTTTCAGGGTTGTTTTTCTTCTTTCTAATTTTTTATTATTCTCTTACGTGCCGGTAAGTATAGGCATGCCTTTTTTCTTTAGCGGATTATATTCGAATTCTTCATGGATTATATTCTGTGCATAAATTAGTGACACATTATGAAATTCCAATATCCTATTTAAAACACTCCGTAATAGTATTTCTTCCCTCCCAAATTATATTTTTTACTTTAATTTTTATGATGTTTAAGGAAAAATAAAATTTATAGTTGAAATGTATGCAAATGAAAAAAATAATATGAACAACTAGAATATGTACTTTAAAAATTAAAGGATAAGCTAGAAATTTGGTTCAGGACGAATAAAAAATGAGCATAAAACATTCATTTTGGACAAAGGAAATTATTATTATAAAACGTAGAAACACTTATAGCGTAGTTGTGATTAAAAGTACAATAATATTGTTGAATTGTAGAGAGAGAAAGGGCACAAAGGAGATCGAGAGTGCATGGCTATTAGAGGGCTAGAATTCTAACCCTTTCTTCAATTAAGACTCCGTTTGGTATACAGAATTCAAGCTATAGAATTGGAATTGAAATTTTTAATTCTAATTTTATTGTTTGGTAAGACAGAAATATATGGATTTGGAATTAATAGTACAAACAAAAAATTGAAATTAGAGAATTTAATTCATTGAATTTAGTTCCATAAAATTTTAATTTTAATTCAATTCTAATTCCATTAATTATATATATAGCCATATATAACCAATGATCGACAATAAGTTGAAATCCCAAATTAAATTTGATACGAGTAGTGGATCATCATAAAGTAGAAATGTAACATCAATCGATATTTATTAAAAAACAAGAAAATTGATTGTTTAATTTGCGTCCAATAATTTTATTATCATATGATCGTGTCAAGTCGATCATACTAAGATTAAAGGCCCAGTTGTATGTGGAAAAAGGCATTCATCAATCAATGAATATAATAGAATAGAATATACTCCGTAATACTCTAATATAATACTCCCTCCGTCCTAAAATGAACCGGGAAAAACATTATAGGACGGAGAGAGTATAATATAATACTCACTCCCTCCCAAATATAAGCAACACTCCACTATTTAAAAATTCTGGGAACTTTTATTTATTTTTGCATTTTCATTGATTATTTGATAGAATAAAATATTCTTGTCACCACTTTTTTTGTAAAACTTTTGACGTAGTTTTTAAATATGTAAGTTTTATTTTTCATTTGTAGACCATTCTTTAAATAAAATGGATTGAAAAAATTCAAAAAATTACTTCATTTAGCATAATGCTGCTTATATTTTGGGACGAAGGGAGTATAATAGTGGTGCAATATACTGAGAGACACTTCAACATGCATATACATATATATGGGGACACAAGTATAAATACAATACGACTATAACATTACAAAACAAAACCAAAATATAGCAATATTTTGTGCTATCGTGGACAAATGTGAAAACATATTTGTTACCCCTCTATAATAATAATAATGGTTAAATGTATTTTTTGTCCATGTCAAATAGGTAATTTTTGTTTTAAGTCCCAGTAAAAATTTTTTTTGTTAAAATCATCCTCACAAAATATTTTATTTTGAAAATAGTCCCTAAACATAATTAGCACTTCTAATTAGATGATGAGATAACACATTTATTTCATACTCAATGTCTTAGTTTTACATTTCTAATTACGTCCGATGCAATTTTCAACTCCTAAATTGTTTGCTTATTCATAATTTCATATTACATATGTCCAGTATTTCTCGAATTTCTTACGAATATAATATTAAAAAATTTAGAAATTGAAAATGCAATTTGATAAATTCATGCCAAAAATTGTGTGTGAAGTCATGCATGTGGTATATCAACAAATTTAAATTTTTAATTATGTATATGGATCATTATCAAAATATAAAAAATTGTAATAAGAATGAGTCCTTAATTTTACAGGGACCAAAAACAATTTTACGATAATAAAAATTAGACTAAAATAGAAGTATAATAGCACCGTGGTGTTTGATTACGTGTTGAGAGTGTGATTTCTTAATGACAAACATTTTAGAGTAAAGATAGTAAGGCTATGTGTTATGCGGCTTCACTACCTCCCTCAAGCCTCCTCCACCCTTACACACGGCGCCGGCTTCAAGTGAATCCCCTCTTCCTGTCACCCTGCTCATGTGTATTGCCCCTCCCTTCCTTTCTACTCTCTCCGTCCCATGAAATATGGGATTTTTGCTTTTTAGGAGAGATTTAAGGGGAGTGTATTTTGGTATTGAATTTCCAAAAATGTCCTTTGATGTGATGGGTAAAAGTATGATTTGATGGATAGATTATTAGTAAAAAAGTATGATGGGATAGTTAGGGTATGAAAAAGTAAGGGGTAAAAGTGATTTTTTAATAGAAATGAGAAGTGTTTTTAGGACGGATGAAAAAAGAAAGGAGAAAGGTTTCTTGGGACGGAGGGAGTATATTTTTTTAATAACTTTTTTGACCAATCAAAAAAGTTAACAAATAAGTTTACAAGATAAAATAGATTAAAGAAGTGCATTGAATGGTGTGTAAAAATGAAAGTGGACAAATACTCTGAAACGGAGGGAGTAATTTGTATATTAAAAAATTATAGAAATTATATATTAATAATCTATATGTTAAGACAAATCAAACAAGATCACACATGACTATATTTAGGCTTACACATTGAGAGAATTTGATGAGTCAAAGTGTTTAGATGAACAGCTCCAAAAATTAAAACTGGACGAATACTCCGGGACGGAGGGAGTATTAGATTATTGAGTAAATTCCCAAAATAGTCCTTTGTAATAAGGGGTTTTTTCCAAATTAATCCTCAATAAGTTTTAATTACCTACGTGATCCTCTATAATTGAGATTTATTCCCAAAATAGTCATTTGTAATAAAGTATTTTCCCAAATCAGTACTCAATAAGTTTTAATTACCTATGTGGTGCTCTATAATTGAGATTTATTTCCAAGATCGTCCTTCGTAAATAATGTTACTAAAATGAGGATTAAATGAGGATATTTTTTTCTCTATAATTAATTATAATGAAGTGCTTTCCCAAAATGGTTTTTCTAATTAAAGATGCGCATTTGATTTAAAATTTAAAACATTTTTTTAAGTTTTATAAAATTCATAAATTATTTATGAGTAAAATTCTCAAAATGGTCCTTTGTAATAAGGTATTTTCCCAAATCAATCCTCAAATGAGGATTAATTGGGAGATATTTTGGTATTTTGATCATCAAAATTTAAAGTTTATATTTTCGAAACAATCATTTTTGTCTAATTAAATGTAAAATTTAAAAAAATACATTGACTATAAATAATTTATGAATTATTTAAAACTAAAAAAATCTTTTAAATTTTAAATCAAATAAACATCTTTGATTAGAAAAACCATTTTGGGAAAGCACTTCATTATAAATAATTATTTTAAGAATTAATTCTAAATTTAGCGGATAAAAAATATCCTCAATTAATTCTCATTTGACTAATATTATTTACGAAGGACCATCTTGGAAATAAATTTTAATTATAGAGGACCACATAGGTAATTAAAATTTATTGATGACTGATTTGAGGAAATATCTTATTACAAAGGACTATTTTTGAAATAAATATCAATTATGGAGGACCACGTAGGTAATTAAAACTTATTGATGACTAATTTGGGAAAAACCCTTATTACAAAGGACTATTTTGGAAATTTACTCTAAATTATTGGATAAGAAAGTTAGCACCCTACATTTGAAGACAAGGATATTGGAGAGAGATCCTTATGTCACACATTCCTAGATGGTGAGAAGATGAAGTGCACGTTCAAACATGTACGTGCTTAATACGTTGCAACGGAGGACACCACCGATTCAAAGAAAATGAAAAATGCATGCAAGTCCTTGCTTTCATTCGATTCAAATTTTAAAGATAGCTTATGAACATTTATTTATGAGTAATGCCAGGTACCCCAAATGTACACCACCCTCTTTTTATCCACATATTTTTATTTGATTTTTATTTACTTATTTTTTTTTGAATTTTTTTGCCTTTTTAGTGGACAGGGTGGGGATATTTGGGATACACCTTTGGTCTACCCCTAACATTTTTCTTTATTTATAAATGTATGTTAACGCATACATTTAACGCATACATTTAGTCTCATTAGATGGATATTTAAAAACAAAACTTATCCCAAGTACAAAATAAACAGGAATCCAAATTAAACTAAATAGATTATATCTTTCCTTGTTTTTTTATTTGATTATTGTATTCAAAAGACATTTCCCACACCACTTAATAGAGCCCCACCTATCGGCCTAACAGGTGAGAAGGATTAAAAGTAACTATAATGAGGATGCTTATTGAGTTAATCAACTAAATTAAACAACTGCATCTTTTCCCAAATTCCCATTCAAAAGTGTGGTCCCATCGCTTCAGATCCGGCCGAACGGTCCTTTAAAGGAAATAAATTAAATTTTAATCATAAATTGGTGTCAAATAAAAGAACCTGCACCTGATACTTGTAGAGGTCTAATGTCTTTAACACTAGATACTAACCTATAATCAAATTGGGGACAAAATGAGTATAAAAATTTAGATATTGGCTTAACAATCGCCTTCAACGTCTTTAACACTAGGTATAAAAGAGAAAAAAACATATTTCAAGCAATTAAATACGAGTTTTAAAAAAATGGATGAAAAAGAACGTGGGAAAAAAATCTCTACCCTGGGGTTTCCTTACAGGCAACTGCAAGTGGTCTAGGAGGCGTCTAGCTTGCTTTTTGCCTTTATATACAAATATTAAATTAAAAAAAAAACAAACTCACAAAAATTTCATTAAAATAATCTCAATCAGAATCCCACAGCACACTTCTTTTACTCTTCTTTTATTCTTCATTTTATTTCATTCATTCATTCATTTGTTTATTAATTTATTCTCAACTATGATGATTAACCAACACCTTGTCTAGTTAGCCCTCGGTCCTCCTCCTCCGCCCGCCGGCACCGCCACCCCTCCGCCACCGTAACACTTTCCCTCCTCTAGGGTTTCATATTGATCCTCGATTTAGGGTTTTTTTTGGGGTGGCTGAAATGGAGAATTACAACAACCATCTAGGAGATCACGAGGAGGCCGCCGCCGCCGCCGTCCACAGAAGCGGCGGCACCAACAGCTTCCTCTACTGCGGCTCCGTTCTCGCTCCTCCCAGCTACGGCAGAACCGCCGCCGCCGACTTCCACCCGCAACCCTACCACGGCCCCGCCGTGAAGACGGAAGGCGGGAGCAGCGCGGTAAAGGCGAAGATCATTTCCCACCCCCACTACTCCAACCTCCTGGAAGCTTACATGGAGTGCCAAAAAGTCGGCGCTCCGCCGGATGTGGCGGCGCGTCTCTCCGCCGCCCGGCAAGACTTCGAGTCCCGCCAACGCGCCACCTTACTCGGCGGCGGGCATGAAAAAGACCCGGAACTCGACCGGTTCATGGTAGAATATAAAAAACATTTCCTGAGCTTATAATTTTATTTTCAAGCTCGAGTTTTCCGTTGAATCGATTTGTTTTTTTATTTGGTCGCAGGAAGCGTACTATGATATGTTGGTGAAGTACAGGGAAGAGCTGACGAGGCCATTACAAGAAGCAATGGAATTCATGCGACGGATCGAATCGCAGCTAAATATGCTAAGCAACGCTCCAGTTCGGGTCTTCAATCATTCTGGTAATTATTTAAATTGTTGTTCTTTGAAATTCATTGCTCAATCAGTTTAATTTCTTTTTTTTTTTATTAAAATAATGTTAAAAGAAGAAAAGATTTGTTTTTTATTTTTTTGGATATGGGTTTTTGGGGAAAAAAACAATTGTGGTAGTTTCCAAGGAAGGAAAGAAAACAAGTTGGAACAAAAAATGGGAACAGGGTTTTGTTTTTCCATTCTGGAGCAGTGCAAAGCAGGGGGTTCACTGTTCATTCATTCAATACATTTCTCAATTCCCAAAGCAGTTTCTTCTTGCTCCACTGTTCCCAGACGCCTGTTTTTCTTTGGTTTTCCTTTTTTTTTTGTTTTTTCAGTGCAAGCATTTTTTTGTGGGATTTTTTGGTAAATTCTTTTTCCTTGTTTGGAAGACAATTTTCCTTGTTTGGTACTCCATATGTACACCAAACCAACGGAGACACAAAATGTCTGACATTTTGTGTTGTGTTAGACTTGGCTTGGTATACATGGGGTACCTCATGTTGGTGTACCTCTAGCATTGCCCAATTTTTTATTCTCACTAGATTAATAGAAAATAGGGAAGAAAAATAGTATTCTCCCCATTCTTTGAAGATGTGCTATGGAAGGAGATATGGTTTGACTGTGAATAATAATAATGGAAACAGTGCTAAATAAAATAATGCGAAATGTTTAAACTTATTTTTTCTATTAATATTATGTGTAATTAGTAATCAAATTTCATCTAGTTTATTTGAAGACGCGTGGACCTTCTCACATTTTTCATAGGCTGAAATCGATATCTTTTTTTTAAAGAGCACAATCATCTTGAGATGTTTATATACTGAGGTCTATTAAATGAGTGTGGACCTTAGAATGACAGAAGAATTTGCCTAATTTTTTTTAAATAAGGTTAAACATTGATGAATATTTTGGAACACAGGTAATAGATTTTATTCAAGTGGAATTTACCTAAATAGGACTAAACCGTAATGACTTTCTCGAATCATATTTTTTATTTTCCAATCTAGGACCATTGGTCATTATTCATTAGTCATTGTTCAAGTTAAATGTCCACCGTTCCTTCCACAAGACATTATTAAGTCATATTTAGAAAATTAAAAAGTTTAAGTCCTACATTAAGAAATGACTTATGTTTTTGTCATATTTAGTGCAAAATTTTCATTATTCAAACGACTTTTTAGTTAAACCAACGAATATAATATATGTGCTAATAATATATGGATGTATTTAGTGACTTGCTATTCTTGTCTATTTAAAAAAAATTGTACCATTGCCAAGGAGGACTCATTTCTGTGGAAAGAGGAACTCATTTTTTTAAACAATATTTAAATTTTTTATTTTTTTACCATTTGACTGAACTGTATATATTCTTAAAATTGCTAATGCTAGTCAAATGTGGTCCTAAAAACTTAACGGCAAAGAGTATTTGATATTTTGATGGTATCTCATAACATCTGACTTAGACTTTTTTTATCCATGAACAAATGAACTAATATAAACTTTGTATTATTCTGGAATTTGTCCATTTTTAGTGTCCCAAGTATTTATTGTGGTTTTGGATAAAAACATTCATTGCACCAATAAATGCCTCTTTATGCTAAAACAGGTACGAAAATGTAATGAATCCACCCTCATACCCAAATTAAACCTCATTCCTGTCACTACCTCCCCCACGCCTCTTTCACGCTATTGCACTGCGTCGGATAAATTTTAAACGGGCGTTGCCCTTGTGCCCGTGACCACCGTCACGGGCGTTGCGCCGTTGCCCGTCTTTGCCCCCCCCCATTTTTTTTTCAATCAATTGAAATTTAACACATTAACCTTTCATCACATTCCTTCACACACACCATAACGCATTTTTCATCACTCCACATCATACCTCTTTACACCCCGTAGAGTTCAGTCAAGCCTCACGTCAAGCCCGTCATAACACATGACCGTAGCATAAAGCCATAAACCATTGGTGCAATGCCGAGTAAAGTACATTTGGATGAGCATTGTGCCCATTTTTTTCTCATTTTGTCTCACTGATTTTTTCCTTGTTAATTACCATCTTTCTGTTTTTGCTCAATACAAGACGTAGTATTTGGTAACATGTCATAGTGTCACATTATGACAACAAAAAGTAAGGTTTATGGGGTGAATTAGGAGGGTAAGACCCGGTTCCGTTTCCAATGAAACAAAGTAAGATCCTGGTGTCATATTATGACACCAAAAACGAGTGTTAAAAGAAGGGGACATTTTATGTTCCCAAAAACTTTTACACCAAAATTTGATACCATGTATTTCATGGACATGTATAAACAATCATCGTGTAAATCGCACAAATTCTATTATTGACAAGTGTTGGAATGTTTATATCTCATACCATATTTGGTCATATTTGAATATTCTATTGTTCAGCCTAGCGCCATGAGCCTTCCCTGGTATATGTAATGAGAAAGAATAACGAACATAAGACCAAAAGCTACCAAACTGGAATAAGAATAGGAAAACTTAATTATTACAAATAATTGTAAGTAATAATAAGTATTCCTTAGTAACTCCAAAGTCTACTAAATTTGAAGGTGCAATTGAGGGGGATTAGGGGTTAGTTGAGGTCAAGCTTATGTGGGGGTTTACCGGGGGTGGGGGGGTGGGGGTAGGGAGGTAGGAACCGTCAATTTTACAAACACGGTAGGGTCGTGCCTAATCGACCGATTGTCATATTATGACATTTTGTTCTAATGACAAAAGAAGCAAACTCTTATATGTGTGATTCATCATATTTATTTATATTTCATATTACGGAATACTTTTATTAACATCAGTATCAATCATACAATATTACTTTAAAAAATTATGGCATTCCTTCTTGTCCTAAAAATATTGGAAGGGATAGTGAAGAATAACAACGTAACATTAGTAGAACACTTGAATTTCTCTCTTCGTAGTAGGAAATTCAATCCCTAAGATTCATAGGTAAGTTCACCTATATACGAGCTCTAGCGGGAGTCATTGACGCGTTGTGCGTCATTAGATTGAAGAAAATATGAACAAATACTATATTTTAATTAAATCAGTGACACGCAAAAGACAAAGCGTGTTAATAATTAATATAGGTTGGTGTTACGTAAGAACAGGTTGTAGTGACTTGTTAGACTTATAGAGTTATTATTAATTATCAATAGGCCTTTTGAAAATAAAACAGCTTTGGATGCTGTTCACATCTGTTGTTCCAGTACCACAGGTACGTAGCATGTGTCCTAAGCTGTCGCATTTTTTACTAGACTAGATTTTTAAATTCCAATTTTGCACTATTTCGCTTTTGGTTTTTGGACCCGTTAACTTTGTGTTCCCCCCTTTTCCGCATTTATTGCCTACTTTTCTGACCCAAAATGTATCTCGGCATGGATCGTGCCACTAAATGGGTGCTACCATGAGTGCACCCCCATGCTTCGTACAAACAAACAGAATCTTTCGTGCGACACAAACGATTATCGTCTGTGTCTGCGCGTAACATGGGTGTACCCATGTGGTGACACCCTAGCAATATTCATGTCCGCAGTCCGCATCTCACAGTACTACGTTTAGTACTCCCTCCGTTTGGAAAAATACTTCCCATTTGGATTTGGGACAAAAATAAGAAAGTGTTAAATTATAGTTGATTTCCAATTTTGCCGCTGATGTGATGGGTAAAAGTAAGATGTGATGGATAGATTATTAGAGAAAAAGTATGATGTGATAGGTAGGGTATGAAAAAGTAAGGGTAAAAGTGGTTTTTTAATAGAAAAAGGAAGTTTTTGTTGGAAGTGGAAAAAATGAAAGAGGAAGTGTTTTTTAGAACGGAGAGAGTATTAATTTACTACATAGTCATACTAGAAACACACTGCAATTTCAGAAATGATTATCATCGCTGTGTACAAATTCATATCCGTTGTCATCTATGGTGTTACCCTAGCTCTATTGTCTAGAATATAGTCATGCTGTAATTTTTTTTTTTAAAATGTACAGATGAGAAATGTGAGGGTGTCGGCTCATCCGAAGAGGACCAAGACAACAACAGCCCGGGCGAGACCGAGCTGCCCGAAATCGATCCTCGGGCGGAGGACCGCGAGCTGAAGAACCACTTGTTGAGGAAGTACAGCGGCTATCTGAGCAGTCTGAAGCAAGAACTCTCCAAGAAGAAGAAGAAAGGGAAACTCCCCAAAGAAGCGCGCCAAAAGTTGCTCAGTTGGTGGGAGTTGCACTACAAATGGCCCTATCCTTCAGTACGTTTCTTCATCACTAAAGTCTAATAAACCGACTCAACCAAAAACTCAAGCTTAATTACCGCTTACCATTGACTTTTTTGCCCTTTTCTTTTTTGTGTAAGGAAACGGAGAAGGTGGCGTTGGCCGAGTCAACGGGTTTGGATCAAAAGCAGATAAACAATTGGTTCATCAACCAAAGGAAGCGACATTGGAAGCCGTCAGAAGACATGCAGTTCATGGTGATGGATGGTCTTCACCCACAGGGCGCGGCCCTCTATATGGACACACACTACATGGGTGAAGGCCCGTATCATCGACTCGGTCCATGACATAAAGAAATGTCGTGCCGTTGGGCTAATTAAGAGGTAAAAACTTATTTTAGGGACTCGATTTGTTTTGAGAATGACATGATTTTGTTACAATGAGGAGATGAATATTTATATATATATTCTGGGTTTGCCATTCCCTTTCTCCTCCATGAAGTGAGTGTGAAGAAGATTAGGGTGTTTTGATTTATGTAGAACTAAACTAATGCAAATTGTATATGGTTAAAGACTAATTGTGATTCTAGTAAATAATTTCGTTTACCGCTATGATCTGATCTGATTTATATAATCCCTGGTTTAAAAATGGTGTTATGTTTTATCTTTCATTTTTGTAGAAAATAATCAAAATACACTTTACTGTATTAGCATTTCTCCAAAAAGACTCATGATTTTATTTTTTTAGTTGTGCCAAACCCAAACTAGAGTTCTTTTTGGAAGGGAGGAAGTATAATATAGTGATATTTATATTCGTTTTTAGTTGTATCAAATCCAACCAATTTTATAATCGGTTTTTATTTTGAGGAAAGACGAATATATTAATCATTGCGTAAAATGTCAATTACATAGTCTGGGGTGGGTGGGGAGGGGAGAATGCCAAAGCCTGATATTCAGAGGAGAACTAGTATACTCCAACCCACTCCGGTATGATTGCCAGGGAGGCTTATCGAAGCATCAACGTTCAGTTTTACCCAAAGCAGTGGAGGTTTTGTCCATGAGCGGCGCGGACCAAGAGATGGGTCTGGGTTGACCGTTTGTTGCATTTTGCCATTTGGAGAAGCGATACCAAGCCACGAGGATGTGGGCGATGGAGACTGATGACGCCATAAAATATCATTCCGAGCTTTCCAGATTGTGCCAAGGATGAAGAAGACTAGAGAAGTGTCACTGATATTCGTAATTTGTACCATTGAGCATACGAGTTTTATTGATATGTATACACACACACACACATAAATATAAAACAGCTATATTTTGCTCTTATACGAATTGTAGACTATTTTTTGGATTGTCGAGAAATAAATGTTCACTAACCATTTGTAGTAAATGAAGAATTTGAAATTATTAGGATTAGTTTAAATAGGATATCAGTAGCATGGTTTTCATTTATAAAGAGTAGGCTAATCTCTTTTTTAAATAATTTTTTTGAGCACTAATAAGAGGGTGATTGGCAGTGCGCTGCTTTTAAGAATTTAGCTTCTACTTTTAGTGGAAGTGGTTTTACTCTGTTTGACATGTCAGTTTCTGTTTTTTCTTCACCACTATTCTGTACGTAGAACAATGTTTCGAAAAAAAAGTTATGGAGTATTTTTGCGTTTAATTTTGTGGAAATCACTTTATGCACTACTTAACCACTCCCAAATAGTCTCTAACTATGTTGTTCATACATATTTTTTAATTTCTAAAAGCACAAATAGATAACGTCTCTATTAAAGATTCACGTGTGACTTTCCATTTGAAAGAACCGTCTTGATGTCACTAGCCACCAATAGACCTGGCAAAATTTGACCCGACTCGTTATTAATCCAAAACCCGACCCGAAATTAGCGGGTTTTGAACATTGATTTTGCGACCCGAACCTGAAATGACCCGAACCCGAAGATCCGTTAAATTTTCAGGTCAGAACGGGTCGGGTCGGGTTTGACCCGACGGGTTATGCACTTAATTGCTTATTTTTATTACTTATTTAGTTTTATATATTCATTTAAAATATGATATACCCATTAGGCTACGCAAAACTCAAAAGGCGTAAAACCTAATCTAAATTCAATAACATTCCAGTCTCTCTTCCTATATATATATATATATATATATATATATATATATATATATATATATATATATATATTGTTCTTCCACTCTTCCACCATTCGTCGATAATAGATGCCGACTCAATCAAAATGGTGAAAAGACATAAGATCAATAGTGGAATTTTTAATCATATTTCATCTTCTTCAATTTCTCCTACGTGTAACTCAAGTTTAATTCTTTTCTTTTGTTTTGGTATGGCGCACAAATCTCAATTTTTTATAATGTATACTCCGTATATTTTTTTGGGTATGCTGAAAGAATCTTCAATTTTTTTTATCTATTGCAATTTTTTGGTATGCTGCAAAAAGGTGATTTTTTGGGGTATATTGCAATTCTCTTTTGGTATGTTGCAAATAAAGCTACAAACTTTTCTGATTTCGTTCTTTATTTTGAATAATGCTCGGATCACATGATCTCTAAATAGCAAAAATTTAATTTTTAAATACGTCTCTTAACCCGTTTGGTCAACCCGAACCCGATAGCTCCGGGTCATGAACAAGCACTTTTAGACCCGAACCTGAAGTGACGCGAACCGGAAATAACCCGAATCCAATTATACCAAACTCGAACCCGACCTGACCGACCATTTTGCCAGGTCTAGCCACCAAGTCTTTGTGTAATAATTTTTGTTGATAAATATTTTACAAGGATTCAATATCTAGCTCCCTAGCCCGGATCAATTGACTTGTAATTGGGCCAACTTACCATTCGAAACCCACCAGCATTTCTCTTGATAATCCATTTCAATAAATGTCATCAAAATTCAATTCAAATAATAGTTTCGAATCGGCTTAGGTAGAGTGTAAATGGCTACTAATCGGTTCGAGTGTGCCACTATCAAATTCTTATTCGTTTATTTTTTACGAATATCGAATTTGGATGTGGATCTTGACGGATACTGAAAATCAAAATCATTTTCTGCATCCTTTGGATATCGGTCGGATATCTGATATATCCGTATTCGTTTCCAATTTTTAAAACCAAATTAAACAATACTGTAGTTTTCAATTAAACTAAGGGGGTGTATTTAATTCAGAATCTGATAGATTTTTTGGGATTTTGAGAATCTGTATGTATTCAATTCAGATTTAAAAGAATCATTTAAATCTGTATGTATTCAATTCAGATTTAAAAAAATCATTTAAAATCTGGGTGTATTCAATTTAGATTTTAAAAAATCCTTCTAAATATGATGATATTCAAAAAGTTGATAACTTTTTAAAGATTTTTAAAAAGGTGGATTTTGATGGATTTTGTAGCATTAGGTATAAATATAAATTAATTCTCAAATCTCATCCAAAAGTCCAAGATTATAAAAACTCCTTCCGTCCTTCATCGTTCCTCCGAAGTCCGACCGTCCGTCTCTCCTTCAACACCTGCTGTCTTCTTCTTCTTCATCGTCTCCTTTGCTTCCAGAGTAGATCTGATTATATTGTTTATTCTTGGGTATGTTCTTTCCTAATTGTCTGCACAATTGTGTTCGTCAATCGTCCCTGCTCTGTTTCTTTTTTAATCAATGGTGTAATTCGATTGAGATATATGCAGATGAAGAAATAATATAAACTCTGCTATTTTTTCTTAAAAGCAAATGAGAACTTAAATTACCGACAGAGGGAGCAAACAACAATACGAAACTTGTAGAAGTAAATGGTGGGTCAAAAAAGAACCTTTAATTGCCGAAGGGAACCTATGAAGATGAGTGTGTTCAAATTCATTCGGGCCGAAACATTAGCAGGCCATTAATATTCTTTTGTAATCAATTTTTTTAATTAGAACAATCTATAGACATTTTAGAATATAAACAAATCCAAATGATAAAATACATTAAAATCTGTCAAAGTTTATATAGAATTAAAATACTCCATGGAGTTTACAGAATCTATTGATTTTAAGAATTCTAACACAATCTTTTAAAATCTGAATTGAATACACCCCCCTAAATTAAAATATTATTAAATCAACTATAATTTTCTATGGGATAATTATTTTCTTATTTTAATAGTTTATGATATTCTACGATGACTTCACATCGTAAAAAGATATACACACTACATATATACACATATTGTTTTCTACACATATATTTTGCATATGAAAATGTCTTATGCCTTGAGATATCATTAGAGAAACAAAATATAAAAATAAAAAATTAAGAAAAAATATATATAAGGATTGGATACATAGATAAACGATTATTTAAACGAATGTCAATGTGAAGCGGATTATAAACGGATCAGATGTATAATGACCAAATATGTATCCGTTTAGCAATCGGATATTCTTAATCAGATACAGATAATAACCGCTTGTAACGGATGCAGATATTTTGTATATAAACGGATACTGATAGAACATTTTACATACATGGTTAATTAGCGAATCAATCATATTTAAAAATCATGTATGTGTGTGTATATAACGAAAGGTCTCCTTTATATGAGAACTCTTTTAAACTCCTGAGACCAATTATTTTTTATCATCAATTTGTTAACTTGATAAATTTTATTCTCTAGTCTTCCTCATAAACCCACATGCATGAGTTTGTTACCTATGGCCCTAAATTTGGTTTATAGTCTAAAGTTTGGCGCAAAAATTTGAATATCGTGAAACTACATTGAACTTGATTATCATTTTGTATGCAAAAAACTATGGAATGTATTATTCATTCTTAATCACAATCCCACTTTGCATCAACTTGCTAATGTCTTCACCAAGAACTTGTTTGGACCACTATACCTTCATTCTTTGCGCAAGTTACGTCTTCAAGAACCCTCCAACTTGTGGTGTTGGAATTCAAGTTGTCCATCCTATCCTTCTCTAGCTTGTATGGAGCTATTCATTCTATATCTCTTCCCTATTTGTTTCTTGTAGTCATTTCCTATTACTTTATGTCTTTATACACTAAAAATTATATTTCGAAGACACACACCAATATTTTGTGCTAGTGTAATACAAATGTGGTGTTTTATAATAATACAATATGTCAGTGTAAATCTTTTTAATTGAATCAATATTTGACATGAAACATGGTTTTACAAACCATGTTAGTGGGGCTTTTATACAAACCAAAGGAGGTAATGAATTAGAATGGTTGCATCACTTTCGTGTTTACCAAAACAGAATACGGAGAAGAATGCTTTCAATTTCAATTTAGGAGTAAACTTTTTACTAAATCTGCTGGCTTTGATCTCCAGAAATTCAATTACGCAGAGAAAGGAAGACTAGATACATTGAAGTGAGTGATCGGTGCTCTGTATCGGCATGATCAACGATTGTCTGCATTCATCGCGTCAGGTATGATGCTTCACTTGCGATTTACTTATTCACGTTGAAATCTCGCTTCAATTTTGTTGTTTTGTTTTTGGTGGAAATGCGTTTACTGAATCCGATCTCTCTCCGCTGATGCTCTGCAATGGCGTCCTTCCGGCGAACCCTATCGTCGTCCAATTATCTTACCGGAGGAGCGAATTCGTTCTCTCTCGACGTTAATTCTCCGCCTCACAAGCTTCAGTCCATCGGGAAAAGCTCGTCTCCGCTGTGGGCGTTCGGATTTGCAATCGGTAATTTACTTGGTGGCGGCGTGAGGCATTCGAGGAAAGGATTTTCGTGGAAGAAATCCATTTACAGGTGTTTGATGTTCTTCTTCGTGGGAATTTTGCTAGGCGTGGCACCTTTTGGCGATCTAGAAGATGCGAAGAACAAGGACGGTTTCTCAGCCCAAGCGAAGCCTCCGTCCATAGATGATGAAAGGGAAATGAAGGATGTAGTAATTCCCAGGCATAATTCTATTGTTGCTGTTTCTCTGTTAGAAGTGCAGGAAAAGACCGAATTGGAAGGACGATTTGATTTGATTCCCCGGAAACAATTGATCGTTGTGACTCCTACATATCCAAGGCCTCAGCAAACTTATGATCTGAATCGATTGGGGCAGGTTCTGAGGCTTGTGCAGCCACCATTACTGTGGATTGTGGTGGAGATGAATGAAGCTTCATCTGGAACTGCAGAGATTTTGAGGAAGACTGGTGTCGTGTATAGGCATCTAGTGTGCTCCAAGAACATGGAAGATGTAAAGCACAAGAAAGCTGTTATGCGGAACACTGCATTAGAGCATGTTGAACATCACAGGCTTGACGGAATCGTTTACTTCGCAGATGATGACAATGTCTACTCGCTCGAGTTGTTTGACAGCATGAGGAGTATCAGGTACTCCGTATATATTATTGAGATTCACTCTGATATTTACAATGGTGTGACTTATTGATATAGGTCAATCTGGTTTGTGTTTAATCTCTATAATATAATAATGTGTAGCTTCAGAGCAGCCACATACAACAACAACAAACCAGTTAGATCCCACGAGAGTAGGGTCGTTCAGAGCAACATATAAGACCTTTAATTTACATTTTAGAGCAGAGTCCAAAATCATGAAAATGTTTTTCCGATTAGTGAATTCTAAGAGCTTGGTGGTTTAAGTTGTCCAAGATTCAAACTTTCTAATTGCTCTTGTAATGTTCAATTTCATGCAAATAGTATTAGTATTAAAGAACACGTTTTTTTCTTCCCTTCCCAGCCGTTTCGGGACTTGGCCTGTGGCTATGGTGGCACAAAGCAAAAACAAGGTTTTAGTAGAAGGTCCTATTTGTAATGGAAGCCGAGTTGTGGGATGGCACACAAATGAAAAGAGCAAAAGACTTAAAAGATTTCAAGGTATTGATATGTCCGGCTTTGCCTTCAATAGTACTCTTTTGTGGGATCCAAAAATGTGGCATCTCCCTACCGCAGAGCCAATCCGACAGTTGGACACCATAAAAGACGGGTTTCAGGTATCCTTCTTATGCCTGAATAATCCATCTTGATGTTAATTTGTAGGGTACAAAAATGAAAGAGGATGAAATGGTTGTCGTGTAGCTTTGGAGTCTTACTCCCATTTGTTTATGCTCCTTAATAAAGGTACAATTTTACCGAGATTCAATGGCTCGCATATTAGATATCTTGTTCTCTCTTTATATGGTTGCTTCTTACCATCAATATTCATCCAAAAAGTAGTTAAATTATACTACTACATATGTTCTAGTTTCACTTTTTTAAGTCAAACTAAACAAACTTTAATTATAATTTAAATAAAAATTGTACTGTTTAGTCTATTTTGTTTACAAATCGGTATAAAAATAAAAGGTCCAAGTTACATATTGAAAAACTACATTTAAAGTTCTACAAAAATAAGTGATAGGAATATTTTATTTTATCAAATGATCAACGAAAACATGTAAAAAACAATACTTATCGAGATGTTATAATAGTAATTGTGTCAATAATTCTTGGACGGGGGAGTATTATTTATTGTAAATTTTAGAGGTCTCGTTTTAATTCGGGCCGATCCGAAAAATGTCTGTTAGACCATTGTTTAAAAAAAGTTGTTTGCCAATTGGCTTCTCAAAGTAAAAAATGAAAAGCTGAGATTTGCTTGTAGCGTTTACAATGGGCTGTTGGAAAATATTTCTTTTTTATTTTTTTTCTCTCCTGCGTCGTCTCTCCATCTTGATGTGTATCAAAAGTCACCTAGAAGGAAGTGAGGAATCGCAAACGAAAACCATTCACTCTGAAAAAAACTCTATGGTATGATTGATGATTCTGATACAACTCAGATTCTGAATCAACTATCATCATCTTTATAAAGACTAATTAGTAAATACAGTATAAATTAAACTTTGGGGTATACTGTACTATACTTTCCTGTAGGTATCTAAGCAAATTACATTTACAAATATCCTCGATTTATATAAGTCCTTTGGAACAATGTTTTTAGTTAGCGTTTTGAATAATGTTTTAATGATTTAGATTAACGACTTAAGTAGGCCTGAAGTAGTACTACTATACCTACTGCTTTTCATTCCATACGAGTCGTAATTAATTAGTACGAGGTTTTTTGTCGGGTGGTGGTTGAGAGGGAAGATTTGGCTGAGCCGTCATCCACGGCCAAGCCACCGTATGACGACCTCTCACACATACAAGAAGGGCAAGTTTGGTTGCATTCAAAACGTTTCAGCTCTTCCACTTCCCTTTGCAACCTTTTGTTCTCATCCTTGAGTGCTTCGAAACACTTCTTTAGCAGCTCATAGTCCACTTCTGTTTGTTTGATTTTCGTCCTATACAAGTAATTATTGATTATATACTCAGATCAGCAATAATTATCGTTTCATATCAATCAATTTAATCAAAAGCTCAAACTTATATAATTAGATTATGTACTATACCTGGCCCTTCGATTCTGGAACCAGACCTCAACTTGTCGTGGACTTAGAATTAGTCTTCTCGCCAAGTCATGCTTTTGTTTCTGGAAAACAAAATTATTCATTACGAGAAGTAAGTACAAGTACATATAATCGGCGGGAAGAGTATTTGGACCCCAATCCCATGGTGTCATATTATGACACTCGTTTAAATTGAGAACTCTACGTGCTTCGCTTGAAAATTTAATGATTTTCCCTCTAACTCTCCACCCATTTCCCATGTTCGCCGATTGGCAACCGCAAATCAGCGAACAGAGGGGCAAGGGTAGTGGGGGCATGTTTAAGAGGAGGCTAGCTAGCTAGCTAGGAATATGAACCGTTCATTTTCATGAACGGATCATCGTAGGAGCTTCAAATTAAATTGGACTTTAGCTAGTTTATGTAAATAAAATCAGTATTAGAAGATGGTTGAGATTAAATACAGAATTAAGAGTGGTGTGCTGTTTGAAGCTGTGTTCTAGAACCACTGACTGGTCTCTGGACAACCTAAGTTTCTTCCTCGTACAAAACTCTTCTTCATGATCATCATCATCGGAAACGTCGCGCTTGACGAGTTCCAAAGGCCGCAGCGCAAGCGAAAGGGATGGATGATGGGTGTCTTCACATATCATCATCATCATCCGGGCAGCCCTTGAAGGTCTCTTCTTGTTTTGATGAAGATGATGATGTGCATGGATGTGATCATCATCATCATCATCATCATCATCTTCATGGGATCCAAGGCTGAGAGTGAGGCTGGTGTTGTGAACGTCCTCATGAAATCTCATCACGTAGTATTTGTTTTTATGTGTTTGGGTATGTATGTATGCATGTAGCTCAAGTACAACGCATAAATATATAGAGGAAGTTATGGATGGATGGATGGATGGATGCCATGGGATTGAGAAAGATTCTCTAAACAAATGATTATTGTATTGCTCTATAATTAGTTATCATGGGAGGAGCATTTCTTTACTCTACCTATCTCATAAAAAAAGATCTATATTTTCCTTTTCATCTGTCCAAAAAAAGGTTTTATTTGCTATTTTTTATTTTTTTGTGACTTTTATAATTTTTCAATATCTTCTTTGCATCACTTTGAACTATAAATTTTATTTTTTTCTTAATTTATGAGTCGTCGATTCAAATGTGGAATATTTTCATGCGACGGAAGGATATTTATCAGAGTAAAAGAATCTCCATTCATGGGTGTCTCCCTAAGTTGACTATATTGTTCTCCTCTTTGTCTAGGGAACATGTCAACCCCTACTATCGAGTAATAAACAAATACGGAGTACTTTTTTTTTTGGAAGATGGAATAAACAAATACTCCCTCCCTCATTCTAAGATCTTCTCGTTTTGACTTTAGGCAATTTTTAAGGAGAGTTGAAAAAAAGTGAAAGTTTACCAGAATACCCCTAATGAAAATGGGTCGATGTATTAAATAAGGTGGAAAAGGTGTAATAAATAAAGTAAGTGGGGTAGTTGTGATATTTTAAATGTTAAAAAAGGTAATGAGAAGATCTATGCGGAACAAATAAAAAGAGTTAATGGGAAGATCTATGGGGGATGGAGGGAGTACTTTGTTCGTCTCACAAAAAAAGAAAGTTATAAAAAAATAAGTTATTGTGATTAATATAAACAAAATTACAAAAAAAATGAGAGATGATGGTAGGGTAGGTAGGATACAAGTTGGGTTAAATGTTGGAGATAATGTTTCTGATGTGTTTCCGTGCTTTACGGCCACCCCCCTAGCTATCTACCACTTTATTATTAGCCCCCTATTTTAGTTTCACTAATTCCACTTCATTCTTTGATTATAAATTTTCTGTCGATGAGCGTTGCGTAGTTGGTAAAAGCAAAGAATGCCAAGAAAGTAGGACTCGAGTTTAGTTCCTGACAATTAGACTGTGAAGTAACTATGTTAAGTATAAGATACATGTTCAACTCTTTGCCAGCAATTTGCGATCAAAATCTAATTTACATTTTCTCAATGACAATTCGGTCGGGTCTGAGGAAGCTCTCGGGGATGGGACTCATCTTTTTTTTAATTATAAATTTCACTAATCAAATTCCCCACTTCAGTATTAGATTCCACCTTACAGAATTCTTAATTTTCAAGTATAATTTTATTCACCTTTATAAATAGTAAATTTTGGGTCTATTTTTTCTTTATTGCCTTATTTTTCTTCAAAATCTAGCTATCTGAAATTTGGGATCTGATAATTGAAGTCTATATAAATAATTTAGCTTCCGGCTAATTGAATTTGGATGCAAAAATAAAATTTAAAATTTGATAACTGCTCTTCTGAAGTCCAAACAATTGGAATATAATGTTGAAATTTGACATTGCAAGAACAAATGCTTAACCCAAATTCTAGATACACGTTTTCTACACACTGCTAAAAAAACACGTTTTTGACACAGAAAAATTAGAGTAATTAGAACATTTCAAAACCCATTTATCGTGATCAAAAAAGACTATTTTTTCTTTTTAGAACGTCTAAAAAACCTCATATTTCTTTTTGTGGAAAATTTTGAGCGGCTCACAATATTTCTTTCTTCGCTACTTTATTTTCAATCACGAGTTTACACCTTTCTTAAACTCGGTATCAAGTGAAATTGAGAACTTTTTTTAGACTGGAGGGAGAATTGAATTCCAATTAAATCTCAGAGAATAAAATTATTTACTAAAGTCAATGACGGTCGTCATAATCATCATCATTAATATTGATTCTCAACCGTTAAGTTATTATCAAACCATTATGATGATCATGTTGACACCCGTAATTATTTATTAATTATAACACTCATAAATGAATGAGCTTTATATATTGCTGAGTATTTGTTCAATTATAGAAAATAGTCAATCTATATAATCTTTTCCAATTTAGGCTAGACAGCAGACTTTCAAATTTCAATAAACCAATTTCAATTATTCATTTTTTTTAAAAATTTTATTCATAAATATCGTGAAATTGAATTGTTATAGTCTGTAATCAATTAAAGCCGAAGAGGGTATATAGTGCAATAATAATTTTGCTTTAACACCATAATAATGGTTAGAATATTTCCTAAACCACAATCATAAGTTTGAGTTTTGGTTGAGTTGGTTCTTTGGCATGATATCGAGGCCTTGTTGATTAAGAGGTCACAGTTTCGAAACTGTGCATTGCTCGGTTAGTTTTAAAAAATTTAAGATTTCACGTGCAAGACTAAAAAAATTACGCCCACACGTGAGAGGGCGTGTTAGAATACAAAAAATACTTTTCCTAGGTCACAACCACAAACTTGAACTTTTGATTGAGTTGGTTCTTTGACAATAATGTCCTCATGTGATACATTTTCAGTGTAAATTTGATATGTGAAACTAAGTGCAATAGTCTCTCCTCCTATCGTCAATTCGTTTTAAATTGGAATCCCCATTGCCTTATATACTCGGCCTATCGCACAAATATGCACAAAACGGCGTGTGTCCCCACCCCGCACGCCATGGTTGCACAAAACGTCAAGCGCAACCCGAAAACATGCAGGGCCAGGCAGTTGCACTTAGAAGGGGTGTAGGAATGCAAAATACCGTACAACCGATTGTATGGTGTTTCCCGTACATACGAGGCGAGTACTCATTTTAAAGTAATTATATACTCATTTTTTTGAAACTCAATTATGTTTGAAAATGAATAATTAGTTACTCGATAATGAGTATTCGTGCAGATATATGAAAAATACCGTACATCTAGATGTATAGTATATGTACTCGTGTTAGGAGACTTCTCCCACATCAGAAAAGAAACAAAAAGAAGTTCAACATATAAGTCTAATGATCTCTACTTCTATCATCAATCGGTCTTAGGTTGGAACTTCATGGACTTATATGTTAGGCCTATAATTAAAAATGAAACTTTAGATTCACAAATGATAAATTTATAAAATTTTTATTTGTGTTTTGGGATTTTAAAATTTCTAGTTTAGAACGGATTTGGAAGAAATGATGGATAGACGTGTAGAATGTCCACAAAGCATAATAAAATGTTTTGTTGGAGTTCTCACATCGGAAAATAAAGATGAGTATCACTTGCATATAATGAAGGGTGAAGCCCTACCTATTAGCTTAAGCTTTTGGGTTAGAATTGTAGATCCCGACTTTATATGCAAGTGGTTAATTTTACCCGACACTCTATCCGTTGTTCTTGGCTCGCCGGAATTTTAACATGGTATCAGAGCAGGTCCGGTGCAGGTTTGATTGTTCCTAGTTATTTAGATGTGGGTTTAGCAAAAATGAGCTACCCGTATGTGATTTGGGCTGAGTTGGCTAAAAAGAGATTGAGATGCTACCGCCAGTTTTGTGGGCTAGCTATAAGAGATTGAGATGCTAGACCCGTTTGTCCAAGTGCTAACTGGGCCAGGCTAGTTACCACTTGCGGGAGAGTGTTGGAGTTCCCACATCGGAAAATAAAGATGAGTATCACTTGCATATATTTAAGGGTGAAACCCTACCTATTAGCTTAAGCTTTTGGGTTAGAATTCTGGATCCCGACTTTATATGCAGTGGTTAATTTTACCCGACACTCTATCCGTTGTTCTTGGCCCGCCGGAATTTTAACATATTTGTTGTGCACCGGGCAAAAGCACGGAGTGCCCCAAGAAAATAAATTCGAGTTTGATTCCTGACAAATGCAATAAGTACGAGGCACAGACTGCAATTCTGATGCCACCAATCTACTATTAAAGTTTAATTTACTTTCTCTCAGTGTCCGTCCAATCGAGTCTGAAGGGACCCTCGAAGATGAGCTCATCCTTTTTTACAAAATCATAAAATGATTTTCATAGCTATAATGAATAAGTTCTCTATGGACAAATGAAATGAAGTCAGAGCTACAATGTGTCTCTTGGTCAAATTATATTCCTATCTTTCTTTACACACTTGCGGAGTATATGTCTAGAGATAATTTATTAAAAATAGAAAAATCGAATTATTTTTATTCTTGAATACTTTTAATTTAGTGTTATATTCAGTAATATATTTCTAGAAATTTTATTTTGAAATTTTTACATTAATTTTAATAAAATTAAATTGCAAATAATTTGAGAGGATCCGAACATAAAGAATTTTATAGGGAGATTGAGATTTGAGAGTATCTTTTCTTATTGATTCCTTTATCATTTAGGTCTAATAATTATTTAGAGCATCAGCATGTCACCGACTCTAGAGTGAATGGAAGTGGCCGTCACAGCACTTCGTGTAGTGGTTAATCATTTAATTTTGGAAAATGCTAAAGTTCTCCTAAATGGTTTGTACAGATGAGACTATTATTTGTGTGGTAGAGATGACTATTATCTTAGTTATCCTTAGCGAAGTTTGAGTGCACCCATGATAACAACCATTTGAATGCACCATGGCATGGTCCAATCATTTTAGTACCGTAGTTACTCCTTCCCTCTGATCCCCTATAAATCTTCTTATTATTAGATTTGATCAGCTTTATTTTTAGTCTAGCTTATTTGATTGCAAGTGTAAAATTTGAACATAAAATCTACATAGTAAAAATTTTATGAAAAACCTATAAAACAATATGTGACAGGAGTATATATTTTATGAAATGAAGAGTAAAAAACTAACAAAGTAAATTAAATTTGACCTTGTGAATAATATGTGAGAAGATCTATGAAAGACAGAATGAATGTGTCAAATGAACATTTATAAAATAATTTTCTTATGGTGTGTAGAGAAAAAGAAAGAAGAGAAAGTAAAGAGAAAAATATAATTACTTTCTACTAGGTAGATCAATTTTTCTTTACTAATTGATTGATAAAATAATGATTATGGTTACATATATATTTAATTATTTACCACACCTAAGAAATTCTAATTGTAGAGAGTAACTAAATCAACCAAGATATTATTAATAAAGAGTACTTATTTGGTGCACCTTGCGTGCATTTCACTTTTATGACCTTCTCACATCAATTTTTATTAAATTTTTTATTAAAAAAATAAATGCGTATTAGAAACAAATTTGACTCTAAAGTAAACTAAATTTTGTGGGGGCAATTGGAAGGGTGAGAGTAGGTTGAGTTCGGGCCGGACCAGGTAGAAGGTTTACTGGGAATAGGAACCATCAATTTTTTTAACGAAACACCGCAAATGTCCCAATTATAACCAATATCATAAGATGACATGGGGAGTTAATGTCACCCGAACTTCCCAAAAAATGCATTATGATAGATACTAATAACCACTTTCTTTGTTTTTCTCAAAAATTGTTTGGATGGTAAACATTTCTCCTCTCATCAGCCATGGTCTGAGTGCTCTAATGATGATGGATTCTAAGTAATTAATTTTTTTTCTTTGAACAAAGTTAGCAACTAATTAATAGTCATCCATCATATCCACATTTGGCTTCTCTTTATTTTCTGCACCGTTCATTTTTCTTTTGTTATTTTTTGTCTCAAAATAAATTTTTATGCATTATTCTTTCTTTTTGATTTTTTATTTAATTATTTTCAATCCACATTCATTCAAATTGGATACTGGGTACGTAAATACTTCCGCTATCCCAAAATACTGATTCAATTTTACTCCCTCCGTCCTTAAATATTCACAACATTTGCTTTTTTAGCAGTGTCGGAAACTTTTGTTTATTTCGGTGTTTTCATTGATTATTTGATAAAATAAAATATTCTTGACGCCTCTTATTTCGAAAAACTTTTCATGTAGTTTTTTTATATGTAAATTTTATTTTTTATTTCTTTACCAATATGTAAATAAAATGAATTGAAAAAACTTGATATTTTGTCTTGGGAATACAAATGTGGCAAATAATTTGGGACGGAAGGAGTACATTTTTACGCTCAAACTCGGCGCACTTGTTTTAAATAAATACTCCGTAATTAAAAACAGTACACCCATTGGTTATTATGGTGTTATTATGAAGTACTACATTTATGTTGGCCACTTATAGTTTCTGTTTTAATTTACGATGTTACATTATAGTTATTTTGAATTTAATTTTAAAAAAAATTAGTCTGAAATTTCATACACTAAAAATTATTACAAAAATTATACAAAATAAGAGATGTGAAATTTTAAGACAATGACAATTATCTCAATAAATATCTCCATGAAATAATTATGAAAACATTAATTTGGAGTCATCTACCTTAATCGTAACATTTGTCTACAAAATCTTTCCGAAACGCCAGAAAATATCACAAAAAAAAAGATTTGAAATTGATTGAAAAATAAATAAAACTAAATTAATTAAAAGATTGTACTAAAAAATAATTTGAACACTCCGCATAAATTAAAAGCCCCTTAATTGGTCCCCATCCTTATTTCGGCCCAATGGAATGGGCTTAAGTAACTTTTCTAATTGCAGGAGGCCCACGTCTTCTCCCATATGTCCTTTTTTAATATTGTCATATATGTCCTTGATCATCTAAAATCCTTCGTATTTGCATATAATTATTTAATTGCGATAATTCAAACAGGAAGAAATTATTGAATAATCTCAATTTTACTTCAAAAAATAATCTCGCTTTTTACTGTGGTGCATAATAATTTCACCTTTAATGAAATGTGGCGTTCTGAGTCGCCGTTAAGCTGCTAACGGTTAGCTAACGGAAATGGCTTGTTTTACACAGCAAAATGAAAGTTGAGATTTTTTTAATAAATTTTTTATTTTCTTTTTAATTTTTTGAAATTTTCCATTAAATTTTAAAATGTTGTTTTACCTCCATCAATTTTTAAAACTAGTCATCAGAAAAATAAAAAAACAGAAATATTAAATAATGAAAATGAGAAACACAACTAAAAAAAAATAATGAAATGAAAAAGTAACTAATAAAAACTAACCTCAAATTAGTAAGAAATAAAAATTTACGCAGTGGTGGATTCTAACGTTTTACGCACTATACGGAGCATTAGTGTATTATTTCTTCTTATTGGTAAAATTTGAAAATAAAAATAAAAAAATTATTTTTCTTATTAAGGAACAACTAGAATGAAATTACGTTGAAGAAAATAAATTTTTTATATTTTTATTTTCAATTTTAGGGTTTTAATAAGAAGGAAATTTTTTATTTCTTGTTTTTATACCAAAGGTTTTATGCTGAAACAAATTTTTTATTTTTTTTTTGTGCAAAACAAGACATTTCTGATAACCAGCCGTTAGCAACCTAAAACAATTCAAAACTGACAAATTTCAATAAAATTGGGATTGTTATGCATCACAATGAAATGTAAGATTATTTTTAAAAGTCTTGGTAAAGTTGGGATTGTTCTGGATCGTTTTTCTTTAAAAATTTTCATTTGCCCTTCTAAGTTTTGGAGGATTAATATAATACTCCGTATGAGTTTTGGAACTTGCATGAAATAATACGGGCTCTATAATCTGAAATGAAAGTGTGTAATAAAATTTAAAATTCTTATTTTTAGTGATGGATAGCAAACAATAGGAAAAGAACAAGGGCGGGCAGGGGACATTCTGATAGCTCGCGGTGTGGGTGATCAACAATTAAAGGAGATATAAAAGAAATCTCTTTTTTCGACACTCTAAAATAATGACTCTAGCTAGACTTTGACAAAAATCAAGTCACAAAAAGAGTTTAAATATGGTTATATGCACGTATATTCACACACATCACATTTCCTCATTATATTGACCCAAAAAAACATTTTTTTAAAAAAAAAAACAAAAAAACAACTTTATTTGCCAACTTGTTCCTCAATTTCCGTTTTTTACTCATTCAGAATTCATTAAAATTTAAGAATGTAACGTATTTTACCATAGTTGCTTAAGAACACAAGACCTTCATGTGTTTGGAATTTGGATGTAACTAATTAAAAAAAATCTTGTTGCTAACACATATTTGGCATTTCTCAAACTAAACCTCTTCATTTAACTGCCAGCTAAAGACTATATCAAGAAACTGACACAATTAAAAACTCAAATTTCTGATTATATATTCAAAATAAGTTTTATACTCCATCCGTTTGGAAAAAACCTTCCCATTTGATTTGAGGGCAAAAATAAGGAAGTGTTAAATTATAGTTGATTTCCAATTTTGCCCCTGATGTGATGGGTAAAAGTAAGATGTGATGGATAGATTATTAGAGAAAAAGTATGATGTGATAGGTAGGGTAGGAAAAAGTAAGGGTAAAAGTGATTTTTTAATAGAAAGGGGAAGTGTTTTATTGGAAGTGGAAAAAATGAGAGAAGAAGTGTTTTTGAAAACGGATGGAGTATTATAACCAGAGAGAGATCTTCTCCCTAATTAAATAATCATGTTTGGGATACTCATTTTTAGCCCTAATTAATTAAGTTTAACACCAGTCTTTATTACATTCTATTCCTAACACAACATTTTCCACCACATGTACTACTAATTGTAGTTGTTTTTTTTGAAGCAACTAATTGGAGTAGTAGTTAATGTTTTAAAAAATTAAGAATAGTACTAAAGGTCGTCCTTACATGCCATTGTTAATACAACATTGATATTGTACTCTACTTGTCTAAAATAATGCTTGGATTTATTGGAGTCCGGAATATATTTTTACCACCTAGAATGAATATAGTACTCCCTCCCTCCCTTAAAACATTTTAACTTTCACTTCTTATCCGTCCCATAAAACATTTCAATTTTGTCTAAATGGACACAATTGCCCTTACTTTTCTTAAGTCTTACCGAACGTACTTCAACTACCTTCTACGTTCTACTCGTTTTGATATTTTTCGAGTCCAACTTGTTTCAATTGTCGTCGTTTCGACTTAGTAAAACTTCTATATCTTCCCTTCCCAAAAGTCAAAATGGGAAAAGTTTTCTAGGACGGAGGGAATATAATGTATTTTAATTTTCGGATTGCTCGGACGGAAAATAATTGAGTTCAAGGTCTCAAGTTCGAACTTCGACAACGACTGTGGAAGTGAGAAACACCCACTAAATTTCTTTTGGTGACAAAAAGGCGAACTTTCATTTTAGAGTAATAAATACTCTCTGTCCCAATTTGACTCGCATGTTACTTCGGGGTAGTATTTATGACATTTTACTGTAGTTTTTAACTCAATTTATTTGAAAACTGGTATGAAATTAAAAAATTAAGCATTTTAAAACTACAGCGAAAGTTCTACAAAATAAAAGATGACAAGATTATATTATTTTGGCGAAAATCGGTAAAAAATGTGGTAGTAAAAGTTTGATCATGTGAATTCTTAAACAGACAAATTAAATTAGGACGGAAGGTGTAGAATTTTGGGTTCTATATATTCAGTTCGATCAGCTAGCTCCCTCCTTCGTCCAATCTCTATAACCATTCTATATTTAATTATTCTTTTATTTATTTCATTTGTTATTGTTCTTGAAGGGTTTTTTTAATCAATAATTATATACTGTTTCCCTTGTTCAACACTCGTGCCAACATGTTTCAAGGATCTTCTTTTCTTCGTCGACTAATTAACCATTCATCCCCGCTAGCTCAGGTTTTTAAAAAAATTGTTATAATAATTTTGTATTTTAACCATTTTATGAATGTTAATATCCCAAATGGGAACCTTTTTGAAGACTAATTATAATGCTGACTATTATTATTATTATTATTATTATTATTATTATTATTATTATTATTATTATTATTATTATTATTATGATTTAATTAATAATGTGTAGCTTGGAGGTAGACGAACCCTTGTCTCTCATGCCACATCTTCTTTACGCCTAGCCGTTGATCCTTACAGGTAAATTTAATTAACTCTTTGTAATTTATTAGTTCGACAAGTCATTTGCAAGTAATTATACACTGTAATAAATAAATCAGTGGAGATGAAGAGTGTGCGGATATTGATTGGGACAACATCGGGTTCGGTCCGAGGCCAACGGATTACATGTACGTCACGAAGACGGGCAAAGACGGGAGATTTGGGGAAGGAGAAGAAATGAAACTGAGTCGTTTCGGAGGCATAGAACTGACGCCGTTGGCTGGGGTGTTGAATTACGGGCAGGGATTGTTCGAAGGGGTGAAGGCGTACAGGAGAGAGTACGGGGGCGTGTTCGTTTTCAGACCGGCGGAGAACGGGCGGAGGATGCAGATGGGGGCGGACAGGATGTGCATGCCCGCCCCCTCCCTCTCTCACTTTGTCCGAGCGGTCAAACAAACTGCTCTCGCTAACAAACGTTGGGTAAGGCAATTATAATCTTATTTATGGTTTGTTTTGGAGCCCTAATAACTCTGTTACAATGGTAATATCCACTTTCTCAACTTATTGAAGCTCCGAGAGATACCGTCTCGAGTAGGAATAGAGTCACATTGAACCACAAGGCCTTGGGGTGCCCGAGGCTTAAAAGGGTCATAATATGACATTGAAATCCAATGTAAAAAGAACGGTGATAATTTTATATGTATACTCCATATATGCATGGGTGCAGATTCCTCCGGCGGGAAAAGGGTCTCTATACGTTAGGCCGCTGCTGCTGGGAAGTGGTCCGGTGTTAGGGGTTGCTCCGGCGCAGGAATACACCTTCATTGTCTTTGCGTGTCCCGTAGCTAACTATTTCAAGGTTAGTTTCATTTTAATTAAGGATTACTATACTTGTTTAATAAAAAGAATTTCTTATTGTTTTAAATAAAATATATACTCTCTCCGTCCTTTATTAATCTTCTCATTTACCATAGTCAAACTATTTGTTTTGTAGCACTTTTTACCTTCTTGTTTTTGTTACTCCGTATTACGAGTATTTAGGTGGGAGTCCTTCACAACCTTCTCCTCATGAAGATCCAGGCGCTTGTGTTGTCGAAATACGAGAAGAAACAACAACCATTAAAGGGAAGCACAACAACCTCATTGACCGAGGAGACAAGATCTTGAGTGCGTTTTGGGCCTACTATGGGCCATGTCACGGGCACGAAGACCACTATCTCAATTGTTGCACCTGTCTTGACTTGCATTGTTGATCATTAGGTGCAACTAATCTGTTCTTAATGGCATCTACACTCTTTTGTTGTCTTTTACACACGCCTGGTATGCGTTGCGAGGTTGAAGGGGGTGTGAAGGGTGCTAAATAACCTTTTGAAAAGAAAACTGAAGTGAAGAGAAGACTTTTTAGGCCTACATTCTCGCAACGCAGACATACAAGGCATGCACAAAGACAATGACAAAAGAGCGCAGATGCTATAAACTACGGATCGTTGCACCTCATGATGAACAACGCAGGCCAAGACTGATGCAACAACTGAGATAGTTGTCAATGTGTCCATGACATGGCCCGCACTCAAGATGATGTTTCCTCGGTCAATGAGGTTGTTGTGCTCTCCCTTCAATGCTCGTTGTTTCTTCTCGTATTTGGAGAGCACAACCGCTTGATCTGCCTACCTAAGGAGAAGCTTGTTGTGAAGGACTCCCACCTAAATAATACGGAGTAACAAAAACACGAAGGTAAGAAAACAATATAAACAACATTGTCAATGAATAGTGATGCAATGCCATACTAAAATCTCAAATCCCACCCTGTGGAATAGCCGTTGAAATCATTTCCGGTCTCTTCTCCGGTGGCGGAAATAACGGGTCGGAAGTTGACATGTTGGGTGATTGGGTGAGGATTCTTCGATTTGGGTTTGGGGGGAAGAGGATGGGCTACAGTGACTCACTCAATAAAGAAGCTACAAAGTGAATATATAAGATTGATTCGCATAAGTTTATTCCAAGATCAGTTAATAGTATCAGACAAATAAAAAAAGGACAAACTAAACACACTTAAGAAAAACATACATGAAAATTTGGTCAAATGAGGGGAGTTTATTTGATTTGAAAAGAGAAAACACACCAATTATAACAGTACGTATATACATATAACCAAATAATTTACTGCAGGTATATAATTAAATTGGCCATTTAACTGTTTAATTTGTGTCCATTTCACTAATTACTGAATTGTGTAATGTACATTTATTTATAGGAGGGGTCTTCATCATTGAATTTATACATTGAAGATGAGTTTCACCGCGCTACTCGTGGCGGCGCTGGAGGTGTCAAGAGTGTCACCAATTATGCTCCGGTGCTTACCGCATTTTGATTATTATTATCATGGAGTATCATTATTCATTTATACTATTCTTTTCTTGATAATGTTTACTCTCTCGTCCTAAAAGTAATTTCCCAGTTTGACTTTCGTGGTCAATCTTTTTGAACTTTGACCACGTATTATGGAAAAAATACATTGAGCTTTTGTATAAATTTAATATCAATAGATTCATTTTAAAACATAGTTTTGAAATATTTTATTTTTATAATATATATTTATATATAAATAGAGATATTGATGATCAAAGTGTTGTATTGGAGACCGTGAAAAGTCAAATGAGAAGTTAGTTTTAGGACGGAGGGAGTAATATTTTACGACCACATATATATAATATAAATAAATACTACGTAGGTTTTGAAGCCCATAATGAGAGCAAAAGAGAAAGGATTCTCAGAGGTGCTATACCTGGACTCAGTCCACAAACGCTATATCGAGGAGGCCTCCTCCAGTAACATATTCATCGTCAAGGTATATATGTACCTACATATTTTTTTTGCCTGCTTGACTTATAATGGTCAGATTTTATAAATTTGGACCAAATTTCATACAGAGAGTAAATTTATCAATTATAATGTGAATATATTCGGTACTAATTAAAGGAGTAATACAACATCGTTATAAAATAAATGAATGAATTAATGAATTGAATAGGGGAAAGTAGTTTCAACTCCCCCTGCAAATGGAACCATCCTTGAAGGTGTCACTAGGAAAAGCATTATGGACCTTGCACGTGATCAAGGATTTCAAGTAATTAATCTCTTTATTACTTTTAAATTGTTGACTTAATTAAACACTAATGGAGTAATTAATTATAGTAATTTGTTTGTTACCATAATGATGAGGTGGAAGAGAGGCCGATACACGTGGATGAACTAAAAGAGGCAGAAGAAGTATTTTGTACAGGGACTGCAGTTGGTGTTTGTAGGGTGGGAAGCATCACCTACAAAGGCAACAGGTTTAATTACTACTTCTACCAACTTTGCCTTGATTGTACTTATTATTAGTACAGTAATTAAGCTCATTCTACCAACTATGTATATATACCTACTATAGCTTTTATTCATCTGTTGTGTGGTTAATTGTATATGTGCAGGATTGAGTACAAGATCGGGTCTGAAAATGTTGTGCATAAATTGTCGTCGGGTCTGGCGGGGATTCAGAGTGGCACCATTGAGGACAAGAGAGGATGGGTTGAAGAGATTGGACAATAATTCATTTCATCCTCCATATATTGAATTTATTATTTGTTATTATTTACTCCTAATGAATGCTCATACTATAATATATATACTCCGTATAAAGGACATTTGTTATGTTGTACTTGATTTAAATTATTACGAAGTACTCTGTATTTTATAGAGAAAATTCCAGTTGCAACATTGAAACTGGTAATGGGAGTGTTCTTAAACTCTAGCAATTGCTTATGGCTTTTGACATGGGTTCTTAAACCCCTCCCCCAAATTTTATCTTCCCTACCACCAAGCCTAAAGGGTAGGCAACCTAGTTTAAAAAAATTCAACATGCTAAAAACCAACAAAAACTAAGAAGAAGAAATGCCTTCCTAGTTCTTAGACTTTAAGATAACATCTTTTATTTCCCCCCTGTACCAAAATTGTAATATATATATATATATAAAGTTTAAACTTTATATTTCTCATTTTTTTAAGGAGAAGAGTACTTTCTCTCTTTTCTTAAGTCTGATATATCTTGGGGTTTAGCGCAAGATCAAGCAGAATGTTGCTAGCTTTGAGATCTATGTGGATAATATGGAGCATATTCTTTCAGGGGAATCTTGATGAAGATACATCAACTCTCAAGCAATTCCAATAATTATGTTGTTCCATTTATTCCACTCGAGTAACTCATTTGTTGTTTCATCTGTCACACTTTTCTTTGTTACTAAACTCGGGCCAATGTTATAAAATGTCTCGCTCGGTAAAGGTTGTTTGGCTGAAATGAATGATTTTGATAATATATTCTGTACCGAGAATAGTTCGGAACATTCATTTCAACCAAAGAAGCATGCCAAATATGGCTACCAAATGGAGCCTTGATCTTTAACTTATAATGTATACAAATGAAAAGATGTATGGACATACCGAATATGAAGAAGTCTGAGCTCTTGTTAAGCAAGTATTCATAGATCAACATTTTCTCTTCATTCCCCTCCAGTTCAGCAACCCCAAAGCGTGGAAATTGCCTTTTCACTGCTACTACTCCCCCATCGAACACACCCTAGGAAATCAAACTCGAGAAATTAATAGTATTTTTAGCAGTGTTTTAAAGGAGTTATGGTTTACGGGTATCAGGTGGGGTCCACGTGGTACTTGTATACACCTGAAGCTGTTGCTTCTTCCCTTCCATACTGTGACATAAAGCTTGTAGCCAGACACTAGATTCCATATTTCTAGCCCAGTTTCATTCCAAGCAGGGAATGAAGAGTTGGGTAATCAAAACTTTGCCAGAGAAAACTCTCCAGGTTTTCATCCTCTGTTTCTTGGACCACAAGATTCCCAATATCCAGCAGTTCTGCAGTGGTATTTCAAGCTGATCTGGAAGCATTCTTGGCAATGTCTGCCAGGAGTGACAGGTTGCCACCAAGATGTCTTGAGGTGAGGACAACTAGGGTTAAAAGACAAAGGGAAAATCCATAATAACATTAATTGTATCCCACACTCAACAACTTTCCTAGAAGTGGGGCCGTGGGATATAATACAATGACACGGAGATATCCCGTATAACTATAAATGCACCTCCTTACTGCAAATAGGGGAGTCAAATTCTTAATAGAGCAAGAGTCCATATAGCTTCATCTTCGATGAAATATTACGGAGTACATGATATATACTATGATAATGTCATAGTATTTCCAGTTGATTACTCCATAAGCAATGTAACATTTGGTGCAAGATTACATGGTCCCGCGAAAAGCACGGGGTAAAAATCTAGTATACACTCAAATATTATTTGATAGACACATGAAAGTACCACTTGAAGGACCACCCCATAAACTTTGGCTGGCAAAAACTTTTGTAGCCACCATCCTTAGATGAGTGCAGGCATTGGGAAACCAAAGCAGAGTAAGAATCGTGTTGTATCAGTGCATACGGCTCTTCCTTTCCAACTTTATTGCCTCATATGACTTCAAAACTTCTTTAAACTTTGCTTCGGCAAACTCTATAGTCACAAAGATATGTAACTTTAAATAATTGTAATTAATGCACAAGGTTCAGCAGTAAAAGATTACTTGAAACTATTATTGTTCTCAATGTGTACAACAAACCTTTGTTATCTTGATTCTGGTCAGGATGGAACTTCTTTGCCTTCGTCCTAAAGGCCATCTGCACCATAAAGGAAAACACAGCTGCAAGTCATTTTCGACAAAAATTGAACTAGGGGTAGTAGTGTCAACATATATCATCGAGTTGACGAGTTCAAATAAGCCCGACATGTCCAGCAACATATGAGAGCTCGGGTTTCGGCATCAATAATAAAAAATACAACTGGTTAGGAAATCCAATGATTATAAACTAAAAACTCACTGAGAACTTGAGAAGAAGTAGCTATAACATCGGTGATTTAGAAAAAGGTAGTGATTTGGAAAAAATATTGATTATGAACATGTACATATATTTCAAAAGAAATTTTACAATATTTAAAGTCGGGTTCTTTTGAGCCAATGTCACATTGTGATATTATGGCATATGACAGTGGCTCCATTTGAGGGCCCTACGGAGGGGGTCTAGGGGGCTGGAGTGGGCTGCAAGGGGAGCAAAGAGTGGGGGTTTATGGGGAGTTGGGAGGATAAGAACCACTTTGAGGTTGAACAGAGTACTGTAGGCCCTCAAAAGGACCCAATGTCATATTATGATATTGGTGCTCAATGTCAAAATAACCAAAGTGTTTATAATAAACACATATTTTAAATATAATTCACCGAAATTAACAAACTAGGTTGGAGGTTGCCTCGAGCAGGAAAAAGCTAAAATGAAATTGCATTGAAGGCTAAAACAGTGGAAAGAAATTGCAAGTTTAGGATGAAAATCAACCTGTTTTACTCTACTAAACAAATCTAATGCAACTCAAAGCCAATATAAAGGAAGATTGATGCTTTAAAAAGAAGAAACAAATTACCTTTATTTCCTCATCTGTATAAGGCTCTGTCCTTGTCCTGCTCATAGATTAACAAAACTGTGAAGGTTTGAACTTAGGTCTTAATTATAACAGTATTAAGGTAAGGAATTATTGGTCACATGTACTCCATACATCTCCAAATTAACTTTCCATTTCTCTTTTTTAATCCATTCGTCTCATAATTAGCTTCAGTTTCCTCTTAAGAAACAAAATTGCGGTTGCTATTTTTTACTTCATTTCTAAATGAATCACAGACCTACAATTTCATTCTCTTAGCCCCAAAAGAAAATGTGAAGCTAGTGTGGGACACAAGGATAAGGACAACAACAACAACAACAAACCTAGTGGAATCTCACAAAACATTAGGGTCTAAGAAGGTGTGTGCGCAGACCTAACCCCTACTTGGAAGTAAAGACGTTTCCAAGAGACCCCCGGATCGAACACAAAAGTACGGATAAAGTAAATACAGTAGCACAAACAAAGGAAGATCAAGAGCACAAACACAAGAAACACATATACTAACACTAGACCCAAAGTGCAGGAAAAACACATTCACAAGCTACAAAGGGACAGTTAAGAACAAAATATAAAATTTGCACCTCTCAAGACCCAACACAGAATAGTGATGGGACAATAAATGATTTGTACTAGCCTTAAAAGGCTCTCTGAAATTAGATTCTTGCTCTCTATGTGAAGAATCGGCTTTCCAATACCAATCGTTCTTCTGGAAATGTTGATGATATGCACCCCCGTTCTCTGCCCCCCATCCCTCGTAGCTTTTTCTGTATGCATCTCTCTTTCTGTTGAAAACACTTTGCATGCGGCGTATACGCTCCTAGGTTGCCCAAGCACAAAGGGCACAAAGAAATGAGTCTTGAGCTTAATGAGCTAAACATTGTTCGATTTCGGGACATACGTATATATGGTATAATAATCAACAGCGAAGTAACCAAAAAAACATCGAAAGGAAATTTTATAAGGTGAGAGAATATATCTTACCACTCTCTCCATTTCTTCTTCATGCTCTTCTTGCATCCTCTTGTGGTATCTCTTCCAGGCTTCCTCCTTAGAGCTTCTCCAGGAAGAACGTCCTGCTGTACCTTTCCATGCTGACTGTGACCTGCTCAACTTTTGCCATCCAATGGCATATCCATGAATCAGCAGTGACTAGAAGGATGTTTAAATCAATTTTAGGTGGTACACCTTAGAACTTGGCAGGGGGTTAAAACCACACAATATGATATACCTGAGAATACACCCAATTTATAGTCCAGCGCAATTGAGTGACCTGAATTTATTTCGGAAACTATGAGATACAAAAGAAAATATTCAAATGCAAAAGCTAAAAAACAAGAACCTCAAAAAACCCAGTAAAATCCCACAAAAATAGGTGTGTGGATGGTGTGCGTGCCCAGACCTTACACCTACTCAGACGTAAAGAGGCTATTTTGGAGAGACCCCGACTCATACACAGAAGCATAGATAGCACGAACAGAGTAAAAGCTCCTAGACAAGAAGCAGAGGGCAACTAGAACCAAAGCACATTTGTACACATGCTCACACTCAAATACTAAAGCTCATATTACTTAATTTGAGAACACAGATTCAGGGAATCAATTGCTTGACGCAGAAAAGAAGGAAAAAAAAAGCAATAACTTAATCAGAACAAAACAATTTCTATGAATCACAGAGCTTAATAATCAGTGAAACTTTCAATGTTTCCAGGGAGAGAACTTACGGCGAAAGTGGTGGCGGTAGCTCCGATCAATCCGAAAACAAGAACGCCCCAAAGTCTCATGCCGTCCTCCGCTCTCGGCGGCGGTTGATGATGGCGAGGCTCGTCCGGCCGCGGCCGTGGACTATTATCCCCTCCCTGTTCCCCGCCGACCTCCTTAGTCGTCATTATTGTTCCTCACCTTTAATTACTGGAGAGGATACAGCCGCATGCTACTGGATTTCGTCTTCTCCTCTGATTTCTCTCGATTTTTGGTGGAAGACAATCAGATCGTAACCCGAGCGAAGGGCCGGGTCGCGCAAGCATTCACAGGCCGAAAAACATTGTTCTTAATTTCTAATTAAGGGCTGGTGGAGGGGTTAGAAGCATTGACAAATGACAACTAAAAAAGATGGAACATATGTATCATTTCAAATAATAAAAAATAACTTAATTAGTGTGTGGTAAGTAAGTGGAATAATATGTTTTGGAGTGATAATTCATTGTTTTTATCATTTTTTATACTTTTTTAACATATGGAGTATTATAATTATTAAAAAATTTACTCACCTTTTTTCATAAAAATAAATATACTTTAAAAAAATCTTTCTCGTACAAAACAATAAAATAAAATAAAGATTCTCTTGTGCTTGGCTCGGCTTGCAGGGTGCCTCGCACTTGGCTCGCATAGTAAAAGGAGAAAGCGTGATGAGGTGGCATGTATGGTAGTGGCTTTGACACGATTAGTCATCCTCTAAATCTCAACGCATTTTGAAACACACTAGGTTTTATTCAATTTTATTATTACTATGGAGTATAATACTATATGGGACAAATTTTTTGACAAAAAAGAAGTGTGACAAACCCATTTAGTTTTGAATCAGATCATTTTGAACTAACTCAATCTATTTTAGACTTGACTTGTATTGACTCTGTCGATTTTAGAACATGGAACCAAAATCACTACTCGTATATTTTTACCATATTCGTCATGACGTTTGCTCTTAGAAGGCTTTTAAGTGCAGTAACGAAAAACATCGCCAACTTTGACTTACTTGATGACTGCATCTCTAGATGAGTAAAAAAAATCTTAAAGACAACTCTTCTTTTATATGTTGAACCAATGCAAGGTGGGTGTAAGAGGGTTTGGAGTATGTCCACGTACCAGTCTAGCTCCCGCACCAGCCCGAGCCACGCCGCACGCAAAAAAAGTGACCGAATAAATTTATGTATGGTGTCTAAAGACCAAAATAATTAAAAAATTCTACTCTAAAATTAGAAAAAGTGAATGCCATCCAGGATTATTACATAGAAATAAAATACAAGTATTGAAAGTAATTTTTTTTCTTTACAACGGTATGATTTATGGGCAAAAAAAACCCCAAAAAGAAAAAAACAAAACTGAAAATTAGTTTATTCATTTTTTCACTTTTAATAAATAAACATAACGCAGGACCCTATGGGGAGCTAAAGATCAGATGATGGTTAAATCCTCCTCCTCCTCCTTCATCATTCTTTCCGTGTGTGATTAAAGAACAATTAAGGCATGTTTGTTTAATTCTTTTTTCTCCCGATCCACTCATTATATTTTTTTTCGAGATTCTAAACATTTCAAGAATCCGCCATTGTTAATTATACTGCCATATTTAAGCTAATTACTCACGGATTTATCCAAATTAAATAGGAAGGAGGAGATCCAGGATCCATCGTCATTGTTTTGCATGGGAAATTAAATCAAATCTGTATTCTGTGTTTTTTTACAATTTACAATTTACATACCTGTGTAATATATATTGCACGTATCGACTCTGTGTATGTTTTAATTATATACTCTGTATATAATTATTACACATATATACGGCGTGTCAATTTCGTAGATAAATCTTCTACTTTTTTTAAAAAGAAATTACCATTCTCGAGTTCCATTTCAAGACTGTAAATTCTTGCCTGCGCCAGAAAGATCGTGTCTTTCATATTCGTATATCTATTTAAATATGTACCAGGAAATTTAAAGCTGGGATTTATATAAAAAAAGAAACTAGCAGTTTAAAGATTTGATCTTTTTTTCTTCTGTTTCATTGTTATATGGTCCTTTTTTAAGTTTGATTTTATTTCCCATTCTTGGAAAGCTTGAACCAAAATCCAAGACGTGTTGAGCTGTTACCCTTATAAATATTCTCTCTCTCTCTCTCCTTCTCTTTCTCTATCTCTTTCTCTTTCTCTCTCTAAACTCTTAAACATACCCACCCTCCCCTGCAAGCTGTAATTGAGTGATATAAGCTGCTCTGTGAATCCAAGAATTGGGAATGGAGTCCCAATAGTGTTGGGATTTCTGGGTATTGCCCACTGTTTTGATCTTTGAGCTGAAAGATTGAATCTTTGATGATGGCCCCCTCCTTTGGTTGGTGGGCTAAGAAGCAAAGCCACAGAGGAACCCCTGTGGTGGTGAAGATGGAGAATCCGAACAACTGGTCAATGGTGGAGTTGGAATCTCCGTCGGAGGAAGATTTCCTCCCCTCGCCGCCGACAAATCACCGCCGGGACAAGGTACGGAACAAAAACGCCAAGCAGCTAACATGGGTTCTCCTCCTCAAGGCCCACAAGGCTGCCGGCTGCCTGACCTCCATTGCCACCGCATTACTCGGCCTCGCTTCCGCCGTACGCCGCCGCGTTTCTTCCGGGAGAACCGACTCCGCCGACACCAGCGCGGCGGAGAACCCGGATGTCCACACCCGGTTCTATGTCTGCTTAAAGGTGTTTCTTTTTCTCTCTTTAGCCATGTTAGGGGTTGAGATTGCTGCGTATTACAAAGGGTGGCACTTGACCGCCGCAGATCTTCAGTTACACTACCTTTACACTTTGACTGATCCTTTGGCTGTTAAGGGCGCGTTTGATTGGCTATATTCCAAGTGGGTTTTTGTTAGGGTGGAATATATTGCTCCTCCTCTTCAGTTCATGGCCAATGTCTGCATAATTCTCTTCATCATCCAAAGTCTAGACCGGCTTGTACTCTGTTTGGGATGTTTCTGGATCTGGTTAAGGAAGCTTAAACCTGTTGCCAAACAAGGCATAACAGATCTGGAATCTGGGTACTTCCCCATGGTTCTTGTTCAGATCCCCATGTGCAATGAAAGAGAGGTCTGTTCATAAGCTCACATTCTTTATGAATTTCCATAAAATTTTCTTGGGAAATGCAGAAATGCGCATTTGATGTTTTTTTTTGTTTTTCTGTTACCAGGTTTATCAGCAATCTATAGCTGCTGTTTGTAATCTAGATTGGCCGAAAACAAAAATCTTGATTCAAGTTCTTGATGATTCAGATGATCCAATTACCCAGTCTTTGATCAAAGAGGAGGTTCATAAGTGGCAAAAGGAAGGTGCAAACATTTTGTACAGGCATAGAGTGATTAGGGAGGGATATAAAGCCGGTAATCTCAAGTCTGCCATGAATTGCAGCTATGTTAGGGACTACGAATTCGTTGCCATTTTCGATGCCGATTTCCAACCTATGCCTGATTTCCTCAAACAAACAGTCCCTTATTTCAAGGTATTGCTTTCCCTCTTTTGAAAAAAAAAATTCCACCTTTTTCATTACTTAAATTGCTGTCTAAGTGTCCGTGTGGGTAATATCTTCAGCGTGTTGAAAAGTTAATCAAAACGCTAATGCTACTTGAAAACGTTGTTTCTAAATAAATAGGGCATAAGGCCAGGCCATGCTTGTTAGCACTAATGTAGTATTATTCTGCGAAAAACTCGGTTGATAGGGTTCTAATTCATACTATTTGAATGATATGAATCTTCAAGGGGCTATCTCCTTTGCTTTTGAAATGTAGGGCAATGAGAAACTAGGATTGGTCCAAGCAAGATGGTCGTTTGTGAACAAGGATGAAAACCTGCTAACCAGATTGCAGCTGATTAACTTAGCATTCCATTTTGAAGTGGAGCAGCAAGTGAATGGGATTTTCTTGAAATTCTTTGGGTTCAATGGGACCGCAGGAGTGTGGAGGATAAAAACACTGGAGGAGTCCGGTGGTTGGTTGGAACGCACAACCGTCGAGGACATGGACATTGCTGTCCGCGCTCACTTACATGGTTGGGAATTCATCTTCCTCAACGATGTCGAGGTATTTCTTTCTATTTCTTTCCTCTTATTGCCAATTGGTTTCAGGTTGGAACCTCACAGTTCTACACTTCCAATGTGACATAATAAAGAAAGACTGTAAACCATCGTATAAGGCAACATTGTAACAACGTGCGATTTCTGAATGGTTTTTATTTTAGTGCCAATGTGAGTTGCCCGAGTCATACGAAGCATACAGGAAGCAACAACACCGGTGGCATTCTGGACCAATGCAACTCTTCCGCCTTTGTCTGCCCGACATTATCAGAGCAAAGGTAGTTTTAAGAAAACATATGGAAGAAGTTTTAGGACATACTCTGTCTTATGTAGTTTTATTTAGCTTGTAACATTTGCATGTTCCCTACTTGATGCAGATAAGCATATGGAAGAAGTTCAATTTGATATTCCTATTCTTCCTACTAAGGAAGTTGATCCTCCCGTTCTACTCCTTCACGCTCTTCTGCATCATCCTCCCGATGACGATGTTCATCCCCGAGGCCACCCTCCCGGCGTGGATCGTGTGTTACATACCGGCCACCGTCTCCTTCCTCAACATCCTCCCCTCCCCCAAGTCCTTCCCCTTCATCATCCCCTACCTCCTCTTCGAGAACACAATGTCCGTGACGAAGTTCAACGCGATGGTGTCGGGACTCTTCCAGCTCGGGAGCGCGTACGAGTGGGTCGTGACGAAGAAGCTCGGTCGCTCCTCGGAGACCGACCTCACGTCGCTGGTCGAAGAAAGACCCAAGTGCAACCTGAGAGGCGGCACTTCGGCCCCGGATTTGGCCGAGCTACGGGAGGAGATCGACGGGGAAAAGGGGAAGAAACACAACCGGATATACACGAAGGAACTGGCCCTCGCTTTCCTCCTCTTGACGGCTTCCGTTCGGAGCCTCCTTTCGGCTCAGGGCATACATTTCTACTTCTTGCTGTTCCAGGGGATTTCCTTCCTGCTGGTGGGGCTCGACTTGATAGGCGAGCAGGTCAAGTGAAGGACAAGGAAATGTCAAAAGTACCCTTAGCTTTGACGGTGAAACGAGCGAGGCGGCGGCGGGGCTTGAATGAGGGAGGGGAAAGAAAAGAGTGGAGTTGAAAGAGAGATGGTCAAAGAAATGGTAAATATTGTTTTCATTTCGTTGGTGACTCTGTGATCGATGATGATATTATTTTTGATGATAAATATATGAAAAATGCCACGCCTCGGTTTCCTTGTAACTTTTTTTTAACGTCTCGTTTAGGATTCTTTTATTTTTCGGTTTTGTTCTTTGAAAGATACTCTCTTCGTCACAAGAGATGTTTTGATTTTAAAGAGATTTAAGAGGAGTATATTTTAGTATTGAATTTCTAAAAATATCTTTTGATGGATGGGTAAAAGTAAGATTTGGTAGGTAGATTATTATTCAAAATGTATGATGTGATAGATAGAGTATGAAAGAGTAAGGAGTAAAAGTGACTTTTTAATAGAAATAAAAAGTGTTTTTTGGGACGGATGAAAAAAAAAGAGAAAGGTTTCCAGTGACGGAAGGAGTATATTCTTTTGTAAGAAGAATCTATCCGTTGAGAATTGAAACATTCAAATTTGGAGACATTAAAATGCATTTATATTATCAACAATGAACATGGATATTACTAAAAAATATAAAAAAAATATACTTATACAGTATTATTACAATGTGAACTCCTGTTTAATGAATAAAAATATTAAATTCGTTTTTTAGAAATTTTTCTATGTTTTATTAGAGTGATTTCTTTAAATTTTAGACTTCACATTATTCTTCTTCTCTCAACATCATTTGAACTATGACAAATTTTTTCGTGCTCATGATTTTAAGTAATGGATATGATAAAAAAGAAAAGAAAATACTTCCGTCCCAATTTAAATTATCTGTTTTGACTTTTGGGCATATTTAAGAAAAATAAAAAATAGAGTTGATTTTTTGAAATTTTCATTACTTTTTAGGAAGGGTGACGATGAATGAGAAGATAAGATGAAGAAGAGTGACTTATTTTAGGAGTAGTTTAGGTATTTTACTCATAAAAGTTTACGATAACAAGTAACTAACAATTTATTTTGGAACGAAGAAAAAAAGGTAAACAGACAATTTAAAATGAGACAAAAAGAAAGTACCAAATAATGAGTAAATGCAAAATAGGAGAAGTCTTGAACAATCAAATGCGCAATAGTGACCCAAGAAGGAAAAGGGAAACGGGTGCAGTCAACAACACATGGGCTCGAATTTATTAAAAAAGTAAAAGAAAAAAACAATAAATGTAAAGTGGATGGGGGAGGAGGCGGTGCATGTGGCATATCTCCCCCGAGCGTGGGCCCACGGGATTTAAATTTGAGTGGAAGTGGATATGAAAAGGATCCCAAATCCCTCCCACCCACCTACCTACCTTACCTCCAGCATTGGTAAAATCAGCGACACGTCGCACACACACAGAAAAAGAGTGTTGCAAATTACGAGAATATTGACAATATTCTCTAGAACCGATGAGTGTTACGCAAATTCAATTCATGATAACTGTTAAGCATAAAGCCTCTGAAGAGACTTTTAATTCGGGAATGAGGCTAATCCTTTTCCTGGAACTAATTATCGGTTTCACCTTTAATGATCAATGGTGTTGAGTTGTCTCATCCTACATCCGCTAAACATGCCAATATTGTGCTACATTTAATATCTTGGATTCCTCAACCTCTTGAATTACCTTTTGGCTTTGAATTGAGCACAAGTCTATTATTTCACATGGCTTTATCGGAGCTAAAGCCATTGATGTTGGGACCGCGCCTATAGTAACATGTGCCCGTACTTTTTACACACACAGTAATTTCTAAATGAAATTATTTTGAAATGTATAAAATTTTGCAAGTTACAGTTCATTTATTAAGGGGCTGTTTGGCAACTTCTGAATAGGTAAGTGCTAAACCAGTAAGAGGTCTGAACCATTAAGTGCTGAACCAGTAAGAGGTCTGAACCATTAAGAGCTAGTATATTGCTTTAACTATTCAAAGGCAAATGTCTGATCAATTCAGATAAGAGGTCTTAACCATTCAGACTCTGTATAATACTTAACCATTCAGAGGCAAATCTCTTAACCATTCAAACATCTGAACCATTAAGAGGCTGAAACAAACAGTCTGAATCATTAAGTGCTGAACCATTCAGACATCTGAACCATTAAGAAGCTGAAACAAACAGCCCCTAAGATATTCAAAAAATTAGAAATAACGTCCAATTTAATTCTATTATTTTAAATGTGTTGGTAACTCATTATTTCAGATGACATGACAGCCAAAATAGTTTCACATAATTAAGTTTGAAATGACTTAGTTAGGCACGAGTAGCAATGTAAAATTCGGTAATTCTTCAAAGTATTGACACGCAAAAGAAAGTTCAGGGATAATTATATAATTAGTCAAATTTCGGAGTATACCGACGTAAAATTTTCCTATAAAGTTTCGCTCTTTTTCTATCAATTAGTCTAAAAAAATCCTCCATACCCTTTTAAAGAAGACCTATATCCCAGACCTCGTGGGATGCTGACCATGTTCGATTCTAGAAGTGAGTTGATGACATTAATTAGGTTAAGAATGTATGAACAAATACTATAATTGTAATAGTTCGAGTCAATGCCACTAAAAAACGAACATGTGACTTGCGATGCTTCTCATTAATTCGAAACAAATTATAATGTTACACTTTTCAACACTCTTCTTAAGTTTAATAAAAGTCAAATTATGTAAAGTTCTTTGGGAGGGAGGGGTTAAAAATTGGCACACAATGATTGTATCAACTCATTCAGATCATTGGTTTTTAGCTCTCTAAGCTCTTGATATGGATGATCATCTTAAGTACATTACAGTTGATGACATTCTTCTGCTAAAAATCGAAGAACAAAAGTATTTTAACTCTGGAAAAACATATTATATGCAGCTGCTACTCTCTTACCATTTCTGTCCATATTTCCCCATACATTCTGGACACAGACAAAGCTATAGTCTTTCATCAAAAGAAACAGTAACAATATTAATAAGTGGAAATTCAGTGGTGTAGAAATATGATTGTACCTGAAATAAGGGATTGTTTGGTGGTGTTGGGTTTGGGGTACTTGTGGAACGCATGGACGAGCTTGTTCCATGACCAGATCGAAGAAGAGACACGTCGCTTCTTTGGGTAGTAAAGATCTGCACCAAACGCGGAATAGCGGTTGATGCATGATAGATTTGAAATAGGAACGCAGTTAATTTATGATGTTTTGTCTGTTTCTGTTCACTTGCCTCTTTGGGCATTGCCCTTTCAATGCCAAGGTGAAATTCTGGGTTCACAGTTGCAAGTTTCATTGACAGAAACTCAACCTGCTGCTGGAGTGACTGCACATAGTTGATGATTTCATCCAGCATCACCGCTTTCCCAATTATCTGCATTCGTGATCATTCAATCTTTTATTGTGGTTTAACAGAGTGTCTTGTGGTCGAAATTCAGTGATCCCTTATTGCAGAATGGCAAAAGGATCGGAAAAACGCTACCTTATTGCAGCCGGGGACAAGTTCTTGGAGCAATCTAATCCTCTCACCGATCCTTTCTCTTCTCACCTGTAACGTTTAATTGGTTTTAGTAGAAGAAAATGAGTCCTCTCATTATATTGAAGATAGTTTTTACCCTTTCTGCAAGGCTATGAGGGTTTGTAGCTTGGCCTCTTTTAGCTCTCACATGAACATACTTTCCCTCATTACTAGTTTTCTTTGCCCTCAAATCGCCCGAGCCATTCGTTTCTTCTGTTTTTTGTTTCTTTTCGCGAATCTGTCTAAAACCATCTGGATTATATGCCAATGTACCCTTTGGCAGCCCCTCTTCAACATTCTACAACATAAGAGTATCAAAGAATTCATCACCAACAACCATTAGCTCCTACACACAGGACAAAGTAAGAAAAAAATGTTAGAATTTATGATACCTTGGACAGAGAAAGGGACTGTGATGAGAAAGGAACTTCAGAATTCCAGAAAACTTCTTGAGAATTTTGAAACTCCCACATATGAGATGGGTCTTGAACAAGTTCAGAGCTTGTGCAGATTGGGTGATTATCAAGAACATCTGGGAAGTGAAAACTCTGATCCATTGAAACAATAGGGTCCCAATCAACGGTCCGAAATGCAGCATAGCCAGAGCTCATATCACCATTTTCCCCACTACCCATTTCTTTTGCAGAATAGGAACCATCAATAGGAAAGAACCAATTTTCCCCCCTTATGTAGTAAACCCAAGAGACCAAGAATTAGTACTACTACTTATGAGCTCTCATTGTTATGCTCTCCACTGTTTACAAGAATCAAGAATGTAAGAAAAGGTAAAGTTGGGTTACCCAGAAACACAGCTGGTAATATCCTGGATGACTCAACAAGCTAGGAACCAAATAATCTTGCAGCTTTATAAATATTGGGAAGAAGAAAAAAAATATATTAAACTAATGTAAGCAAAGCATCATTTGGGGGGAAAAACACTCCCAAGGACCCCATTGCAGCAGCAGCAGGCATAGAATCTTACTTACACACAGTCCTTTAAATTCTTACCCATTACTGTATTTATTTCCAGGAACATCTGGGAAAAAAGAGCCCCAAGAACCATTAAAAAATTGAGTGGCATTTGGGTGAGCAACAGCTCACCGGAGGAACAAGAACCCCAATAAAGCGGATTCCCCTTTCTTTTCCAAGATTCTGTGATTTTTCCTGCAAAACCCCAAGTGAGTGAAAGCTATTGTTCTCATGAGTTAATGCAAATGCAGCAAAGAAACCATCATCTATTGAAGATGATCCAAAAGATGAGTAGACCTACCCAGCGATTGAGGGCCGGTGAACACGAAGTGTGAGTCAAGCCCAGACACACACTACGCCATTGGACTGACCCCAGAAATCGAGTTTAGCTAATCAAAGTCAAGACTTTCAAACAAAAGTTTGATTTTTGGAGTTGATCATGCTGGAATAAATGAAGCCAAGCAGGCTTCACAGTGACACTTTTCCAAATGACAATTTTCGATCAAGAACTCATTTGGTTGGGAGTATCATTTTCCCAAGAAACCATTATCCATTTTTCAATTTTCTACTCGCGAGATTTGGCAATAATTAATTTAGGGATATGCTAGGGGTACATCACTCCTCTCTTTACCATTTATTTTTTTTGTTTTTAATTTTTATTTTATTTTTTGAATTTTTCTTGTTTTTTTTGTAGTGATGGAGGGGGTGAGGAATGTTTGGGGTACACTTTTGGTGTACCCTTAGCATTTTCCATTAATTTAATCTCAAACAATTATGGAGTATTTTAGCACTTCATAGTTAAAATAAAGTCTAAAAAATGAAAAATACTCCGTACAATTTATAGACTATATCGGAGTATTATAAAATACTTTAACTACTCTTTTAGTCTTTTAGTTTTAAAAAATCATTAAAAATATACTCCTATCTTAGTATTTTTTTTAAAAAAAAATATATCATTATTAGTAGTAGTATTTATATTATTATTATTATTATTATTATTACTATCATTATCATTACAACTATTATGTTCATAAGTATAAGTTATAAACTATTTCATTTTTTATGTTACTATTTTTATGACTCACACTCATTATTATTTTTTCTTCAATTTTTTAATATAAATAATATTTTTTGTTTATTAATCTACATGATAAAATAGGAAAACATCAATACCTTAAACTATATTAAAAAATTATGGATAAACTAGTTACATACTCCCTCCGTCCCTTTAAACATGGGATGTTTTGATTTTGAAAAGATTTAAGGGGAGTGTATTTTGGTATTGAATTTCCAAAAATGTCTTTTGATGTGATGGATACAAGTTAGATTTGATGGGTAGATTATTAGTAAAAAGGTATGATGTGATAGGTAGAGTATGAAAAAGTAAGGAATAAAAGTGACTTTTTAATAGTAGTAAGAAGTGTTTTTTGGGACGGATGAAAAAAGAAATGAGAAAGATTTTCAGGGACGGAGGGAGTAGTATATTGCATTAAATGTTCTCTTAAAAGGTACTTGCCTCCGACGACCATGGCCATGGCCTTGAAAGACTGGCGATGGTGCCTCCCAATAGGACTCTAACGATCCCTTTCTTGTCATAGTAGCGGTGACCGCAAAAGCTTTTCGGGTCTTAGTTCAAGTTTTTTTTGAAAGTAAACTAATCATTAAATTAAAGAGTCGTGGTGATACAATATAGAAGTGAATCAAAGGGGAATGCTTGATTCACAAACTCAAACTTCACAAACTTACTATTTGTGAACTTCAATAAAGAAAATTAAATAGTCTAAACTAATTTTAAAGTAAAAAACTTAAACCATAAATAGTAAGTTTGTAGAGTTTGTGATCATTCTGTTTGTGAACGTAGCATTGCTCTGAATCAAATCACTCCCCAATGTCAGCCTCAGAATGAGTAGCACGAGCAAGTATACGTGCTGCCTCATTAGCTGAACAATACACAAAAGCAAACCTAAGATCTCAGTTACAAAGTGTCTGGATATGTCTACAATCATCAATATTAGAATCAAAATAAGACCAGTTTTTATTTGAAAGCAAGAGAGAGTCCATTTCTATGAACTCTGGGCTCTGGCATTAAATAGCCCATAGGAAAAGTAGTTACATTTCTCCAAAATCTTATCATTATGGGCCTTCCAGTGCCTGGTCATGAGAATTAAATTGCCCAAGAGTATTCTTTTTTTCATAGTTAAAATGACAATGTTTTACCTATACTCATTTTTGCTTCAAAGTTAATATAAAATGACACGGTTTTACGTATATTTTTTTAATTCATGGTTAAAATGACATCACACAAAAAAATACAGATAAAAACACATCACAAAGCGAAAATGAAAGAAACGTAGATTATAAAAAAAAAACTTAAAAACACAAAGTTTTGGCAGGAAACAAACAAAAAAAAACAAACAAAGGGTAAATTTCACCAATGGTACCTGAACTTTAGCTGGAATTTCGAAGTGGTACCTAAACTTCAAATCCTTTCAAAAAAATCCCTGAACTTACACAATTCTTTCACTAAAAGTCCATTTGCCCGTTTCTAGGTTAACTTCCGGTCATTTGGGCCAAACTAGAATTTTAAATAATTTAAAATTTTCAATTTGACCCCATTTCTTTTGTTTTTTTTCCTCCGCTCCCCGCCGCCGTCACACCACCTCAAACTCGCCGGAAAATCAACCTGGTCCGATTCCGGCGGACCAACGTCATTCTCTTCGTCTTGAGACGAGGATCAAGAATATCCAAACCATTTTGTCCAATTTGCCCTGTAACTCCTCGAATTTGAACTTTTTCACTCGAAAAAACCCTAAAATCCGAAATTGCGTCCGAAATTGGGGGTTTTGCAAATCGTCATCAAATCTTGCAATTGAGGGGTCCTTGGAGGTCGCCGTGATGCCACGAACACATTGGAGGGGATGACCGGCGTCAATTTCGCCGGATTTAGCAGGAAAACGCTCCGACCCGCCAGCGGTTTCTGGCGGGTCGGAGCGTTTTCTGGCCAACTCTGGCGAAATTGACGGCGGGCATCCACTCCAATGCGGTCGTGGCATCCGAGCGACCTCCAAGGACCCTTCAATTGCAAGATTTGATGACGATTTGCAAAACCCCCAATTTTGGACCCAATTTCGAATTTTAGGGTTTTTCAAGTAGAAAAATTCAGATTCGAGAAGTTACAGGCCAAATTAGACAAAATGGTTTGGATATTATTGATCCTCGTCTCAAGACGAAGAGAATGACATTGGTCCCGCCGGAATCGGAAAAAAATTATTTTCCGGCGAGTTTGACCGGCGGGCGGCGGCGGCGGGGCCTGGAAGAAAAGAAAATAAGAAATGGGGTCAAATTGAAAATTTTAAAATATATAAAATTCGAATTTGGCCATAATGACCGGAAGTTAACTTAGAAACGGGCTAATGGCTAATTAGTAAAAGGATTGTGTAAGTTTAGAGATTTTTGTGAAAGGATTTGAAGTTCAGGTACCACTTCGAAATTTCAGCTAAAGTTGAGGTATCATTACTAACATTTATCCACAAACAAATGGGGAGTACCTAAATGTCTAAACCCTGCCGCCGGCCACTCACCTAGGGTCCCACGCCGCTACAGCTGTCTGCCACCCGCCGTCCTCCGACGCGCACCACCAGCCACTTATTTCCGATCCGGCCAATAAGTATATCTTCCTTTAATTTATACGAAGTACTGTATTTCTTTTGGAGCACTTAAGTTGCTAAATGGTTAATCCGATACGTATTTGAGTTTTTTTCTTCTTTTGAGTAAAGTTTTTGATGTGTTGAGCTTCTTAATCTTGGTAATTTGATAACGCTCTTTTCCTCTTAAAATGTTCTTTTCAGTTATTATTCACATGATCAATGTTCAATCATTTTGTTAGTTATTTGATAAAAGAACATAATCTTGTCACATCTTGTTTTGTAGAACTTTAGATTTGATTTTAAAATATACTAGTATAAATTTTATTTTTTAGTTTTACACCTACAATCAAAAACGTTTTAAGATGTAGGGAGTATGATGTCTTCTCGGTAATGAATTCTAATTTTTTTTCTAACTTGAATGATTATGAGAGCATTAAACAAAAAAGGACAAAGATAGAAATAAAACATACGGAGTAGAAAATATACTAAAATAAGTTTCATATTTTTTTCTAAGATAAGCATTAGAATGCGTATACAATGTCAATCATGTTAGAATATAATATCAAAAAGTATTGTGAAATGTCTATATATAGTAAAAACTTATATTTTGGAGATAAAAATATGGAACTCCTATTTTTATACTTTCATTATGTGTTGCTGATAGTAAGGTGATTTCTTTATTAATAAAAACAAAATAATTCTTAGAGCACAACCACAAACTTGAGTTTTAAGTTGAATTAGTTTCTTCACATGGTATCAGAGTCAATTATAGTCCATCTTGATCATTTCCTAAGAAGCATGTCTAAAAGTTCATTTCTAGCGGCCTATTAATCTTTAACCCAGTTGTCCGTATGAAAACCGACATGTGACCCATACAACCTAGTTGTTTGTCTGGAAGTCTATACTACCCAGTATTTGTGATTCTTTAGGTGTTGACACTTTTGCTCCTTTCATATCCTAGGGATGGAGAGTCCGTTTTGCAAGTGGTCAATCGGTTAGATTCAAAATGGTCTGATTGTGCATTTGAGAAAGAGTGTTAAACTATCTCACATTAGATGTTGAAGAGAAAAATAATCGGTTTATAACCTTTTGAGTTAAACTAAGTAATTAAGCGATTAAATTTAATCTTTTAATGTAGTTCAATGCAAGTGTCTTATGGTCCAGTCAGTGATTCCTACCCATCCGATCCTAATAAATTCAATGAATGACTGATATTTGGGAGAAGCATAATCCTTATTTTTCTATGGCCCAGTCCGGTCTGTGATCTCTACGTCATCCTAAATTCTATCAATAAGTTTGTTATTTTGTTGAAATAAAATATAATGCGTGACCCTTGAAAACTCGGTCGTGCCTCTAGCACTGGACTTCATTTATGATCGATCACATCTTTCTTGGCGTAATTTAGATGACAAAGAAGAGGGGCGAAAGATGTCATTTATGTTTATAGCTCCCAAATGAGTTGAAGAGTGGATTTTGTGAGCCCTTGTAAATAATAATGAAGCACTTTTTTACATGTTCTTTGATGCATGGATCTATCATTATCATCAGTGGGGAAATTAAACAAAAATAAAAAGAAGAGTGACTACCTGTTGATCATCCAGTGGATGCATTCGTGTACGATGATTCCCTCTTTATTCTGCTTTTTGCTCGTTACACTCTATTATTCCCACTAAAAGCAAGTTGGGACACCCACTATAACTGATTTTTTTTTTTGAAAAAAAAAGTATACCAGACTATAACTTATTAACATGGAAATATACACCACTACTAGCTAGTATTCTTTAAAAAAAAGAAAAAGAAAGATGAATCCTAGCCTAGGTATTCTTCAAGACACTAATAATATATGCAAGAAGATATATCGAGCTTTGATATTAGATTGAAGAATAGAAAGTCGAGTTTATCTCTGATAGAAGCGCGTGCGCAAACACACACACACACACACATACATATATGTGTGCGTGTGTCAGTGTGCATAATTATCTTTTATTACTGTTGTTGTTAGGAGTTAAGCATAAATATTACTCTCTGTGTTCCTTAAAATCTTTTCTTTTTCATTTCTTTTGTTTTCCTTAAACACTTCCTTTTTCTATTAAAAAACCATATTTACCTTTACTTTTTCATACTCTACCTATTACATCATACTTTTTCACTAATAACTAAAATTTCACATCTTATTTTTACCCTTCACACCAGGGGCAAAATTTGAAAGTCAACTAAAATTACACTTTTCTTATTTTGCCACAAAGTCAAAACAAGAACCGTTTTAAGGAACGGGGAGTATCTTTTTTGTGAAATGTCAATTCGTGAGATTTGACTTAATCTTGATATAATTCTTTCTTCCAACTTAGTCTTGTTTGGAGTTCTGATATTGACCTTAATACAAATGTAGAATACCCAATTGGCAGGGATAAAAATATGGATCATGAATATTGGTGTTATGGAGATCAGAATCAAATGTTGTCACCTCATGAACTCTTTTCATGCATTCAACCTGCTTGTTTTTTGTTGGTCAATGCTTATCTCCATTTAGGTAAATCATCCTTTTTGGCTTCGTGTTGAAAAATAAAAGTTATGATTAGCGTTAGGATTTCAAATAATTTTTAATGACGTAACTTAACATTGAGAACGTGTTCGAACAATAGTTATTTAATATTCCCGAAGCATTATGAGCATTTAAAAAGATTCTAGATAATTCTAAACGTTTGTGGAGATACGTAGAATTCTTTAGAAAATACTTCATCCGTCACAAAAAGACGGTTCCGTTTCGAAAAAATTGCATTCCTTAAAGTCCGTCCCATTTCTATTAAAAAACCACTTTTATCCCTTACTTTTTCATACCCTACATATCACATCATACCTTTTTTCTAATAATCTACCCATCACATCAAGAGTATTTTTGAAAAGTCAACACCAAAATATCCCTCTTTATTTTACCACTTTAGTCAAAATGAGACAAACTTTTTGGGACAGAGGGAGTATATTTTTAAGTTTTCTAAACAAGTGTAGAACTTTCTACTCTCTAGATAGATGTAGAAGAGTATACAACTCATCAAAATATTCGATATAGAGCTTCCTAAAAAAGTGTGAAAGCATCTAGAAATGTATTGACGAATATAGAATTTTCTATAATATTTTATAACTATGTGAAACCGTCTAGATTTTTCTAAAATATTGTAAAAACATATAGCTTTATTAGTTATGGGTATAAATGGACATACACACAATAAAGTCTCATTTCTCATCTCAAGACATGAAGGCTTCTTGAACATTTTTGTGAGTGACTTGAGGAGAAATGATCCGGTCCAACACAAAGGGTGAAGTGAATTACTCACGCAATTATAATCTCTCTTGTAGATTATATATATTTCTCTATATATTACTCCTTACACTCATTTTCTCAAGTCATGTCTTTCTATTATTGACTCTCGTCGAAATACATATTAGTTCCCATCAAAATGCTAATGCTAAAATCTAATGTTGTAATTTTTTTTTATATTTTGAAACTATGCTTTAAAGTGAGAGCCTTAAGTATTCAACTAATTAGATTGACTATTTTTTACGTTAAACATAAAAGATTTCTGAATAATGCACCTCAGACCTGACCAGTAGCAAGCATTAATAATAAAGATTGCACAGTAAAAGAATAAAATACAAAAGAAATAAATAAAAAATACACACGCATATATATAGTTAAATATATTAAAATATTTTTTTACAGGCCGGGAAAAAGAAAATATATACAAAAAGGAAAAATAATACGGAATAATAATATTATTATCATAGTTCGAGTTGCATGGAATTAATTAAAACTTGCATTAAACCGCCGAGTCTTTGTTCAAGTAGGAGGAACTCGGCTAGGAGCCGGTCCGTTTCGGTCTGAAGTGCGTGGCAGTGAAGAGTGGCCTCACACAGCCGGTTCTTTAGCCGTCGGTTTTCCGTCCTGAGCCGGTTCACTTCGACGTCGAGACTCTCCAGCAGCATTTTCTTTCTCAGCCTCGAGCGCCGTGCCGATTCCCGGTTCGATGCCTTTCGCCTTATCTTCCTTTCTTCGACCGAGTAAACCGGGCGGTTTATTCCCGACCAGAAAGGGGAAAAGAGCTCGTGGAGTTCACTAGCGCTTAATAGGTCTTCGAGAACCGGGCATACGAACTGAGCCGGCGGTTCAGACATCTTGTTCAAAATCTCCATTAATTAGTAATTAACTAATGGAGATTAGGAAACTTAATTAATTAAATACTCCGTAATAATTAAGTGAAGTGGGGAGGGAAAAGGGAAGAAGGAAGGTATAGGAGAGGGGTTTATATGGAGAATGAAAGGGGACATGGGGGACCCACTCAACTATGTATATATTCATGATTTCATGGGTTAGGTTTACATAAAGTTTGGAGCTTTTGGGGCTTTGAATTGAACCATAAATCCAGTCTTTTTCCCTTTTCTCCTTTTGTAATTAAAATAAAGAAAGTTAAGAAGGTATTTATGCTTTTCCTTAATCTCAATTATTCGTAATTGGTGAAATAGAAAGAGCAACAAAAATCATTAGAAATATTTGCACTAAATAGTACTAAAACTTAAGTAATTTTCTTGAATAGCATTTAAATTGTTTTATTCCCTAAATAGCACTTAATAATATTCATAATGTCCAGTGATGACAAATATTTACTTGAATAATGACTAATGAATAATGACTAAAAGTACTACATTTGGAAAAAAAGCACATATAATGATATTTAGAGAAAGTCATTATGTTTTAGTGCTATTTAAATAAATTCCTCAAATAATTAAGCCTACGTAGTTTAAGTTCTTACACATATTAGAGATAAGTCTCATTTTCTTTTTATCTATTTAAGATTAGCCCAATTTACAGTTTCCATGTTAAAATAGAATTGAGACTTGGGAAATTTTAAATAATTCTAGACAAAAAGAATTGTAAGATTTAAATAGTTATAATATTATATGAAGTTTATATCAAGATAAATCTTTAAAAAAATATTGCATGACATTATTTTTCTTTAGGTATAAATATTACGGAGTATAAAAAAGGTCAAATGTGAGAGTACTATGAATCCTCGGAGTATTAAGAAAAAGGAATTTACCCGTATAGTACTAAAATATGGTAAGTTTCACAATGCAGTACTATATATTTTAATTTTTCAATGTAATATTACTATTTAATGTCTACTGAACATTGTTTAAGTACATTAAATATCCAGCGTCACTGAACATTTTTCAGTAGATGTTCACCGTCATTGAACATTGTTCTTACCCTGGACATTGTTCAAGTACTTTTTGGGAAATAAAAAGTTTTAGATACTACATTAAGAAATAACATACTCCCTCTATTTCTAAAAAGAGTTCCGAAAATGACTAATAGGTGAAATAAGAAGTGTATATTTGTAGCTAACTTTCCAATTTTGCCCTTGATGTGATGGGTAAATGTAAGATGTGATAGATAGATTATTAGTAAAATTGTGAAAAAGTTTGATGTGATTGGTAGGGTAAAAAAGTATGGGTAAAGCTGGGTTTTAATATAAAGTGAAAGTATTTTGGAGAAAGTGAAAAATTGAAAGAGAACCTGTTTTAGAAAATCGATGGAGTATGTTTTAGTACTATTTAGGCCATGTTCTTTTGAATTTGGAATTTCAGAGTTGGATGTTGGAAGAAATTGAAAAGAGTTGGATGAAAACTGGAAAGAGTTGGAAAAAATTTGAAGGGGTTGGGAAATGTTGGATGAATTAAAAAGTGTTAAAATGTCACTCTAATAAATGATCATCCTAATAAATGTGCAAGAAAACTCTAATTTTAGATTTAAAAAAATTAATTCTAAACTAAAATTAGAATACAATTTTTTCGAATCCAAAAGAACAAGATACAATGCGAATTTGACAATTAAAAATGTACTCTTACCCTCTTACATTTATCAAAGGGGTGACACAAGTCCGATTAAGAGGGTGTTTAGCAGTGCGCTGATTTTAACAATTTAGTTTATGCTTTGAGTGGAAGTGATTTTATTCTGTTTGGCATGTCAGCTTCTGCTTTTCACCAACATTATTTTGTACATGAAACACCGTTTCGAAGAAGTAGGTATGAGGTGCTTTTGCTTTCAGCTTTTATATAAATCACTTTATCCATAATCTAATCACTCCAAACACCCTCTAAAAGGCTTGTAAGTATGTGGGTTACCTTTTAAAAATTACTTACCGAGTACTACGTAAGTAATCCTTTTAGCACTTTTTTTTGTAAATAGTTGTATTCGGTTTCCATCCATTTGGGAGTAGGTGTGGAAAGGAAAGGCGTCGTGCGTGGTCGGCATTTTTTGGCTTTTTTTTGGGATCTTGGTCATGTTATATCGCCATATCGAAATTTTTTCACACGACGCACTCCGTCACTCACCCCTGGTTTAAACCTGGGCTCGATACTACAAGTTGGGGCTGTGCGTAGCTTCATTCTAACTTTACATTAATATGTTATAGTTTGCTTTCGACCAAGCTTTGGCAGGTTTGTTTTTAAGCATCCTTCAAAAGAAATCATACTAATGAGTTAGACTAGAACTATTTATTTTGGTCTCTTCTCCTCTACTTCCGGGGTCAGACTTGGAAGAACCCCAACAACGGTCAAGAAAACACATAAACAATCAATTACAAAATAAAGTTACATGTCAATAAACAAGGGTCCTTTCGTTCAATTTATTTTTTCTACTTATCATTTATTCTTATTAAAATCAGATCAGATTAGATATATTCCGTTCAGACCATATTAGATTAGATTTAATTCTATCAGACCAGATCAAACGGAATCAACGAGATTAGGTGAACAAAATACAGCCCGAATTGCAATTTGGAAGTACTAATAAGGCATCAAGTCAGTCCATTTTCCTTTCTCTAGAGAATCGGCACGTTGCATATTTGCTGACCAAAAAGGATAAAAGAGATAGTCGGTAATCCTCGTTTCGAAGACAACACAAAAAAAAATGATGTACCTCAATGTGACAGAATAAACCTTAATCACGAAGAATCAGCCCAAATAAAGCCCATGAGTGGTTTGATGGGTACACCAGTTTTGATCCGACCATTTTAGGGAACACAATGGCGAAACGTGGAATTATGTGGATTAATTGCCCGGCCCGGCGCCCATTAATTTAAAGAAATCACCATACCTAGCACTCTAAGTTATTCAATACTATGCATATAACACTCCTTAATTCTTTATATGAATTTAGCTAGGTATAGTGTCAATATCTTCCAATCATACCATTTACCTTTTGTTATATTTTACTATTTTTAATTACTTTTGATTATTTGATTAAACTTAGGTTATTCACGTAGCCATTCCTCATCATACGTGCGAGTCCTCCTCATTCATATATACGTCTCATACGTACGAGAACATCATCTTACCCCGTTTACCATAGCTTTGCAAGATCTCCCTCATATGCAATTTGTCAATGTATAATGCCTAAACAAGTTCGTACGCATTAAATTAAGTTTCATATTTAACGCCCATGTTTGGCTAGTGTATTTTGGTGTAATCGATTATTCATGAAATCAGTCATACATTTCTGGACAGTGTATTTTGGTGTAATACATTTTTAGGCAATGTGTAATTCATATATTAAAAAAACTATACATTTTTTGGGCCATGTGGAATTCATACACGAAAACAGTCATACACTTTTTTACAGTGTAAAATTTATAAATGAAAACACTCTCACATAAATCAATGAACATTACACTCCAACATGAAATTTAGGAACATATCCAATAATACACTTACACTACCGTAAGATATAATAACAATATATATTTATTCTACACTACCACATACATTAAATACTCACATATAAAAAACCACACTGCCCACTACATGGTTGCAAGTAAACAACCACACTGCCCAAAGCAATCATTTTTTTGGCAGTGTGTAATTAATATTTGCTGTTTAATTAAAGGACAAAATTAGAATAACAGGTACAAAATATGTAACACTGCTATTTAGATTATTTTAAGGCTCTAAGAGTGCTATTTTGATTTTTCTCCCATTAATTTAGACTCTTACACTTAGCTTGGTCTTTTGGTTTTTTATTACTTCCTCCGTCTGAAAGAGTTTCCCTTGTTAACTTTATGAGAAATTAAGGGAGATATATTTTTGTATTGACTTTCTAAAAATATCATTATGCGATGTGAAAAAGAAGATGCGATGGATAAATTATTAGTAAAAATGTATGATGTGATAGGTAATGAGTTTGTGGTTTTTTAATAGATAAGGGAAACATTAAGTGATGAATAGATTATTAGTAAAAAAAAAGTATGATGTAAAAATATCATTAAGTGATTTGTAAAAAAGTAAGATGTGATGTATATATTATTAGTAGAAAAAAATGATGTAAAAACATCATTGATGCAACGTGTAAAATTAAGTGGTTTTAATAGATAAGAGAATGAGTTTGTGGGATAAGGAAAACAGAAATGAGAAAGAGTTTAAAGAACAGAGGGGGAGTATTATTTTTTTAATTTTTTCAATAATAATAACAATGAACTATCATTTATTTAAAAAAAAACTCCGCAGTGCGAAAGGATAGGCACGTTTTAACTTAAATTGGACTTTAAAAAACTAAAACAAAAAATACGATTGTACAAGAAATATTTCCAATAAATAGTGAAAATATTTTATACATAGCACGAAAGTGGAGGTACGTTTTAGACACTTTATCTTTAAATTTCGATCGAAATTGAATAGTCAAAATTTATTTTTGTGAGACCATAGTTAGAATTTTAATTGCCCCATGTGAAAATAAAAGTAGGAACCATGTGAAGATTTGTACAAATTAAAGAAACTAAAGTTTATGAAAGTTATCCGTCAAAAATAAAGGGCCGTGGCGGGGAAAGCAGATGGAAAAGAAGCGTGGTACTCCTTCCGTTCTAAAATTTTCTTCCCAGAGCATTATTCCAAATTCACGGGAATTTATATTTATTTGTGTTTTTTCATTGCCTATATGATAAAATAAAATATTCTTGTCACCACTTGTTTTGTTGAACTTTTGATGTAGTTTTTAAATATGTATGTTTTATTTTTTATTTCTATACCAATATTTAAATAAAATAGATTGAAAAAACTTGAGATTTTTCTTCGTTTTGCGCAACGGGAAGAAAGATATAGGACGGAGGGAGTATTTAATTATTCAGCGGGTTGTGGTACTCTCACCCATGTCGTCGTACCCTAATTTGTACCCTAAAAGTTTACTTTAACATAAAGTATAAGTCCAACACTGACAAGATACTAGCTTTATACTTATATTCTATGACAGGACAAGTCCTTGGGATACAAGTGTAGGATATAAATAGAAATTTCCTTTTTCATCCTCCTACCTGCTCCGTTCTTTTAATTTTAAGAAAACCACATCTGGAAAATGAGAAATTTTCTAGAAGTCATTTTCTTTTCGGATGTTTGGCAAAATGTAAAAAACTGTCCACTTTTATTTGGGTCATTTTCCAGAAAAACATCGTGATTATCAAACTATGGTTTTTTTTTTGTAATCATCTTAATTATCAAGCAAAAAAAATGTTCTTGATGGGAAAATAAAACTATGGTACATCCAAAACTCTGCTAACTATCAAAAAAAACTGTTAACATATTTTATGCATTAATGTATCGACCCAATTCTGTATTCGGTCCATTAGTCTTTTTCCTTGTACATGTATATAAATCTTTTGTGATTAATGGAACAACCATCGGTGGGTTTATATGTTAATAAATCCTACATGGTATCAGGCCAATTCTTGGTTTAGTACATAAAAACCTTGCCGCTACTGTCATTGATTTGTTGTCCAGTTCACCGATTATCATTCTGTCGTCACCCAGGTCTGTTCGTCCCCTCAAGGTTGTTAGTTCGATCGCACGTCTCTGTCTGATCTCCAGCGGCCATATGTAATGCACTCAGTGGGCATGGTAAATCTGTTTCTCTGACTTTTGATGGAGTCCCCAAACCTAGTGATGGATACGAGATGTCTGCTTGGTATGCCAATCATCAAATTATTTGTAGTTGGATTTTTAACTTTGTTGATGAATCCATTCAGCCTAGTGACGTATTGTACGTTTCACATTCTACAAAGTTATAAAAAAAATATAGAGTACTTTTTTGTTTGATTTTGTTTTACCATTTTCAAATAAAGTAAATTCAGAATAATGTTGACCTAACATTGTAAATAAAAATGTAGAGTTTATTTAAGGATATTTCTTAAGAATGATAATCAATCAAAAAGATGGAAGAAAACTAACTAAAAACTACTCCGTAGTAGAAAAAGAAGACTAAAATTGAAAGAAAATCCACTAAAATTTCCAAAAACAAAAAAAAAATTACTCCGTAAGGAATAAGTAAAAAGAACAAAATTGTTTCTTTAGTGGCTTGGAAAAAAGAGAGCCATTTTTTTGAGTGTAATTCTCACATCTTCAATTCTCCATATTTATAATCTCCAGGTGGGGGCCATAATTACCCCATGATGACGACTTCCTATCGTTTAATTTAAATCTTAAACACTAATTTACATTTAATTTTTTTTTATTTAAAACACATAAACTAATTAAAAATGTTGTTTCCAAATACGACCTTATCACTTTATCACCAAAAAAGCATTAACAAATTTTTATTATCAATTATTTCAATTTCTTAAAACGCTCTCATGCATATTAGCACAAAAAATGACTTCATTAGTATTAGGAACAATACATCTATTAGTAATTAAAATATTATTATTCATTACCTTCCTTATTACATTACTTTCTTATTGTACTGTTACTATAAATCTTTTTCTACTTAGACTAAAAGTTCTCTCTCGTAACACACACACACCCAACGAATGGATGTATCCTTCATTATCTCTCTCTTAGGCACGCTCTTGCCATGGTACTTTCTTTCACGGCGGATGTTAGGCACGCTCTTCGATCACATGGCACTCTCTTTCACAGTGAATGCTTGTGTAAAAGTTTGCTGGATGCGCGGAATCCTTGGCGCCCTTGGTGTTTCGATCTTGTATCCTCCACGAATGTATCTGACGATCAGTCACAACAAGTTACTCAAACAAGTTATTACACAATAATGCAAAATAACCAAATTTTATTGTAATGACTTTATTTAGATACATAAGTCATTTTATTCAAAAATAAAAATGTTACGTTGAAAATGCAAAAAGTGAAAGAGATCGAATTTTCAAAAACGAAAAGTCGTTTTGTCCATTTTTTGATGTTTGGCAAGATAGGAAAATAGAGTCCAAGTAAAATAAACTCCTAGTCAAATGGAAAATAATGTAACCTTGTATCAGAAATTTGACTTCCAAATTTTTTTACACTTAATAAATATGCATGGAGTATTTGTTTTAAAATGGAAACATTTTATTGAACAGATGAATTATACTCCCTCCGTCCCTAAATATTCACAACATTTGCTTTTTCAGCAGTGTCGGTAACTTTTGTTTATTTCGACGTTTTCGTTGACTATTTGATAAAATAAAATATTCTTGACACCTCTTATTTCGAAGAACTTTTCATGTAGTTTTTTTATATGTAAATTTTATTTTTTATTTCTTTACCAATATGTAAATAAAATGAATTGAAAAAACTTGATATTTTGTCTCGGGAATACAAATGTGGCAAATAATTTGGGACGGAGGGAGTATATACTTCATCTGTGTCGAAAAGAATGTCACAATTTACTATTAGAAATTTGCGAAAACTTTTATTTATTTATGCGTTCTCATCAATTATATGATAAAATAAAATATCTTTGTTACCTGTTATTTTGATAAATTTTTTATCTAGTTTTTGAATATGTAGGTTTTATTTTCATTTTTATACTAACCTTTAAATAAAATGAATTGAAAAAATCTAAAATTTATTTCATTTTGTGCAATGTTGCAAACATTTTGGGAGAGAGTACTCCTACATTCTTGACTTTTAAAGTACTCCCTATGTGTTAAAAGTATCTTCTCAGTTACTATTTACACGGTTAAACTTAAATCACTTTCTTTACATATTTTTGTTAGTTGTTTGATAAAATAATATAGTCTTGTCACCACTTGTTTTGTAGAACTTTTGATGTAATTTTTAAATATATAAATGTTATTTTTAAATTTTACACCTACAATTAATTAAATTAAAAATAAAATCGATCAAACCTCGTAAACACAAATGGGAAGATGGTTTTAGGACCGATAGTATTCATAAACTTAAACTTATTCAAGCACAAACAAAAAGGCAAGAAGAACATTATGTTAACCATCTGGCATTGGTCTCAAATCGGCAGTGGTAGGTTTCAAAAGAAAGAAGCTTGGTAGGTGTGGTTAGGTGGAAATTAAAAAAGCTTGCTAAAAAAAATGAGATGTCACACAAATCCTTAAAAGCTTCTCAGAACTAGCGGGACACTTAGTTGAAACGACTTAAACTAAAATATAATCTCAGTCAGTTGACATAAAAATGAGATTCTCTCGTACTTACTTATAGAAGCATCATCCCATTGGGTGCTTCTAATCACAACTACTAAGCTTCGAACTCGATATTTTGTCTCGTTTTTTTCAAAATGTGGTAAATAGTTAGGGATGGATGGGTTAAAACTCATTTTTTTCAAAATGTGCCTCGTTTTTTTCAAAATGTGGTAATAAATATGTTAAAACTAAAACTCGCGCTTTGTTTGTTTTGTGAATTTTGGTATGGAAATGAAAAGAAAATGAGAACTTAACTGATTTTATTTTTTGGTTAGTGAGAAAAAGAAAATTGTGAAAAAATGAGTTGAAAATATAGAAAAAAAATTTCTCCAAAACCAGATGAAAAAAGGAGAGTTGGACATCCAACCATCATTTAAATTAATGTATGAGTATCTAACAAGTATGTATACTATGGAGTAAATAATTTAATAAATAATAATAATAATTAATAATAATAATCTTCCAAGAATTATTATTATTTATTACTTATTACTTAACTCCAATTAATGTATGAGTATCTAATTAACAAGTGTGTGTACGTACTATGGAGTAAATTAAATAATTTTAGATTGGAAACATCCATCCATCATTAAAAATCCAAAGTCTCAGAAAATCATTTGAAATCCCAAAAAACAAAGCATTGGTCATAAATTACTAGACGAGGTGAGGGGGGGGGGGGGNTTGACAACAACCAAACAAATAATTGAGCAAAATAAATTCTTTCCTTACCAAGTTTTTCTCTTAATCAAACAAAACTAAGATTTTGAATTTCTTTAAGGCCCCGTTTGATACATGGAATTCAAACTATGCAATTGGAATCGAGGACTCCAATTCCAATTCTGGTCTTTGATAGTACAAAAATTATGTGGATTTAGAATTATGATAGAATTTGGGATGGGTATGAACAATTAGATTGGGTAATAAGATACTTGGGTTGAACCACATTAAAAGATTGAATCCAATCGATTAGTTAGTTCAACTCAAGAGCTTATATATCGGATTATTTTACTCTTGGACTTCCGATGTGGAATGCACTCTAACAAATTGATAGTGCAAAATATGAATTGAAATTGACAAAATTTAATTCTATGGAATTGAATCCCATGAAATTTTAATTTCAATTCAATTTCAATTCCGTCAATTCCGTATACGGAAGGGCTTAAAAGTTTTTATATCCTAAGTTTCTAACTAACACCTCCTAACATGACCTCTTTATTTTTTTCTAGACAGAGTCAAAGCGAGTAGAAGAAAAAGAGGAGAAGAAAGATAAATATATCCTCATAGGATGAAGACGCTGTTATTGAGTGCCGTGTTTGTTTTAGAAATTTGTTCACATCTAATCGGTGGCGGCGGCGCAGGTGGCTCCGCCGTGAAGTTTCTTCCCGGATTCGACGGCCCTCTGCCCTTCAACCTTCGAACCGGGTTCAATTCTCTGATCTTTTCTTTCTTTCTTTCTTTCTTTGTGTATCAGAAGTCTCAAACCAAACACGTCCGAATTAAACAAAACACTCCGCCGTGATGCAGGTACATAGGCGTGGGAGATTCGGAATCAGTGCAGCTCTTCTACTACTTCATCCAGTCACAGTCCGGTCATCCGGAGTCCGACCCGCTCTTTCTTTGGATTAACGGCGGACCCGGTTGCTCCACTCTTTCCGGCATCATTTTTGAGATTGGTAAAACCATTCAACCCTCCCACTTATTGTATGTACACTGAGACTTTGTTTTGGAACAACATTTATTTTCGATTAGCTTTAAAGTTTTGGATAACATTTTAACGGTGTAGATTAATTCTGAAAACGCTAATTCCGTGAAACCCCACCATAACATATATAGCCTCAATGAGCTTTCCAAATTTGGGGGAGGCAGACTTTGAATTTATTTTTGAAATTGCCGTACGCAGTATGTTTATAACGTTAGATAATTGATTCGGCGTTATCATATTAATTGCATGTGGGGATGGACAAATTAATAATTAAGGTCCCATAACATTCGCGCCGTTGAAATATAATGGGAGCTTGCCCACATTAATTTCACGCCCCTATTCATGGACAAAGGTACCCAACTCCTTTGCCTTTTTTTTCATGTTGGTTATAATTGTAATTTGAACTCCATTGTTTTTTTTGTTCTGTTCCGCAAAGTCTTTCTAATTTTGATTTTTATAGGATTTAAAGAAAAAATATTTTTGAGTTTGTTTTTCCAAATTACCCTTGATGGAATGTTTAAAAAGAATGTAAAATATTATTGGAAGAAGAGGAGTATATATTGATATGTAGGTGAATGTTTGGTGATGTATATATATATATATATATATAGGTGGCAAACATTATTTTCTTGGACTTGCCGGTGGTGACGGGCTTCTCCTATGCCACAAACCAAGCCGCTCATCGGTCAAATTCTACTCAGGCTTGCCACCATGCATATGATTTTTTGCGCAAGGTCTCTTTTTACTTTATTATTGTTCTTTTTTTTTTTAATTCAATTCCTTTGAATTTATTTTTAGTTCACTTCAATTACTTTGCTCGTATCATAGCAATTAAGCCAATTAGAAGGATTTGCACAGATTAATCTGATCAATTTCTTAACGAGCGGGGCACGATTCTGTTGACACTGGCCAACAGTTCTACTACGTTTTTGGAGTGCCTCTGGCCCACCCCAATCCCTCTCCAAATGTGCGGTTGTTGTGCAATACATAATAGCCATACATTTGGGATTGAGGCATGAAGGTTTATGGGGTATAAACCACTAATTTTACAAACAGAGCACCGGAAATGTTCCCAAAGCACAGTGGCACTGCTAGTGACACCCTTACTCGCTCGTATAAAAATTTGACATTTAAATACTACTACGTATAATAAGAAAGCACATCTAGTGTGTGTGTGTGTGTTATTTCTCAATAATGTTTGTGCAGTGGCTAAGTGAGAATCAAGAATTTGTAGCAAATCCATTCTATGTGACGGGTGACTCTTATGCTGGCGAACTCATTCCAATCATCACTCAAATTATATCAGATAGAAAGTCTCCAAATCCATTCTATTTATTTATTTCTTTATTTATTTACCCAGAGTATTCATTTATTTGTATATACCTCTCTCACAACTTCACCCTTTCCTAAAATTCCAGGGAATGAAAATGGAATGAATTACCAAATCAATCTACAGGTTTGCAACAAGCATAGCTAGCTCTCTCTCTCTCTCTCTCTCTCTCTCTCTCTCTCTCTCTATATATATATATATATATATATATATATATATATATATATATATATATATATGTCCCGTTTGGAAACACCATTTTCATTTAGCGTTAACATTTTGGATCACTTTACATGCTTAATGATGGTGAAAATTAATTCGAAAAACACTAAAACTGAAAACCGCCATTCAAATAGTCTTTTCGATAACAATGTTAAAGCTAAAAGCTGAAGCGGTTGCCAAACGGGCACATAATTTAGATGTGGGCGTGGATAAATAATATTAATACATTTGTATATGCATTTAGGGGTACATACTTGGCAATCCATTAACCTTCCCGGAGGAAGCTGACTACAAATTCCCCTACGCTCACGGAATGGGTCTCATTTCTGATGAGCTTTTCGAGGTAATTAATCAAAATCTAATTAAGGTTCAATAATGATCTTCTCATCCACTACTCTTCCAATTGATTTGAATCTAAATACACAACGGCATTGTATTTTTTCAACCTATAGTCGTTGAAGAAGAATTGCGAAGGTGTGTCGTATCTAAACATTAACCCAGAAAACGTCAAGTGTTACGCCGACTTCCAAACGTTCAAAAAGGTATAATAGCCAGCACCCACATCCGCTCCGCATTTAGTGCACACATTATGATGAAATTTCGACCAATATCTTTTAAGATCTATAGTGTACTCGAAAGATTTTGTTTAATAATGTTATATATTTTCTATAATGTACGTTCAGTTGACAAGCATAGTTAACGAGGATCAAATTTTAGAGGCCAAATGCAACGAAACCTTTGGTGGACATTTGAGGAGGTCGAAAGAGGGGTTTGAGTTTTCTGCACAAAGAAAGTTGCTTATGGAAAAGTCTAACCAAAATATTAATCTTCATGGCACTTCCATTCTAGGCCCTGAATGTTTTCGGGTATGTGCTTAAATACTCCCTCATTCTTAAGTGGTCTATCCATTTTCGTCCGTAATACCGTGAATTTTTTTTATCTAATGTGATAATTCTTTGTACGCACTAGACACAGAGTAGTGAGGGTTAAAATGAGGGTATAGTCTTAGTTTTACTCCGTATATAAATAGAAATTTAATAATTTCAAGCATTTGGAGTGTAAATTTTAGGCAGAATGGTATGATTTGTCATACCTTTGGGCGAATGAAGAGATGGTTCGAGATGCGCTCCATGTCAGAAAGGTACTCTCACCATCTCGAGTTAAATTATCCGTTGTTTAAGATTTTTGTTGTAACTTTTTTTTTAATTTATTCAAAAATGGCATAAATTAAAAAACGTGATTAAAATTTGATAATGTGAATAATGAACATTTAACCTAAATTAGAACGGATAGAATATTTCCTAATAAAGATGGAAGTTTAGCACAACGTGTTTCATAAAAATGCACAAACAACAACTATCTATACAACTCACATAGGTGATAAATATTTGTGTATCTCGATGAAACAAAGTTTCAAACTTGATGTTACTATAGCATCGTCGTAAATATAATGAGGAAGATGTGACAGGAATCTATGGGAGAATGGAGACGATGTAACTCCGATTTGGATTATGTATTCGCAAGGGATGACGTAACGCCGTATCACGCAAATCTCAGCGCCAAAGGCTACCGATCACTCATTTACAGGTGTTTTCATAAAACAAAACACTGCAAGGGCCTCAATTCGACTGGGGTCAAAATTAACCGGTGTATATGTTTGTGTATGTGAACAGCGGAGATCACGACTTCACCATACCCTTCCTTTCGACACAAGCATGGATTCGATCTCTAAACTATTCCATTGTTGATGAGTGGCGGCCATGGATGGGTGAAGACCAACAAGTTGCAGGGTTAGTTATATATACCTATCTTTTATATGAACAACATTTTTCTCAAAGTATTTTTACACAAATTAATAATCCTACCACGTAAATATACGAAAAATGTTATTTTAAATGTTACATAGTATATATAAAATACTGGTGGTGTCAACCCTCGTGTAACTCGTTTTTTTATAAAGGTATACGAGGAGTTACACGAATAAGATGACATTTGCAACGGTAAAGGGAGGGGGTCACACGGCACCTGAGTACAAACCAAAGGAGTGCCTTGCAATGTTGACAAGGTGGCTTTCCTATCAACCACTTTGATCAAATGTGTAATAGTAGGTCTCTACTATTAGGACTTTTTTAGGGCACCCTAAAGATGATCTCAAGTTTGTTATAATATTCTCGATCATCACCAACACGCTTGAATAATAGTTGTGTGCTTGTGCGAAGGACGATATATAACAAATTTTGAGATCATACGCGAGGTGCCCCTAGCATTTATTTACTCTATCATATACACAATTACACATTGTTTACATTTTTTTTTAAAAAAAAAACCCTCCCTTTGTTGGACAGGGGAGGCGAACATACTCTGTACGATATATCCATTATTCCTATTCGTGTTTCTAAATATTCGTCCTTCATACAAATACACAACAATTATTGGAAGTTTTGGCAGGTTCCATTGACATTGTTTTTAATGTCATTGCACGACTTTGAGTGTTAACAGATGTTAATCCAATCGAATGTATCATTACAACATTCACATCCGTTGAATTTTATGAAATATCAAATTCAAATATGGATCTTGACGAATACCAAAAATCAAAACCATAAATGCATAGCTCGGATATTGGATATATCCGTATTCATTTTTAATATTTTAAAGTTAAACTGCACTACAAAGTACTCCGTATATAAACAGTTATAATATTTTTATTCAATTGTAATTTGGTACTCTCTCCGCCTACTTTGGTTCATCTCATTTGACTTTCACGGTCTTTAATGTAATAATTTGACCATTAATTAATATCTTTATTTAGACATAGGCATATACTATAAAATTTTGATATTTCAAAATTGCTTTTCAAATTGAAGAACAAAAATAGACCGAGTAATATTTTAGTAATTTTTATTTTTTGTAATCTATTCTTTTCAAAGAAACTTCACACTACACAGCACACATATTTGTGTGCATCAACACTTATGTTTTACACATAAAGATGTTTCATAGTCTGAGATGTAAATAGAAAAGCAACATTATATAAAAATAAAAACATTGGAAAAAATTGTGCAGTCTCACTTCTCTAACAGAAAAAACTAAAATAATGCATATAACGGAACGAGATAAGATCAACTCTATTCTAATTTTGAAATTTTAGTGTTTGGTAAATGGTAATGAATTCTTTTTCCTAAAACACTTTTTGGAGTCACTCAAAAAAAGCCAAAAATAAGTTGCTAACGCCTTAATTTTGGGCATAGTATTTATTTTACACACATTTCCAGTATGGTCCAAACTATCTTTTTTACTCTACTCTTTAGGAATGACTATTTTTACTCATTAAGTATGCATTATGGGCATTTTATTTGCAAACATTTAACGTTCTTATGACTCGGTTAGGTGACCTAATACACAACTGAGTTCATAACACTGCAGTCTGAGGCAATCGCCGAATGAGTCATGCTACAATAACCCCACGTCAATCGTCTATAAATTTGTTTCACGCAGAAAATTGTATCGTATGTGCGAACGAATTGACATTCAGTTGTCATCCATGGTGTCAATCTTGGGGTTATAGTACGAAGTAGATTTTTTCTGGCCGAATTAATATTTATAGAATAATAAGCATGGAGCATTAACCCAAGTATATTAATGAAGAGCAATGAGACATTGCCCCAAACTCCATTTTTCTTCTCACAGACACAGAGACGTGCGTGGATAGCACATATACAACATGTCTGCAAGAAGGGAAAAGGAGGTCGGCGGCATTCTTGGAGGCGAAGTAGCTTTTTCCCTTAATAAATGCTTACCATGTTTTCTTGCCTAATGAAGGAACCAACAAGGGGCCAGTGTTCTCAAGTCATTTTAGAATTTACGGTACTTAAAATGTTTAGGTGAGTCTTCTTCCTTTCTCCGTAACAGAGCCTTTTGATTGAGGTCGCATATATCTGTCCTCCATAGAAGGAACCTGAGCTCATAACAGTCACAAGTACAAAATGTGTCAGTCCTTAATACGGAGTATAATCAAAATTTATCAGAAGCAGAGTTTTTTGAGAGTTGTTCAAATTGAAAAATTTTACAGTTATTCAAATAAACATGAATGAGGCCACCAGATTTCCTATTACTGTTGGGATAATGCAAGAGTTTTTTCTTTCCCTTTACTAGTTAGCTGTGATGGGCAAGGCCCAATGGACCAGCAGGGGAAGGTTTTGACTTTAAGCAGGAAGTAGCTAAAGTATCAAGGTTAAAGAACACCGTATCAAGAATGTCCCACGACAAGAACAATTCAAATCCTAAAATGTAGTAAGCATATCGGATATAAACTAAAACAGCATTAGTTTTTGAGAAAAGAAATGCTACCTTGTGGGACTACATTGAGTAGGTTGTTGCAAAAGAAAATGTGTTCGTTATCTGAAGCCACAGGGAAGAATATTACACGTTGAGTTCCATTTGAAGTGTCCTAACCTTAATAAGCAGTCAGCTTAAGGTACTAACTAATCTTAAGGGACAGAATTCACAGAAACAAAAGAAGCGTTTTTTGCAAACTTCATTATTAATGAAAAAAAAATCATAACATCAATGGCAACCTAAGGAGGTGTAAAGCCATAACTGATACTCCGTATTCCAATCATAAAAGCAATGTTTCAATAGGATACTGCTCACAAATAAATGTCTTGCATGTTTCCCTGTAAATGTAGATATAAATATGCATATTCACCTAATGAAAAATCTCCATGTTAAATTGCAAGAAGCATCTCGAGTACCTCCCTAACAATTAGCTTTCACATTGTACCAAGGAACTATTGGAAACGGCCTCTGCACTTTTTAGTAGGGGTAAGGTCCACGTTCACACACCCTCCCTAGACATACTTTTGTGGGGCTTTACTGGGTTTGTTGTTGTTGTATTGTACCCAGGAAGTGGTTTTCTATGAGACGGGCGAAATCATAATACTTCAAATGTTGAAATTAATACTTTTCAAAAACACTTTGTTTTTTGAAAAATATTACTTTCTAGTTTTAAAGTACAACACTTTGGCACTGTTCCGCCCTAGTTTTGGTCTTCTAACCAAATTCATCGTGCTACATCCTAAGCTTGTAAAGTACTGAGCATGGATTAGGACTGGATTTGTATAGAGTTAAGCCACTCTAAATATCTGCAGACAAAAAGACTACACTAAAGTACAAAACTACTTTTAGTTAAGGCATTAGCTCTTAACTTCAAATCCCATCGTCAAGCATACCATTTCAATCCCCATAGCAAAGTTGGAAGGTTTAATGTGACCCTTAACACCGTTCACTGACATCAATGGACAGAAGTTAAACCAGATGCAAAGCAGACTAAATTTGGTAAATTAACAGTGTATTTGTTGTAAATTGTAATGCATAATATCCATTAGAATAATGCTAGCATGACCCTATCCATTATGCATAAGAGAAGGGTTAGGTACCTTAGAATTGAAATCAGTAGTAACGCAGCCACCGGGGGTTTCTCCCTTCTTTACCCACACTAATTGATCTCCTCCTACCCTTGTAGAAGACGATCTTCTGTGTCCCGTCTGCCGCCACCCACCACCACCACTGCTGATCCTCATTCTATCCCTTCGACCGCCTCTAAACCTCCTCTCCTCCTCTGCCATCTTCTCAAACCGTGTGCTCCGTTGCTGGTCTTTAACCTTGGTTGCCCTCTTTTTAACATTGGCATTTTTCGGGTCATTCAATGATAAATCCTGAAACCTCTCGTCAATTTTCACCACCGGATGAGTTGTATCTTCGGCCAATCCAACAAACCCATTGCCGTCTTTATTTCCGTTCTCCCCCAATCCTTCCTCTCCCTGCTGCTGAACCTTCATTCTACCCTCATTTCTCTTGAAACCCTTTTTCCGCTTCTTCCTTCCACTACGTGATCTGCCAGATGCCTTATCGACCCCATTTTCAGCCAACTGAAGCTCACTGCCTCCCTCTTTCCCACTGTTCTCCTCGCTCGCGACAATCTGAGCCGCTACATTTGCCAGCAATTTCACATTCCCCAGAACCCTAGGCTTTCTTCTTTCCCGGAACCCCGATTCCACCTTCTCTGCCCTCATATCCCGATTCCCCCCAATCGCCAACGAATCGATGCTTTCAGGCCCCTCCTCGTACTCCTTCACGCATCCTCTCCGATCCTTCCGGCGATTCCGGTTCCGGAATGGGGGTTTCAACCCGTTTGGGTTATCGTGGATGGGGTCAGGCGGCTTCAGCTCCTCCTCTTGTTTCTTCGCCTGGAGCCATCGCTCCTTGAGCATCGAGAGCGTGACATAGTTAGGGTTTTCTTCGATTGGGTCGGGCTTGGGATTGCGTTGCAGCTTCAGGTGTTCTTCCTCCTCCTCTTGTTTCTTCCTCTGGAGCCATCGCTCCTTGAGCATCGCGATCGTGACATAGTTTTCGGGAAGGGATGGGTGCTTCTTCTTGACGGGGTTTGCGTCTTCGGATTCCTCCATGGGAGGAAGAAGTATAGACGAAGAAAAGTAGAAGACAAAGACAGTGACAAACGATATACCAGTAGTCGAGTAGTTTGCAAAAAATGAAAATGAGGAAGTTACGTTAAGATCCCTTCTTTTTTTCTTTTCTTCTTTTTTCTTTTCTTCTTCTTTCTCTTTCGCCTTCCAGTCCATTCTCCCCCCACCCCCGTTTTTTTTCTTCTTTTACTTTTTGTTTTGTTTTTTTATTCTTCTTCTATTATAATTATTATTATTTGTTATTAATTATTATAATTAGTACTTCATATTAATTATTATTTTCTTATTCTATTATTATTATTATAATTATTAATTTTTTAATTTATTATTATTACTATTATTATTAAAAATTAATTGTTAGTTTTACCACTCTTTTCTACAAAAACACTAATTGTTATTTAGAAAAATAGCACTTATTATTAATACTGTTATTTATTTTAAACAATTAATTAGTGATTTTACTTCTATACTATTTTAGAACTAGTAATTTTTATTAAAATTGCTGGTGGGTACCCCTAATTTTGTAATAAGAACTCTCAGGTCCATTGTAGCAGCAAATTTGTAACAGTTACTATTCATGAACAAATTTGTAGCAGCAAAGAAAAAGAAAAATTCTAGAGTTATTCCAAGAAAAAGGAAAATTCTAGAGTTACAAACATATAATTTTCCTTTAAATGCAAGGACACTTTAGACTAAAATTTAGAGTTATTCCGAAAAAAATGAAAATTCTAGAGTTACAAACATATAATATATACTACCTCCGTCCCACTGTCTTTGTCTATTTTTTACTTTTGGAACTGTTCATCTAAACACTTTGACTCATTAAATTCTCTCAATGTGTATGCCTAAATATAGTCATGTGTGATCTTGTTTGATTTGTCTTAACATATAAATTCTTAATATATAATTTCTATAATTTTTTAATATACAAATTACATGATAAAATGAATTA